GCAGAAAAAAAAAGAAAAAGAAAATGGCTATACAAATGACCAACAAACATATGAAAAAATGCTCAACATCACTAATCATTAGGGAAATGTAAACCAAAACCACAATGAGATACCACCTTACACCAGTCAGAATGGTCATCATTAAAAAAATCAAGGCCACGCCTAGTGGCTCATGCATGTAATCCCAGCAATTTGGGAGCCTGAGGCAAGAGGACCACTTAAATCCAGCAATCCCACTACTAGGTATCTACCCAAAGGAACAGAGGTTGTTATATAAAAAAGACACCTGCATGTTTGTCACAGTATAAGTCACACTATCGCAAAGATGTGGAATCAACCTAAATGCCAACAACCAATCAGTGGCAATAAAAATGTGGTGTACATACACTATAGAATACCATTCAGCTATCAAAAAGAATTAAATATTCTTTTTGATTAAAAATGTCTTTTGCAGCAACTTGGATGGAATTGGAGAACATCTTTCTGTGAACTAACTCAGAAAAAGAAAACCAAACACTGCATGTTCTTGCTTATAAGTGGGAGCTAAACTAAGGATCCACAAAGACAGAGAGAACGGTATAATGCACACTGGAAATTCAGAAGGGGGAGGGGATAAGGAGTAGAGGGATGAAAAATCACCTGTCAGGTACAATGTGCACAGGTGGGGGTGGTGGGTACACTTAAAGCCCAGACTAAAAATTATTTGTACCCCCTAAAGCTATTGATAAAGAAAAAAAGTTACAGCAGGGTTAAAAGACAGAATGAAGGTGAAGTTTCTTACATTCATAATAAAAGCTGAGTGAGAAAGTAACTGCAAGAGAAACAGAAAGAATAAGACTCTTGGTAATTTAGTTTAAATACTAGCTTGTAGGATGAGGTCTGCAGCAGAAAACAGCAATCTAACCTTCAGAAGTCTATGACTTGGACATTATACCAGAGCAATGGATCTCAAGAATGGCTCCCAGACAAGGAATAGCAGTCTCACTTGAAAAGTCGTTAGAAATGCAAATTCTCAAGCCCATGACAAACCCACTGGAGCAGAAACCCAGGGTGGGGTGAGGTGCAGGGAGGAAGGCCCAGCAATCTGTTTTAACAGGCCCTCCAGGTGATTTTGGTGGATGCTAAGGTTTGAAAAGGGACAAGGAGGCCCCCTTATATCATATCTCCATTGAAGCAGTCCCACATGGCTTCACTGAAAAGTCATGCAGAGAAGCCTCCACCCATCCCACTTTTCCTACCCACACTAGTTGGAACAAGAGTTGTGTAATCTCAAGACTTTTGCATTGGCTATAGAGAGGCGAGAAAGCCAAGCTCTGAGCTTGATTGCAATAGCTCACACATTTCCCATACTGAATGTTTGTGACTACCAGTAAGATACTCATATCCAGTTGGTTTTTTTTAATTGAAAAGTCAACTGGCAATACTGATACAGATATCTGGCTGATAATTTGTAGAACTGCTGGTAATCATGCTGGCTCACACCTGCCCCGTAAATTACTATATATAAGTTCTGAGGCCCCTGAGGACCAGGTACGTTTTAACAGTAAAGAACAGCCACTGCTGTAGTTTTCTTTTCTTTTTTTTTTTTTTTTTGAATGGGAGTCTCACTCTGTCGCCCAAACTGGAGTTCTGTGGCCGCTCCCGGCCACCGCAGCCTGGACCTGCTGGGCTCCGGCGAACCTTCCACCTCAGCCTTCCAAGGCGCGGGATTACAGGCTGAGCCACCAAGCCCGGCTACTGCTGTAGTTTTCAACATGCTTTCTCATATCTCAGTTTATGCCTTCTCTCAGATCCACAGAGAAATGGCAGAAGCAGAGTTATTCAATTCCCCACCCATGGTGACAAAACAGTCACCTGACTCCAGGCTCGTGCTGTTTCTAATGCTCCAACAAGCCATTTCCAAAGTGGGGTCAGGGAAAGGAAGCGAGGAGGAAGCCAAAAGACAGCAGGGCCTGATGGGACCCCAAGTATCAGTCAGCATTGGGACAAACAGAATGGGGAAAGCATCAATACTATCACCATTCTGACAGGATGAGAATAATCTCTGGCAATTTTTACCTTCCAGAATTTGGTGAGCCCTGGAGTCCCGTACATACTGCTGAACAGCATAATCCTTCAGGTAGCCATAGCCTCCATGCATCTGTAAAGCTTGGTTGCAGATCTTCAGTGAGACAGGGATTAGATGTCTTTGATTCTTGGAAGTTCATGGAAAAAGAGGCTTCCCTACCTACTCCAGCCCACAATCTGGCAGCTTGCTTTCAGATGAGAGTAAAAACAACCCAAAGCTAAGGCCATGTATGAGGCTCCATATTCCATGTGGTCCGAGACAGCAAGGAAAATAAGGGAAATTCACTTACTGAACGTGTCATTTCCCATCAGACAAGCAACTCAAAGAGCTCTCTGCTTTTCTTGCTGATTACCCACCAGAAGCAGCCCACAACTACCTTCGCTGGTATTATATGAAACTAAAGTGCCATCTAGTGGCAATGTAGCTTCAGTGCAGCTCTCCCCCGATGATGTAAACACGGCAGAGGCACTGGGCTACTGGGAACCTTCCAAAGGTGGTGCCTCATCTAGAACACAACCAAATGACAATGACATAATGAAGTAAGTAATGGCATGAAGCAGGCCAAAAACAAGCTATGAGCACTGCCATGCAGGCCTCTCATGAGTTAATTTATATCCTTAAGATCCAAGGTAATCCCTGCAGCATCCCAGGAGAGCTGGGTTCCAAAGTTGACTCATGCCTCTCAACATCCCTGAGCCTGCAGATGCTCCCTGTCTGTCCCAGTAGAACTACATGGCTTATCACTTACGGCAAAGCATTCATCTGTAGCAAACAGCTTAGCCATGGAGCACAGGGCCACTGCATCTTCCCGCTCCTCCTGCAGAGCCACCGCTGCATTGCGGATTATCAGTCGCGAGGCCACCAGCCTTGTTGCCATATCAGCCAGTTTGAATTGCAGGTACTGCATCACAGGAGAGAAGAGAAGCAGACAAGACAAAGAGGCTTGGGCCAGCACCTGTTCTGGGACCCTCGATAAGACATTTCTAATAAGGTGCCTTTTCTAAGTGAAGCAAGGCTTCAAAGTCTCTTGCCTCTCTTACACAGGAAATTTATTGCTTTTTAAGTTCTAAGTCCACTTTGAGTGCCCTGCACTTTGATATTATTACCTCCTGACAAAGACCATTGTTAGAAATAAAGCACAAGCTCTGGCTAAGATGGTAGTAGTAGGACTCCATGAGGGATATCACGACTACACTCTCTTAGAGAACATGGGTCTTAGAGCAGGTCTCAGATTGAAAAGAGTGGAAAGCCATGCAGAGATACAGAGACATTACCTGGTTACTGGCCAGAGGCTCTCCAAACTGCTTCCGGACATTGAGGTGGTCTCGGGTGAGGATCACTGAGGCATGAGCAGCCCCTAGAGAGCAGGAAGCTAGAGGGGAAGAACACCTATGTTCCAAATAAGCCAGGATAGTACTATTGTCCCCAGCCTGCTGCCTCCCTGACCCACCCCATCCTATCCTCACCAACGTTGATCCTCCCTCCATTCAGTCCTTTCATGGCAATGAGGAAGCCCTGCCCCTCCTTCCCAATTCTGTTGGCCACGGGGACAGCACAGTCTTCAAAGATCACGGCTCGGGTTGGCTGGGAATTCCACCCCACCTGGCAAAAATCAGGCACTGTGTGGCTGCCCAACAATCCAGCAGGCAGGGCGGCCTTTCCTGTGAAGTATGGGTTCCAGGACCCTGGGACTTAGCCTTGTAAGAACTTAAAACGAGGAAAAAGAAAAAGTTCAGATTTAAAGGCTTGTCAACACTCATAAAGATGTTTCTTTTGGCTAAACATTTTTTAACTTATTAAGAGAATCTGCTTTCTAACATGTAGCCTCCAGACTAACCTACAAACGCTTCTCAATACTTCTATGACTACAGCAGGATCAACCCTCCTTTTTGGTGCCTCTATGAGAATACTCTTTTATAAGAGAAGAGACAATATAAGAATTATATGGAGAAGTTAAAGTTATTTCTAAAGGCCTTAACAAAACCACACTGCCCTTTTAAAATCTTAGTGTTCCTAAAAGATGCTATAAATGGAGTGGGAGGATGAACATACTCTGTGCCAGCAACACCTGGTCTAGCATTTAGCTGCAGAGAGATACAGTGATGTGCCAGCACTAGCTCAGGAAAGCTAACTCTGTACCTCTTTCCTAACTCAGCATTCTATGGTATTGCAGTAGAAACCTGAAATCAGCCATGGGCAAGGATGCCCACTTTCACCACTCCTATTCAACACAGTACTTTAAGTCTTAGTCAGAGCAATCAGGCATGAAAAAGAAAAAAAGTGTATCCAAACTGGAAAAAAAGAACTCAATCTCTGTATGCCAACAATATGCTCTTATACCTAGAGAATCCTAAAACTCCTCCAAAAGACTCCTGGACTTGATAAAATAATTCAGTAAAGTTTCAGGATACAAAATCAATAAACACACTTCAGTAGCACTGCCATACACCAGTAGCAACCAAGCTGAGAATCAAATCAAGAACTCAATTCCATTTACAACAGCAGCCAAAAAAATTAAAGTATATTTAACGAAGGAGGTAAAGATCTCTACAAAGAGAACTACACAACTCTGATGAAAGAAACTGTAGAGACACAAACAAATGGAAAAACATCCCATGCTCATGGATTGGAAGAATCAACATTATTAAAATGACCAAATTACCTAAAGTAATCTACAGAGTCAACACAATCCCCACCAAACTACCAATGCCATTTTTCACAGAACTAGAAAAAAAAACAATCCTAAAATTCATATGGAATCAAAAAAGAACCAGAAAATACCAAAGCAATCCTAAGGAAAAAGAACAAAGCTGGAAACATCATATTACCTGATTTCAAATTATACTACAAGGCTGTAGTAACCAAAACATCATGGTACTGGTACAAGAGCAGACATATGGACCAATGGAACAGAATAGAGAATCCAGAAATAAACCCAAACACCTACAACAAACTGATCTTCAACAAAGCAGACAAAAACACACACTGGGGAAAGGACACCCTATTCAACAAATGGTGCTGGGAAAATTGGATATCTACATGCAGAAAAATGAAACTTGATCCATGTCTCTTACCATATGCCACATTAACTTGAGATAGATTAAAGACTTAAATGTCAGACTTGAAATCATAGAAATTCTATAAGGAAACCTAGAAAAAAACTCTTTTGGACATTGGCCTAGAAAATAATTTATGACTAAAGCCACAAAGGTAAATGCAATAAAATAAGTGGGACTTGATTCAACTAAAAAAGTTTCTGCATAACAAAATAAATAATCAACAGAGCAAAATAGGCAACCTACAGATTGGAAGAAGATATTAGCAAACTATACATCTGACAAAGGATTAATATCCAGAATCTACAAATAATTCAAACAAATCAGCAAGAAAAAAGCAAATAACCCCATGAAAAAGTGGGGAAATGACATGAACAAACACCAATCAAAAGAAGATATACATAGGGTCAATAAACATATGAAACAATGCTCAACATCAATAATCATCAGTGAAATGTAAATTAAAACCACAATGAAATACCACCTTACACCAGTCAGAATGGCCATTATTTAAAAATAAACAACAGATGCTGGCATTGATGTGGTAAAAAGGGAACACTTATACACTGTTGGTGGGAGTGTATAGTACAACCTCTGTGGAAATTGGTATGGAAATTTCTCAAAGAACTAAAAGTAGATCTACCATTTGATTCAGTAATCCCACTAGAAGGTATCCACCTAATGGAACAGATCATTATACTAAAGAGACACCTACACTCAGATGTTTCCACAATTGCAAAGATGTGGAATCAACCTAAATGCCCATCAACTGATCAGTGGATAATGAAAATGTGATACACACACACACACACACCATGGAATTCTATTCAGCCGTTAAAAAAAGAATTAAATAAACGTCTTTTGCAGCAATTTGGATAGAATTGAAGAACATTATCCTAAGTGAACTAACATAGGAACAGAAAACCAAACACTGCATTTTCTCACTTATGAGTGGGAGCCACCAGGGATCTGCAAAGGCATAGAGAATGGTATAATGGATATTAGAGACTCAGAAGGGGAGGGGAGGAAGGAATGGAAAGATGAAAAATTACCTACAGGATATAATGTGCATAGGTGGGGCTGGTGGGTACAGTTAAGGCCCAGACTTCTTTGCCACTATACAATGTATCTATGTAAACAAAAACTATTTGTATATCCTAAAACTACTGAAAAAAGAAAAACAACAAAATAAATAAATAAATAGAGTATTTATGACAGAAATTGGCAAACATTACAAATATGGGTTGTTGTTGTTGTTTTTCCTCCCCAGAGATTTGGTCTACCAGGACATCACTGGATATGTCAGTCATCGGCTCAGAGAAAACTTTGAATACCTGAGATGTAGTTCATGTTATGTAACTAACTAGCTGTGTTTTGCATCTTTGGACAAATAACTCAATTTGATTGTCTGATGCCTTTGTTTTCCTTATATAAAATAAGTAAGTTGGACTAGAAAGCCAGAAGAGACTATTTCTTCAAACAAAATCTGATTCAGATATTTTACATATAAACAGATTAAGGCCTTTACTACTTGTTCTCCATTCATCTCCTCTTCCAAGTACTCCAATGCTTCAAAGAACTTTAAGGCTTAGGAAGGTCGATTTTGAAAACTATGAACTATATTTCCCAGTTCCCTTCTGGCTCTGAAAATACTATTGACTTCACATTATTTCCTTATATAAAAACATTCAACAGCATTCTTCTGTTTATAAGCTCTACTCCTAATCCTTTTATTTAAGGTCTACCCTCAACCCCAAGGGGGTAGCACAGGCTTTGCACACAGTAGGAATCTAGGAAATGCCTACTACTTTACAAAAAAGAAGGAACACTAAAATTCATAGCTACTTGGCAATTACATAGGGTCAGGAAGGATAACGCAGGAAAACAGGGAAACCCTAGAAGCTATAGGGAGATATATGTCTATCTAGAGGTCACTTCATAACTTGACTTCTCTCCAAAAGTACAAATTAGAGATAGATGACTGAAGCATCTGGTCTCAGAAACCTAGGAATGTCTCACTTTTCAAAGTATAGAAGAACTGTCCTATTTAGATTACTTAAATACAATCACCTCCAATAAGTTTTACTTTATTTTTAATCAAAGAAGAAAAGTGGACAACATGCTTTTCATTCCTGAGACTTCTGGTCAATGCCAGATCTTCAATATGAATCTCTTCTTGGGTAATAAAGTGTACAAAGTGTAACAAAGTTAACCAACATAAGCTGGATAAGAAGTAATAGTGGAGGCAGAGAGATGACAGCACTAAGTAACAGGTGACTTGTGGAACTTGCTGGCAAACTTTGCCACTTTCCCCAGAGGCCTAATGTTTCTTTAACAATGCCCTATTCTATTTCATGTGCTACTGTCAAAAATCCTAATAGGAGCAGTTGCTTCAAAGGTAGGTTAGCAAGTGCACAAACTTATTTTCTGAAAGAGAGCTGGAGTTGGTCTGGCAGGCGGCAAAGTCACATAACTTTAACTGTTACTTGTCCAATAGCCACTCACCTTTTTCTCCTTCTTGCCAAAACTGAGGCCTGGGGTTCCCTTCTCAACAACTACACATGAGATGCCTTTGGGGCCTGGTCCTCCTGTTCGGCACATGACCACATAGATGTCTGACTCACCACCACCACTGATGAAGGCCTGTGGGGTTGGAGAAGGGAATGCACAGGGATCAGAGAATGCATGAGTTCTCAGAGCCTACCATCTGGGAGAACCACTGGGGTCCACCCCATCAACAGGACATTGAAAGGTATAATGGCACAAAATAACTGAGGAGTGGTAAAAGGTAGCTGCTGTAACTGGGAAATTAGGGGTTTAGTTGATGAGAGTATAAAAAGGATAGACAAAAATGAATGAAATTATCTGGAATCAGATTAGAAGAGATAGAAACAGTGAGAATGAATGAAGGGAAATGGGTCAGAGGTTCTCTTCCCAACATGCAAAACTCCCTTGGAAACGTTAACTTGCAGACATGAAGGAACCAGGGGAAGGTGGAAGGTGGGAACAATCTCCAAGGTGCTCTGGGAAGACAGCATGCTAGTTAGTACCTTGGAGCCATTAAGGAGGTAATGATCTCCTTGTCGTTTAGCCGAGGTCATAAGAGATGCAGCATCACTCCCACTTCCTGAGGCAGGTATCAAAAAGGAGCAGAGAGGGGAGAAAGTCAGTGAAGTCAAGGGAGCTCAGCACAGTCCAATATCCTAGGAAATCTTCCCTAGAGAGAAACAGCTCAGTGTGTGCCATTGTAAAATCCAGACGGCCAAAAGGACATTCTGGACTTGGTGAAAACTACTTGTACCAGTTGGGCCACTGTCACCTCCCAACACACCAGCTGGCAGGGGCCTTCCTATAAGGTCTCTGGCCCACAGGACTGACATCAAGTCATGGGACTCTATTCCTCCCAGGCTAACTGCTTCATAAGCAGTGGTTGTATGTCAATGGGCTAGAAGGAGTGTTCAGTGACTCCACTAGAAACATATCTCTCTCTGCTATATCTTGCCTGCAGTGTGGCAAACCCACCTGGTTCAGTGAGGCAGTAGGAAGCAAACTTCTCCATGGTACAGAGTGGTGGGCAAAATTTGTGCCTCTGTTCCTCATTTCCATAGCTATCAATCATCCAGGCACACATGCTGACAGGTACACCAAGAAAAGACATTGACAGAAATAAATATGAAAAGAAAAGAAATTGGGGTAGGAGGATGGGGAAAGAGAACAAAGGGCCGGACAGCAAAGTAGAGTGAAGCAGAAGAGAGAGTGGGAAAGGAAAAGTCACAATTGAGAAGATTAAACTTTAAAAGAACAGATTGGGCCATTGCCTTGCTAAGCTATGGTGTGGCCATGTGTTCTTTGAGCTACGGCCAGGGCCATGTTTCCTGGCTTTGGCCCCCCTCCCCTACCTTGGGGAGATGAATCTCCTCTTTTTCTCTAATTTTCTTTCTAGACAAACTATATTTTCTAATCTTAAAAAAAAAAAAAAAGAACAGACTGGATTAAAACATATTCCTGGACTAAGGACTACCCAGAGATAACCAGGGCCAAGGTATTTCTCACCTGGATGTTCATATTACTTCTAGTTAGGCTACATGAGACACTAAAAATCAGAGAGTTTTAGTACTTTCTATTCATTTCTCAAATCACTGCAAATTCCCTTGTTGGATTGAGAAAAAGCATAACAGGACCAAAACAAGACCCTGACCTCTCTATTGGAGAAGTCTGCTGGTACCAACTAAATCTAGGATTTGGGAGAAGGCTGGCAGACCCAATTTCCTAAGGAATGCATAAAACAATGGAATCAAGTTCAATAAGCTGCAGCAGACCTGGTATGTAAGTCTAGTTCCTCAAGGGCAATCAGCGGAAAAAAATCAATCTTTTTTCTATGAATACAAAATTTGCCAATACAACCATGTGAGTATTTCATTGTGCTTTCCTAGCTTGGGTACTCACTTGTGGATGCTTATGTAGGCTGTGGTGCTTGTACAGCCTGTAGCCAAGGCTTCAAATATGACAGAGGTATCAAGCCGTGACAGTCCAGACCCACCCACATCTGTTCGTACGTAAATTCCCCCAAAGCCCAGCTGGGCTGCCTTCCGCATCACATCCACTGGGAACAGTTCCTATGTACAAAAGAGAGCAAGGCCATTAGTAAATGATTCAGAGATGAACGTTCCTTTAGGGGCAAACTGAGGGAATTTGAATGCTTGTATCTGGGAGAGTACAGGGATTCTTTTAACTTCATATGCCTGTTTGTCATCTTACACTTGTATCAGATAACAGATATTCTGTAAGAACTATTCTTCTCACATTAAAGTTTCATTTTATTATCTATAGAACTCCCTCAGTTTTAAGTCCAAATCTGTGTTTAATTTTTATTTATTTGTTTGTTTGTTTTTTGAGTCAGAGTGTCACTCTGTCGCCCAGGCAGGAGTGTAGTGGCACGCTCATGGCCACCGCAGCCTTGACTTGCTGTGCTCAGGGAATCCTTCTATCTTAGCCTTCCAAGTAGCTGGAACCACAAGCCTGTGCCATCAGCCTGGCTAATTTTTTGATTTATTGTAGAAATGAGATCTTGCCATGTTGCTCAGGCTGGTCTCGAACTCCCCAGTCCAAGCAATCCTCTCAACTCGGCCTCCCAAAGTGTTGGGATTACAGGCATGAGCCACTGCACCTGGCTCTGTGTTCAATTATTTTTTTAAAGTATCTATAAGATAATCAGGATGAGCCGGGCTCGGTGGCTCAGCCTGTAATGCTGCGCCTTTGGGAGGCTGAGGTGAGTGGATTGCCTGAGCCCGTGGGTTCAAGACCTGCCTGGGCAGCGAGACCTCATGTCTACAATAAAAAAAAAAAAAAAAAAAAAAAATCAGCCGGGCGTGGTAGCGCATGCCTGTAATTCCGGCTATTCGGAAGGCTGAGGCGGAAGGATCGCTGGAGCCCAGCAGGCGAGGCTGCGGTGGCCGGAAGCGGCCACTGCACTCCAGTCTGGGCGACAGAGTGAGACTCCAACTCAAAAAAAAAAAAAAAGATAATCAGGATGATTTCTATGAAAGGAATCACTCATGACTGGTACTCACTTGGAGTAAGAGTTGGTAAGTAGAGAAAAGATACCAAATAATTAGAATTATCAAGAGATTAAGATAAAGGTCATCGCATGAGACATTTTTGGAACACCTAGACACAAGGGAAACTCCTACCTTCTGGTCCCACTCTGCCATATTTGGAGCCATCTCCCGAGCTGCAAAATCAAAGGCCACTTTCTGAAATTCTTTCTGCTCCTCATTAAGTCCTATGGAAGCTATGGGCAGGAATGTATATAATCAATTCTACTACAGGGGTCAGAGAAGAATACAGTCAACAAGAAGAACCACAAAGCTGAGACAGTGGACCTACTATGGCATTTCCCATAAACAGTACAGCCTTTAACAGCAAGAGAATGGTATCTTCCATCACTAATCAGTTTATCAGAAGGAGAAGAGACAGTTCCAACACACACCCACATCAACCTAGGACAGGTTGATATGGTTGATACATGGGATTTCCCAGACATCTTTTATCCTAGTCACTTAGTAAAATACAGTCACAGCTCTACAGGTAAATATCAAATCTTTGGTCATTATGAGTAGCACTAAAGAGCACTAAAGTAACACTATGAAATCACACTAGATAACAATTACTTTGTGCCTACTATTGATGCATGGTCCTTCCAAATGAATGTAAGTGCAGGTGTCAGAGTCTGCTCTTCTGGAGCAAACCTGGCCATCAGTAATGGCTGGCTGCATGAGTCATAAGAAAGCACTTCTGTCTCTAACTAGTATTCTCATTAAAGCAGGAAACTCTGAAATGAATGGTTGCGAGGATTAAAGATTAGGTTACTTTGGGAAACTCAGAGCAGAAACCTATGTTAGAAATATAGTTAGGGTCAGGTGTGATGGCTCACGCCTGTAATCCTAGCACTTTGGAAGGTGGAGATGAGAGGATTGCCTGAGCCCAGGGGCTCGAGAACAGCCCGAGCAACTTGGCGTGACCTCGTCTCTACAACAAATCAAAAAATTAGCTGGGCATAGTGGCCCATGCCTGCAATTCCAGCTACTTGAAAGGCTAAGGTGGAAGGATCACCTGAGCCCAGCAGATCAAGGCTGCTATAGCCATGAGTGCACCAGTGCACTCCAGCCTGGGCGACAGAGTGAGACTTCAACTCAAAAAAAAAAAAAGAAAGAAAGAAAAATAAAAAGAAAGGAAAAAAAAAGAAAAGAAATATAGTTAGGGACAGGGATAAACAGTTCATGGTTCTCTGCCGGAGGTCTGGCCATTTACTCGCACAATCTTTGCACAAGTGTTGCTGTAGATCATGGCTCAAAGATCATCCACAAAAGAAAATTGAGTGTCTACTACATAGTGCTGGGGCTACAAAGATGAATACGGTTCATTTACACCAAGGATGACATAAACAGTAATAATATAAACATCTTATTGTATAAAGAGAAGTGCTACTGAATTTCAGTTCTACCAAGAACTCAATAAATGATAACAATCAAATAAATAACAGGAAATAATTTCAAGTAAATCATATGCATAAGTAAATGCAACATAATTGCATATTCTTTTTAGATAGATGGCAAATACAGTCAATTTTTAAAAGGTAATGATTAACAAAAGGAAAGCCTTGGTTGGAGAAAAAAAGTGAAAAAAGGCAAATGTAAAAGTAACGTATACAAAAGAGAGTAAATTATACATGGGAAAGTATGATGACTAAGTAAAAATACCTACGTTCCCAGAAAAAATACACTATAAAAACAAAACAGACACCAGGCCTCATGAACTTTGTCAGAATGACTGACACAGCTTAAGATGCCAAAGCATACACACTAAAAAGGTAAAGTTGTCCAGCCACTCAAGCAAGATGCAAAACAAAACCAAAAACACCTCTGAATAATTCCTTATCTGCTTTGGTATCTATCAACCAGGGTGACCTTGTTTATCAAATTCTAAGTGGGAGAACAGGGAAGTACCTCTTGAAGGAGTTTTAGAACACTGAAAACAGTATTCTACACCTTACTATACTTTACAGATCTAGTGTCAATGAAAGGGATTTATTCTGCTATAAAGAAAAATGTCATTTATTTAAAATAAGTAAAAATTGCTCCAGAAGAAAAAAGTGGTTAGGTGCTTGACAAAGAAGTCACAAACTGGTTGGTATCTTTGAGTTCCCCTACGTCCCCACCACTCCCTGTTACATTCAATATCTGCCTGGTGCCTAAGGACATTCACATTTGTAACTCTGGTAGAGCTGTCCATTTGCAATAATAGCTTCTCTTCCTGTATGACTTTCAACAGTGAAAAATGTTTTATAGCTATAGGTTTGCTATAAAATCTATAAATGCAAGCAAATCTTGTTTTACCCAGAAGTTTTGTTCAGTTATTACCACCAGCACCCAGCTTTTTACATTCTCAATACTTTAATGACCTATTGTTATGATTTTAAAAACTAACCATACAAACAACAACAGCAACAAAACCACAAGTTTCTTCACTTCTCTAAGCATACAAAGGTGAAGGGACAGAGCGGGAGCCTGGTCAGGAGAGACAGGACGGGGAGGAAGCCGGGCCGAGGGGAACGGGACAGGGACGAGGCAGAAGCCGGGCCCGGGTGACGGGACGGAGGGAGAAGCCGGGCCTGGGGTGACAGGACGGAGAAGAAGCCCGACCGAGGGTGATAGGACGGAGCGGGAGCCAGGTGGGAGTGACGGGACGCAGTGGGAGCCGGGCCGGGGAGTGGGTAAAGGGACGGAGCGGGAGCCGGGCCCGGGGACGACGGCCCGCAGCGGGAAGCCGGACCGGGGATGACTGGACCGAGGGGGAGCCGGGGTGACGGACGGAGCGGTAAGCCGGGCCGGCGGTGACAGGATTTGGGGGGGACTGCGGCCCATAGCGGATGCCCGCCTCCCAGAGAGAGCCTTACGATCTATGCAAGAGGTCAAACTCCGGGGACCGGTCTGGTCGAGAGCCCGGAGACCGCCACGCAGGCAGACGAGGCGCACCCCGAGACGCCGGCAGCCAGTCCTCAGCATCGCCGCCGCTCCTGCCCAGCCAAGGCCTGGGCACCCTCGACCTCCGCTGCCCTCGCACTGGCAGAGAACGACGGCGTGACAGCCACTTCCCCCACTGCACTCTGGGGGTTGTGTCCACCCACAGGCCGTCACAGCCCGGGTCCCGGGCAGGCCGCCGGAGCGCCAAGACTACAATTCCCAGAGATCCTAGGGCCTCGCCCCAACAGATACACGTCATCAATCAAGCGACGCAAGGCGCGCTGCCAGGTCTCTAGCACCGGAGGAGGTGGCCAGCCATCTGGTCTGCGGAGTGGTGAAAGTTGTTCCGTAAGGAGATGGTGCATGGATGGGAGAAGGATCAAGGAAAGAACTAAGGAGAGGCTATGAGAGATGGTCATGGCTTAGATAACGGAGGGAAGAATTTGAGGGGCGCAAGCACAATTGTCCCTGTCATTCGCAAAAGTCTGAGACCCTCTAGGATTCCTCTCATTGCCTCCATTTTGCGCTGCACTGCTTTTGGCGGGCAGTAGAGCTGCTTCTTGTTTCTCGGTTGCTTCCAGAATCATTCGCACCCCCAGACCTCTGCAGGGAGACCATGCCGAGACCCCGGAAGAGGCTGGCTGGGACTGCTGACCCAGGTGAGCAGCACCTAGACTGCAAAAAAGGCAGTCCCGTAAAGAACGTTTCTCAGCCGGCTCAGTCTGTAATTCCGCGCCTTTGGGAGGCTGAGGTGAGTGGATTGCCTGAGCCTGCAGGTTCGAGACCCGCCTGGGCAACTTGGCGAGACCTCATTTCTACAATAAATCAAAAATTAGCCGGGTGTGGTAGCGCGCGCCTGTAGGTCCAGCTACTTGGAAGGCTGAGGCGGAAGGATCGCCGGAGCCCAGCAGGTTGAGGCTGCGGTGGCCGGAGCGGCCACTGCACTCCAGTCTGGGTGACAGAGTGAGACTCCAACTCAAAAAAACGTTTCTCTAGGACCTGTTTAATACTATTCATTTTCTACTCCCTGCTTGTGGTAAGAATCCTTTGTGATTTATTTTATATCCCTTCATATCTAACCGCCCTCCATCTTTTCTCACCAAGCTTCCACCTAGAGTACCTTCTGTTTGTTCATTCGAGCAACAGCTATTTGTTAAGCGCAAATAGTTGCGATGCAGGGAGGCAAGTACTAAATATACAGTCCTTGCTCTCATGGAAAATGTAAACAACTGTGACAGGAATTTTAGGGGTATGAGACATAGGGAGGAATCATAGGGAAGACCTTGAGAAAGAAGTGGAATTTGAGTCTAACCTTGAATAGAAAGGTTTTCCACAGGCAAAATTTTAGTTCTCAAAAAGTGATGTCATTTTTATATTCACAAGAATGAATGGCATTCTAAGTGGATGCAGAGCAAAAACAAAGCAATGGAAAGTACAGAAATTACCTCTTTGGGGAATGACAAGCCTTCCAGATTGACTATAGCACATTGCAGTTATTTAACAACACGTGGTGTTTGTGGTGTGGTTATTAACCTTTAAGGACCATTAGGAAATCAGGCTAAGTAGGTATGCTGAGTTCAAAGCATTAGACATCCATAAGTGGTATTTAATGACAATTGTATAGAAATTTAGATATAGCAACTTAGACTAATTTTAACAGGCAGTATAGTATAATCATTAAATGTAGATTCAGATAGATCCAAGTAACTGCCTGACCTTGTATCTTGATTCTACTGTCACTGTATGTGATGTGGAGCATTTTTTTTCCAGATGAAGAGAAAGTCTCATAGGTTATGTAAATTAACGGAGTTAGGGTTAGGGTAACAAATAGAGCTTGGGGCTTAACATATAGTAAAAATGTAACAACTTAAGTATTGAGTTCCTACTATGTTCCAGGCACATTCTCTCTCTCTTAGGATAAAATGTTTACACAGTCCTGAATTAACTGCCTTTTCCAACTTTTCTTAGCACCTTTAAGGAGCAGAAAGGAGGCCATAAAGTACAGTGAACAAGAAGGAAAGAAGTATGAGATGCCTAATACTTACTGAGCAATTACTGTGATCTAAGCCTTTTGTTGTATTATCTCATTTAATCTTAAAACCAATCCCAAGTAGGTACCCAGTTTCCTCAGTGGAGAGAGCAAGTTGAGCAAAGAAAAGTAGATGATTAAGGAAAATATGTATTGACTACCGCCAAAATCTTTAATCCTAAACAACCCTGTATTCTTATCCCATTGAATAGAGCATCCAAAAGATATCCTATAAGATAGGTGTTTTTGTCCAAATTTAATAGCTAAGAAACAGAAGTTTCTTAACAATAAGATGAAGGTGCTACAGCTAGTAACTGATGGATCCACCATTTGAATCCAGGTCTGACTCCAAAGCGTGTATTCCACAATGGAGCATTACCACACAACAAGCATGACAGATCTTTTTGCTTCTCCTGTTGTAGACAAGAAGAGGCTATCAGGAAAACGTACCAAAACTGAGAACTCAGGTGAGGCATCACCTCAAGTGGAGAACTCCAGCCCTCAGAATACTTCATCCTCTGAAATTTGTGTGAAGAATCTAAGCAGGTATTGGCTGATGAAGTCAGAGCCAGAAAGCCGAATAGAAAAAGGTGTAGATGTGAAGGTGAGACCATGTACCTGTCTTCAATCCCTTCATGCTGTTTTTTGTTTTTTGGTTTTTTTTTGAGTTGGAGTCTCGCTCTGTCACCCAGACTGGAGTGCAGTGGCCGCTACTGGCCACCGCAGCCTCGACCTGCTGGGCTCCGGTGATCCATCCGCCTCAGCCTTCCAAGTAGCCGAAATTACAGGCATGCACTACCACGCCCGGCTGATTTTTTGACTTATTGTAGAGATGAGGTCTCGCTGCCCAGGCAGGTCTCGAACCCGTGGGCTCCCAAAGGCGCGGGATTACAGGCTGAGCCACCGAGCCCGGCTCATGCTGTTTTTTTAAAATGAAAAGTAAATATAAGACACCATCAGATTCTATCACCAGCTTCTTACCTTTAAAGGGTAGGGAAAAGGTTAAAAAATCAGCAGGATTTGTTACCATCAACTATCTGTTTTGTGAATCTTCTGTCTAGATCAGGGGTTGGCAGACTTTTTCAGCAAAGGGCCAGACAGTAAAAATTATAGTATTGTGGGCCTTATAATCTGTGTTGCAACTCTGCCCTTATAGCAAAAAAGTGGCCATAGATAGTATGTAAACAAACAGTTGTATTTGTGTTCAAGTAAAACTTTATTTACAAAAATCAGGCATGGGGCTAGATTTGGCCTGATAATTTGCCTTTCTCTTACTACCTGCCATGCTCTTAGGTGTCTCTCTGCCGACAGGTGGTATATATACAGGAATTATATTCATTGGTTTGTAATGAATGTAAACCAATTTTAATAATAGCCTGGGGAAAATGTCAGTAGAAATATTACAGAAGAAGTATATAATACTTTAATAAGTGAAACGCAAGTAATCATCTGGATTATCCATTCAACTAATCCTCTTAATTAGGAAGGATAACAAGGTAACACAAGGCTTACTTATATTCACCCACATGCCACTTCCCAGTGAACTTGATACTTCCACTATAGCCAATAACACATCTCATTGTGGGGGAAGGATTCCATGTATACTTAACAATTGGCCAAGGAGTGGATTGTTTGATGAATGACTGTATTTCCTCTTTCCTAGTTCGGCATTGAGGATCTCAAAGCACAGCCCAAGCACACAACATGCTGGGATGGCATACGGAATTACCAGGTAAGAGGCTTAGGAGCAGGACCCCCAAGACCCAAGGTAGGAGAAATGCCTGCTTCCCTCTCATGATTTGTTCAGTAGCAGAACCACCTGGCCATGGTTGCTTTTTCTCAGAACCCAAACTTGATAATGTATTTAAAAATACCTTACTTACTCTGACTGGATGAAATTTGCAATTGGCCTATGTTCTGGTGTTGTCTGTGTGTTTTGGCAAAGGGAAAGAACTTTCTTATGAATTGGATAACTGTTGCAAAAAAGGAAAAAAACCATCTGCTAAAAGCTAGTGCTTTCCAGCTGGTGTAATGTATAATTTTTGTTTCTTCTCCCCTGGGACAGGCTCGGAACTTCCTTAGAGCCATGAAGCTGGAGGAAGAAGCTTTCTTCTACCATAGCAACTGCAAAGAGCCAGGCATAGCAGGACTTATGAAGGTTAGTTGGATGAGTTTTGGTCTGAATCCCTTTACTTCCAAAGAGACTTACTTATGTAGATATAAAAGAATACAGCTTAAATAGGTAACAAAATAGAAGAATCCCCCTCTCTAAGCCCCCCCGTCCCTTCCAACCCCCCATCACAGGAATAGGAAAAAACTGAGCTGCCCCTTCCTGTAAGGACTTGAATGAAGCAGTCCTTCATTTCAGGTCCCACCAGGAGACTTGTCTCCACCTCTGAGCCTTGGTCTCACTCGAAAACAGGCTTCATGGTAGCTCCTCCTTCAAGCTAAGAGTTTTCAGGATAAAATTATTAACTGTGCAGGTGGGAAAAAAACAGTGGTACAGTAATTATCTTTACCATTTGGTTTTAGAACATGCTTCTAAGACTTGTAAAAACAGGTTTGATTTCCTAACTATTGCTTGCCTTGGACTACGTATAATTTCCAGATATCTGAGCCCTCATTGGCTCCACAGCAAGGCAGATGGGATAAGAATATGCAGAAGGTTAGATGTGGATAAAGATTCACCATGAAGCTGACCGTGCAGGCAAATGATGGAGACTCTTGATTTTGGTTTTAGATCGTGAAGGAGGCTTACCCAGACCACACACAGTTTGAGAAAAACAGTCCCCATTATGACCCGTCCAGCAAGAAGGAAGACCCCAAATGGTCCATGGTAAAGAACACTCTTCCTGTTTCTTGAGAGGGGCAAGATAGACAAAGGGAAGAAGTGAGTCTGGTGTGCTTTCAGGTCAAGGTACACAGCCCAGCTTTAACTCAGATGAGGTGATGCTGACTTTGGAGATAAGAACAAAACACTGGCAACCCAGCATAGGAACCTCCTACAAGTGGTTAAAAACACAGCAGGCAGAGTCTGATGGACATCTTTCTGTCACATTCACTGTTTTCACATAGGTGGATGTACAGTTTGTTCGGATGATGAAGCGTTTCATCCCTCTGGCCGAGCTCAAAACTTATCATCAAGCCCACAAAGCTACTGGTGGCCCCTTAAAAAACATGACTCTCTTCACTCGCCAGAGACTCTCAGTTCAGCCCCTGACCAAAGGTAAGAGTGGGTCTTTCCCCTTATCATCCAGCAACAGAATTCCTGTTTAACGAGCTGATTAAACTTGGGCATGGCATTCAACCTGAGTCACCTGTAATGACCATGAGGGAGGCAATATGTCCTGAGTTACCCATTACTGCATACACTATACTCTACAGTGCTTGGCACTCAGTCAGACACTCTATAAATAGTTTTTGAACAAGTGATTACCTGTTTTGGTTAACATGTAAAGTACTTGTGCCTGGCATAACTTCCCTGTTCGAGAGGAGACATTCAAGACCTAATTCTTCCCTTCCTTTTTCTCCTTTTTGTTAGAAGAGTTTGATTTTATTTTGAGCCTGGAGAAAAAGGAACCAAGTTAACTAAGACACTGTTGCTGGAATGACCAAGACATTACTCCAAGGAGGTCAAGTGTTTTTAAGACGAAGGTTTGAAAAGGCTTGCTTGCTTATGTTCACCTGGGCTTGTGTACACAGGTGGGTTTGTGTACTTTTTTCAATAAAGTATTAATACCAAAGTTGAAGCTTCTAAAACTGCATTGGGTGCAATGGAATACTTCACTGTAGATCTCTTACCTCCAGGCCGGCTCCTCATCTTCATTTACCATCATGACAGTTCTATAGTGGATAGCAGGGTGTGGGGCTAAGATGCTCAGTCTAGTAACACCCAGTAAAACGAATTTTGTCTTCTACACCAGCCTTCCTCACCTGTCCCTGAAGTCATCCAGCTCCCACAGAAATTTAAATCATCCCATGAACAGGTTCAGGACAAGTTGCTAGATAGGGGTAAAACCTGAATTCATTTCTCAGTCATGTAGTTGTCTAAAACAGGTGGTTAATAAAGTGCTAATCATTGTTCACCAGGGGCACTGAGAGTATGGGTGCTGTGTTGGGAGTCAGGGAGGGCATATGTCTTTCTAATTGTCAGAGGTAGGACAGTGTAACACAGACAAAACCATAGAACCTGGTGGACCATGGGCACAATGCCTCCAAAGCCACAGGGGCTTCCTTTAATCAGAGAGACCATTAAAACAAGGGTTCTTTTAAAATACAGCCATTGAAAAGACAACACATTAAGAAACATGTAAACACTGCAGCTGCTTAATTACAAGTTGCACTGCTTTGTTTAGTACCTATGCACTCCCAGGTTTGGGGACCTTAAGGGAGGGGCACAGGCGCCTCTCCTCATTTTCACAGTTAGACAGAGAAGGTGAGAATGGGTGTAGAGTAAGAGAAAACAGAAGACCTGGCTGTACACAGTGCCTAAGAGAATCAAAGCAAATTTGAGTTCTCCCAGAAGAAAGGCTTAAGATGTTAGGAAAGCTGGAAAATGAATTTGTGTTGTCAGTTGGGAGGCAGAGGAATTGAAAAATGTTTCTAGTTAGAATACCAGCTGTTAAAAGGAGGCAAACCAGAGTCTAATCATATGCTCTGAAAAGGCAAGGAAACTAGAACCTGCCTCCTTCGTACACTTAAGCCCCAACTTTGATAACCCAAGGGCAGCTGGATGGGTGATCCTGTTCCCATGGGGATTGTGTGTCGCAGCTGAACTCGGGGTCCTGCATGGGGGAAACAACCCTACCTTCCTTGGTTTTTCTGCCCCCCTTTCAACCTCATGAGTTACCCCAAATACCTTCCCCGCCAATCTCAGCTCTGATCCATGAGCCCTACCCAAAGGCCCAAGACTGCATGGATTTTTGAGGAAAAGAGGAGTCCTCATTTCCCATGCTAACTAAAAGGTAACACAGGAACCAACCCCTCTACATTCCAAATTAGTAAGAACTCAGCCCACCAGATATTGTACTTATTGGCCAGAGGGGTCTGGTTGGTCTTTCTATAAAGGGAAGGGAGGTCAACAGGAGAGTAATTCCTATCATCTCCAGAAGAGGCAGAAAAGGACAATAAATACCTTTACTGCTGTAGGCCCAAGCACAGAGCAACAGGGAGAACTGCCTTTTCTCTAGCATAACGAATATCCACAAGAATTTTTGCTAATGTTTTTATAAACAAAAAATACCAATGGTCCTAAACTGGGGTCAGTCAACTGGTGAAGATGAAGATGTATTTGGCAAGCAGAATGATTTTGAAGTGTGGTAGCACTATCTTCTGCTGAGGCCCACATGTCCTTCCCTTAGCCTGTAAGGAGAGGGTGAAGGAGCTTGGGTGGTAGTAAGAACAAAATTTCCAAGTGTTTGAAACCAAACCCCAATTCCTAGAAATTAAATAGAGGGCAAGAAGAAATAAAGGTCCACTCCCAGGGAGGTAAAGGGATCAGGCCCCTTCCTGGGATCACTTCTGAAAGGAAACAGACCCTCGTTGCTGAGGGCTTGTTGGGGCACATAGAACAATATCCTAGAACAACCCAGACTTCAGGGGTTGCCGTGTGGAGTCACATGAAGGCAGACAGTTGCCATGCATTGATCCTTCTTCCTCAGCGGGCCTGGCTGCTGCCATCCATGCGTGACACTGACCTCAGGGCCTCTGTGCCCAAGGCTCTTCCACAGCCTTCTGTTCCAGAATGTTACTGACAATCCAGAGAAGATGAAGAGAGGTGCCTGGATCCCAGCAGTGAGAGGCCAGAAAGAAGGTGGCCTATGGAAACTTCAGAGCACCACATCCAAGACTCCCAGAGAGGTAGCTTCCTGATCTTGAATCTTCCTCCTGCCATTCAGGATGGGGCAGGCCCAATTCCCACCACTACACCTCAGGGACAGCAGAGGGGAGTACAAGACATGACCACCCAGGGCCCTGTTGGCAGCTCAGAATCTCAGGGGCATGCTCAGATCCCGTATCAGGAAGCTCAGGGAGCCAGGAGCCAAGGATGCGTGCTCTCTGCTCTCTTGCAAGGGCAGTCTTAACAGAAGGCTCTTCTTCCCCCCGCCCCGAGAGACTAGCTTCCAGGATGCTACCTCTCCCTATTCCCTAGTCAGCCGCAGAATCCCAGGGAGACTGCTTCCCAACCCAAGCCCCTTAGGTTCTTCAGAAAAAAGAATTTAAGTCAGAAACATGATTTGTTTTCAGGTTGCGAGTAACGGGTCAGCTGAGCCTCATAAGGTCCTCCCCCTCCCCCCAGCCGCTGGTGTTTGGTAGATGGGGGTGCTGGGGTGGACACCCAGCAGCTTCTTGGCCCCAGGCCTACTGCCTGCAATTGTTGTCAGACAGCTGGCTGGGGGTCCGCACCTCACCCAGGGAGGTTGTGCCCTCGAAGCGCTGAGAGGCGATGGCTGCCTGGTGGGACATGCTCTTCCGTACGATGTCACCCTTCCGCCATAACACCACTTCCTGCAGAATCAGGAGAAGGGTAACATGACACCTGGGAGGGAGGTACAGGGACAGGTTTCCCAGAGGCTCCCAATTCTGCCCTGGGCAATCTTGGGCAAGAACCTCCTCTGCTTATCTCTATCACAGGCAGCAGCTGTCAGCACCTCCCTGTTGCTGGTGTGGGCCAGAGGGAGACTGGATGCACCGAGTCAGGCCTGAAAAGGCAGACTCTGTCCCAAGTGGGAGTCTGAAGTCTAGCTGTGCGATTCCGGGTAACTGAATGAGTCTATCTCTTGGCAAAATTACAAGTGGCACAAAGACTTAGAATCTCTCTCCCCTGTACCATCCTGCTTCTGCAGAAATAATGGCTTTCCTCTTCTGTCCCTAGACATCCAGGGCCCTGGAGGACATGCCTGGGTCTTACCTGCTGCTTGAAGTAGCGCCGTTCTTCCTCATCTATCAGCACCAGGTTGAGATAATAACGTACGGAGAATTTCTTGTTGATGTCCCGCATGGTGGGTGTGAGCTCATATCCTGCCAGGAAGAGCCGGATCGGGATGGACTCTCCTGGGAATCACAGCAAGGGGCAAAGTGACCCACTTTGCCTTATATCAAGTTACTCTTTGGCCACAGCAGAGATGCCACCTGAACATGGCACAGAACACTTAAAGCAAATGCTTTTGCCTTTTGAGAAGTAGCACTCTGCTGCCCGGCAGTTTGCTAAAGCCAAACTGTGACTCCCCAATCCCATTCCAGGTCTTGCTGCAGCTTCTGAATATCCTCTCCGAAACAAAAGAACGAGGAGCAGTGGAGTGGCAGCAGCATAGGAGTATTCTTGAGAGCATCTTTTACTACATGCAGTGTGTGTGTCTAGATATTGGGTTTTTAACAGGCAGCTGTCAAAGCTCAGCTAACTCACCATATCACATAGCAGTTTTAGTGCCACCTCCCTCCACCCTAATTAATGTACGCCACCCAAATACACCTCCACACTCTTATAGACTAGTGTGGTGTGGTGGTCTGAAAACAGAAGATCCTCATTCTAGCCCCTATTCTCTAGTAACTGGGTGTGTGAGTTCTCAGTAAGTCTGTTGTGTTCCTTGGACCTTAACTTTCTCATGTGAAAATTAAAGAATCACACTGCATAATCTTTTAGGTCTCTTTCGGCTTCAATATGCCTTTTCTGGTATAAGTGGAACGAAATTAGGGCAGTCATTCTGCTGAGAAAGGCCAAACCTATAATGTAGTCTAAAGAGAAATATAAATTATCTTTTAATTATCTGCTGTTTTGTATTGTTTCTCAGTGCCCCATTTCAACTGTACAGGAAAAATGACAGTTGGCTCTACTCCCACAGCAAGTGAAAAAAATGGGACAACAGAGAGTCAGGAGAGTTGGTCCCAACCCTCCAAGGCCCTGGCACAGTGACACCCAAGAATCTGCTGAGAGTGTCCCCAGGGTTGCCAAATCTGTGACACATCCTCTTCCGCATGGAACAGCCTACGGGGATAAACTGAATAAAACCTTGGAAGCACCAAGCATTTCAAAACAAAGAGAGACATTCTTCATCATTGATTATGACTGAGCAAAAGAACATAAATGACTGCTCCTTCCAAATCATTACACAAATTACCCAAATAATAAAGAGCTTTCAACTCTCCTTATCCCAGAGGTACCGTTAGCTCCATGGAGGTTGGGGAGGACTGTTTCCATCGAGTTCTCAGTGCTATCTACTGTACCTGGTAGTGTTGGTCAGAGTGTCTAGGAGTGCTCCTCCATATTTTATGAATGAATTCAGAGAACAAATCATTTTACCAGAGCTAGAACTAAGTAACAAAAGTGACTACTATCCATGAATCCTTTGCTTCCAAGCAACCAAGAATGTCAGAATGTCGACAGAAAAAAGTAGTAAAATGTTCAAACTATATCTACTAAACCAGTACTTTTCAAACTACTTTTTTTTTTTTTGGAGTTGGGGTCTTGCTCTGTTGCCCAGGCTAGAATGCATGCAGTAGCACCATTACAGCTCACGGCAGCCTTGACCTCCTGAGCTCAGGCGATCCTCCTGCCTCAGGCTCCCTAGTAGTTGGAATTACAGGTGTGTGCTACCATGCCTAATGTTTTGGTTTTTTTTTTGTAGAAACAAAGTTTTGCTGTGTTGCCCAGGCTGATCTCGAACTCCTGGGCTCAAGCAAACCTCCCACCTCAGCCTCACAAAGTGTTGGGATTAAGGTGTGAGTCACCACACCTCACCTAATTTGGTTTTTTAATAGACATAACTTTTAAGATTACATCTTAAGTATGCCCAATACGTAAACGAGATCAAGTAGAACTTTTTCGGGTAAAGATGAAGTAGGCTTCCTTTTCCTCTTTCCTGGCACCCACAGAGCATGATGAGAGAATAAGAAATTATGGGATAAGAAGACATCTCACTTTGACAGTGTAACCCCTCAAGCCCCTCTGTAATTCTGTGCAGGGCCTGGGAGAAAAGGTGTGGTGGCTGAGGCCAAGAGTCTCACCTCGCACAGGCGCCCCATCCATGATCTCATACTTGGCTATCGTGTCATTCTCGTGGTACACATTGGGGCCTGTGCCCGTTGTTTCCCGCTTGATGATGTCTATCTCCATGTGCTTAATTTTGATTCTCACCAGCAGGAAGTATATCTTTCCTACAATGACATCTTTCAAGTGGTATCTGAAGAACAGAAAGTACAGGAAGTAAGACATTGGTGCAGTGGCCAGCCCTTTTTGCTTCAGTAGAGAGCACACTGCCACGCAGGCTGATTAAAGGTCTGCTTGCAGTTCACACTCACCTATCCCCCACCCGCACCACAGCGGCAGAACAGTTTCCCAGTGTGACATTTACTTGAATTTAAGTGACTTCTGTCCCTTCCAGTCTTCCATATCCAATGAAAAGGATGTCTTTCCTGCATGATACTTCATTAGTTTATGTTTTTTCATCTGCTCTGTCACCTCCGCATGTAGCTTGCTTTCGAACCTTTTGTATTTGTGTATGTGTTTTTTAAAAGATATTCTAAGTCCCACATCAGTCCCACAAACAGGAACCAGTCTCTCCCTTCCTCTTTGATCTCCACATGATGTCTTCTGGGAACTGGACCTCTGTGGCTCACACACACAGTTCTGTCTGCTTTGGGCCACACAGGCCAGGCAGGAGCAGCAGAGCAAGATGGACGAATCATCTTCTGCATCAGCGCCTACTTTCTGGGCTCCACTGGCATGGCTTTGTGAGCTGTTAAGAAGTTAGCCACGTTGCATAACACTTCCTGACCCTCAAGCTTTACTCATGGGTCAGTCAATAGTACTGGTAGTCTACATGTACACAACTTGTATCATGCATGGGAAAAAGATAGCCAGATCTCCAACCCTGAAGCTCTACTCATGGGACAAAATACTGGCAGAGACCAGAGTTCAGCCTCCTTATATTACAGGTGAAGAAAAGGATGTTGGAAGAGAACAGGTCATTTGGCCAGGATGCGAGTAGGGGGTAGAGAAAGGAGGTGAGCCAGGATCCTAGTTCCAAGGCTGGCATGCTTCCTAATATTCCCACCACCTTCTGCTGACAGTCTACAAAAGACTTCAGACACTGAGAAGACAGCCTCAGCATACCTGTAAAAGCAGCACTTCACAAGGGAGCTTAGAAACCCTGGGCTCTAGGGGTTTTCGGTTTCAAATGGAACATTCCTTTATTCTGAATAAAATCATATAGAGAAGCATACCTGTGTCATAGACATGAAGAAGTTGCTCTTGGATAGAAGGAAAAGGTACAGCCAGTAGGACCCAGGGCCCCGGCTCCTCCTCCACCTCACACTTTCTGTGTGTGTTTGGACCACTGATCTGGTCCAAGTCCCTCACTTTGCAGATGAGAAACTGAGGTACAAATGTTAGTAGCTGCTAACTTTGGCCCAAATTCTTCATGGCAGAACAGGATCTGATTCCAAATCCCAAGATCTTTTTATGCCATAGAAATCAGGCAATTTAACATGGAGCAGTCTGTAGTACAGGCACAACCTGGAAGTGTCCAGTCTGACTCTCCAGAGCCTTTTTTACATTAGCTTTGGTCTAGCATGCACTGCTAACCAGTGGCTCTTTTGAGGTCCTGCAGGTGACTCTACTGCCAAACACTGCCTTCACCAGGTGGCTGGGGCAACAGGAGCAGGCATTCTGTGTGGCTCCTTTCCAGGCAGGGCCATACAGCCCCAAGGCTATGAGGAGAAAGGGAAGAGTCTGTTCCCATGCCAGGCCAGGATTCTCCTGGTGCACCCCATCCTCTGATCCACAGGCCTCAGGTCAAGCAGGGCCAGCTATGGGTCACACTAGTCATTTTACTGGGGCCCTCTGGGATCTAGGCCAGTGGCAGGGGAAAAAATGGATTTTTTTTTTCCTTCACCCCTATTCAGGAACCAAGTATGTTCCCAGTTTTTAAAACTTCTGTTCCCAGCCTCTTCAAAGGTGAACCATCTGGGGTAGCTCCCACCAACCCCAGCCTCTGGGTGGCAGTGAGCCCGGGGACACCACAGGGAAAACCCTAGTTAGAGACTGTGGGTTTGTTTTGTTTTGTTCTCTGTGAAGAGTATGCCTGTTTTACTTTTGGATATTTGATTTCCAAACATTTTCAGACTGTATCATATTCAAAAGATAGATGCTTTAAAAACATTCAGACTGTCAGAAAGTTTTGTGATTCATAAGCAATTCAATATTTTGATGTTCTCAAAGTAAAGTTTAAAATATACTCTTTTCCCAACTTGCCAGGTAAAGTTATTTTAAGACCATTATAAAAATATATCAGGTATTCTTTGCTATAATTCATTTTAGTATAGGAAGGAAGCAGCAAGCTATGGCCAGTTTTGATTTCTAAAGACACTCATGGAGGAAACAAATGATAATGGAATGGTATTCTGATTTCTCACATCCGTAGAAGGAAACAGCTGAAACTAGACTCCAAAACAACATTCAAGTTAGGTTAGCTTGATTTTCAAAGGCATCATAGGAAGTTTTACTTAAATATACCACCTAAATTTAATATAATTTAAGTATATGAAGTTTTTATTTCCTGATCAATCTACCTGTAGCTAGTCTAACACCATATTCATTATATTATTTCTGTGGTCTTCCCCACAACACGTCACCACAAACCTTCTTAAATAATAATTCCACAACCTTGGGGCCCAGGACACTTACTTGGATTTATTATACTCAAACTCAATGTGCAGACAGTCCTCAATCCCAACCTCCATCTTGATGGAAGAGTTCAGCTCTGGGTATGTGCTGAGCGTGTGAACTACAATGTCCATCTCTTTGACGACATCGTTGAGGCGGCGGCTGATGGTGGCTCGAAGGAAATAGCTATAGGAGATGGAGCTGTCATGAATAAACTCTCCCAATCTGCAGTGGCTACTTAGATGTAGGGACCAAACTAGACCACATAAGAACCCCTTGCAGAAGTTCTTAACCTTTTTGGGGGCTTTAGATCCTTTTAGGAATTTACAGACCTTCCTCCCAGAAAAAAATGTATATATGCACCTATATACAAAATTTTGCACCTATAAATTCTAGAGAGTTCAAAGACTTTTCCCCTAAATCCCCTTTTGGAGACTATATCCCCAGGTTAAGAACCCTGCTCTAAGTAAAAGTGACTGCTGTGAACTCCAGTAGCATGTTATTCTTAGGTCTCTCATGGCCCTTACTATTATCTATCAGGTATTTGTGTACAGGTTTTAATTTCTTCAACTAACTCCTGGCTTTTGGGACATAGAGATCTGTGTCGTACTCTTAGATTTATATACCTGCTCATTTAGCAATATTCAATCAATAAACCTTTTTTTAAGTCCCTCACAGTTAAGAGAGTAATAAGGAATGGAAAAATTAAGTTAACTATTTGTTCAGTAAACATTTATTGAGCTAACATTGTGGTAGCACAGGATAAGATACTGTTTCATAGGAAGCTCACAGACCACTGGGGGAGATGAGCAAATGAGGAAAATGAGAACACATAAAAAGGGCTAATTCAGATACCTCAAGCCATGGGGAAAGAAAAAAAGGCATTCTGGGAAGAGCAAACCTTACGTCGAGGAGCTGGTTTATTTGAATAACAAGTCTTTGGGAAAACCTAGGATCCTTGGAGAGGAGGTTGCTGCAGTAGGGGACAGATTAGAAAGAAGGCAGAGACACAGCCCCAGAAAGGTTAGCAAGCCTGACTTCTGTGGCATGTCAGTTCAGCACTGCTTCCTCACATCCCTGTCCCCTTGACTTACATTGTGCTAATATCTAATGGGGGGAAATCCTTCACTCAAATTTCCACTCAAATTTTCTTCCCAATGAAATATATTGTTTTAATATAATACAAATATTATAAATAAATTATATTTTCTTCTTAATAAAACTTAGATAATCCCCTACCTGTCATGTGTTACTGGCGAAAGCTACAAAGACATGCTCACCAGACCAACTACATATCCAAGTACCATCTTCCATGTGGCAGTGACTGCTTCATGGTAATCCTTTTTCTTTATCTCGGTGACTTACATCACACTGCCCAAGATATCTGTCCTTAACCCTTTTCTTTCTTTTTTTGGAGTCTTACTCCATAGCCCAGGCTGGGGTGCAGTGGCCTGCTCACAGCCACCCCAGCGTCAACCTGCTGGGCTCAGGCAATCCTTCCGCCTCAGCTTTCCATGTAGCCAAAACTACAGGTGTGCGCTACCATGCCCAGCTAAATTTTTTATTTATTGTAGAGATGAGATCTTGCCAAGTTGCCCAGGCTGTTCTCGAACCTGTGGGCTCAGGCAATCACCTCACCTCGGCCTCCCAAAGTGCTGGGATTACAGGCTTGAACCAGTGTGCCCAATCCCTGACCTTTTTCTAACTGCTCGGGTTCCCAAGCTTCCCTAAGCCCCTGTCTGTGGAAGACACTGTTTTTTACTCTACTAAGGAAATGAAGGCCTTCTTGGTCAAGATTTATAGTTCTTTCTCCTCTGCTTTGTGCTGTTTCTTATTTAAAGCCTAAGCATGTCTTTGCATCTCCATCCACCCTCTTTCCAGTAGCACCTCTGTCTCTCAAGATCTTTTCTTCTCCTCCATCTGGCACAAGAACTCTCCTTGTGGATGCACATTAGAATCACCTGGAGGGAGAAAGGCTCTAAAAATCCTGATGCCCAGGCACATCTGACATGTAATTGTAAAGTGCAATGTGGGAACCTTGGTCCAGTATCTTGATCCTTCTACTTTTCTGATTTTTCCAAGATCATCCATCTCTCCCTAGTTAAAGACTTTTCCCTCTGAGCCTATAAACAGTCCCACAGTCACCAATCTCAGAAGCCTTCTCCAGGCCTTGCACTCCTGAACAACCATACTTTCCCTTGCTTTCTTCAGCGACGGCTGTCACAAGACATGTCCTATGCTGATGTGATGATTTCTTAAACAGCCACTGCTACCAACCCCATGCTTCTGTCTCCACCATCCAACAGAAACTGCTCTGCTGACAGTAACCTGTGGCCTCCCAGTTGCCACATCCAGTGGCCTTTTCTATGTGGTATGAAAAGTTCCTCCTCCATGAAACACTCTTCTTGTGGTGCCACAGAAGGCACTGCGTTGATTCACCTACTTCTTCCCCCTTCTACTATCCCCACTGGGAGCTGGCTCTTCTCTCTCTGAGCTCCTCTCCTTGGAAAACGTGTCAGTTATTACCTCTGAACAGATGATTCCCAACTGTGTATTTCTAAGTTTCCCTTCTGTCCTCAGCACCAGGTTTGCGTTGCCAAATGTCTAGGGAACTTTTTCTCTTCTGTATTTTGCCAGTACTTTAACCTCCTCTCGAGAATTGGATGAGCCATCTTATCACTAAATCATTTCATCCTCCTGACAGCCCTCTATCTCCATTGCCAAGGCTGTAAACCTCCACTCACTGGTAAGTGCTGCTGGGGTCTATCAAGTTCCTTGTCTTCTGCCTGTTCCCATCATGCCCACCATAGTAAAACTCTCAGGACCTCATAACAGCCTTCTGATAGTTCTACCTCCACACTCTTCCCTTCCACCAGAAGTTACATAATGACTTTAATCTGCCCCATCTAAAAACAGGAAAAATGTCCAGATCATCCATCTCTCCCTAGTTGTGTTCTCCCTCTGCCTTTAATAAGATACAGGCTCTTAATCTGGATGTCACATCTTCTATAAACTGTCTTCAATTAATTTTCCCATCGTTCCCTCCTCTCTTTCTCAACATAAATCTTGAAGTCTTCATCTAATTTGGACAGTATTATTCCTTTCTTCCTTCCTCTCTTATGGTAAAACATGCATAACACAAAATTTACCATTTTAACCATTTTTAAGGGTACAGTTCAATGGTATTAATTACATTCACATTGTTGTACATCCACCACCATCCATCTCTAGAACTTTCCCATCATCTCTGAGACTCTGCCCTCATTAAACATTAACTCCCCAGGTCCCCCTCCCACCATCCCCAGGCAACCACCTTTCTACTTTCTGTCTCTATGAATTTGAATGCTCTAGTACCTCATGTAAGTGAAATCATACAGTATTTGTCCTTTTGTGACTAGCTTATTTCACTATTTCACATAGCATAATGTCCTTAAGGTTCATCCATGTTGTAGCATGACAGAACTTCCTTCCTCTTTAAGGCTGTATAATATCCATTGAATGCATATACCACATTTTATTTATCCATTTCATCCACTGATGGATACTTGGGTTGCTTCCAACTTTTGGTTTTTGTGAATACTGCTATAAACTGTTTGAACATATCTGTTCAAGCCCTTGTTTTCAATTCTCAATATATATCCGGAAGTGGAACTCCTGGATCATATGGTAATTCTATGTTTAATTTTTTTGAGACATTGCTCTACTGTTTTAAAAACATTTAAGACAAATCCACTGGGGGGAAAAAAAAAGATTAATAAATCTGGCCAGGTGCGGTGGCTCACACCTATTAACTCAGCACTTTGGGAGGCTGAGGTGAGAGGATTGCCTGAGCCCCCATGTTCAAGACCAGCCTGGGCAACTTGGCGAGATCTCATCTCTAACAATAAATCCAAAAAAAAAAAATCAGCCAGGCATGGTGGCGTGTGCCTGTGGTTCCAGCTACTCGGAAGGCTGAGGTAGAAGGATAGCCTGAACTCAGCAGGTTGAGGCTGCAGTAGCCGAGAGGGTGCCACTGCCCTCCAGCCTGGGTGACAGAGTGAGACTCCAACTCAAAACAAATAAATAAATAAATAAATAAATCCTAGTCCATCTTAAACGATGATTAGATAATCCTCACTAGTGCTGCCTTCTCTGAGTGCCACAAGATTGCACAGAAGTTAAATTAGAAAATATAGTTAGCCGGGCTCGGTGGCTCAGCCTGTAATCCCACGCCTTTGGGAGGCTGAGGTGAGTGGATTGCCTGAGCCCGCGGGTTCGAGACCTGCCTGGGCAGCGAGACCTCATCTCTACAATAAATCAAAAAAATCAGCCAGGCGTGGTAGCGCGCATGCCTGTAATCCAGCTACTTGGAAGGCTGAGGCAGAAGGATTGCTGGAGCCCAGCAGGCGAGGCTGTGGTGGCCGGAAGCGGCCATTGCACTCCAGTCTGGGCAACCGAGTGAGACTCCAACTCAAAAAAAAAAAAAAAAAAAACTTCTCTGCCAAGATTTTAAAAGAGCCTACACTCTTCTGATGGAAGAGAGAACAGAAGAAGAAAAGGGAGGTAAAGGTCTTGCTGTAGTCTGCACCATCATAAGCTCAGTCCTTCAGGTGACAAAATGAGCTGAGCTTATGAGAGTATCAAGAGGAGTCTGCTTTATCCCAGTAATGTCACATAATTTTAAGGTTACATCTAGGAGTCTATAGCTGCTGTAGATTTTTTTTTTAATTCCAAAGGCCCTGGCATCAGTCCCTTTCTTCAAAGTTTCCACGACTAAAACAATAAAAACAATCCCATGTACTTATAACATGTCCATTAACATTTTAAGGACTTGTCACACTGTGTTACATTTTATTTTATAACCCCCAAAAGAAGAAAAGAACAGATATAGAATTAGAATTCAAATCTGTTACCTATTTTTCAAGACAGAAAGCTGAGTTACAGAGCTCAAGATCACATTGCAGTTGTGTGGCAGAGTTGGATGGCAGTCAGTGTCTCCTGACACCCAGCCAGGGATGCGCTGGTACCAGCTCAGTTATGAAAACTGACTCTTGAATCTTCAGGAATTTTATAAACTGGCTGTTAAACATAGCAGTTACTTAAAGCTAAATTATGTAAAGTTACAATGAAATGAATTATATTAAAAACAAAGGTAATAAATGCTAAGACTCATAAATTCCTACTGATTTTTCTATACTTGACGGTGCACTCTGTTCTTGAGGGAATGTGCGTTTAGTGTCTCCATAAGATGGCAATGCTATATAAATGTGGTTACTGCACATCTCTCCCCACCTCTGCACTTACGAACATGAGATTGGTAGCTATGGTGGGAATAATTACACTACAGAAATTGACAAATGTACAAACCAAGGGGCTTTTCTCCCAGAGAGCCTGTAGTTAAGCATTTACTAGCATTCCACAACTTCTGATACTCTTTCTTATTATACATACAAAGTTCCTCAGAAATGGGGACAACCTCAGGTCCTTGTCTTCGTGGGGCAGATTCTGAGGCACAGTGGGAAAGTAGCAGGCACCACTTACCGTAGTTTCACATTCTGCCCTGTATAGGACTCATATGGCTTCTCCACGTGGGTAAATTCAAAGTCGAAGGCCTGTGACTGAGTGATCTCTCCGGGCCGGGCCAAGTCCTTCACCAGGGACACAAATTCATGGTGGTTCCCACGGTCGTAGTAGAGTTCTGTAGAGAGAGAGCAATGCCCTCCTCTATCAGATCCTGAGCTACCTAGGGCCTAGCAAGGGGGCTCCAGGCTGGAGGTATTATTCTTCTGAAGGACCTACCTCCAAAAGAGACCCCTGCTAGCCATGTTTCCCTGACTCCTACTTCCTTCACTGCATTCCCCATACCCTCATCTCCCTCCCTCCCCACTTTCCAAAAACTCTTTGGTTTTACATAGTGAAATACCATGGTATAAAAAAGACCCATATAATCTTGCTCTAGTACATGAGGATAGCATCTCTTACTAAGGAATAAGTCATGGAAGCCAATACCAAAAATGCCACATTGTGTAAGATGTAAAACTTGGAAACTATTTTTTAAAGTGCTACATTTCTTTAAATAACTTTTCTTTTTTTTCTTTTGAGTTGGGTTCTAACCCTGTCACCCAGACTAGAGTGCAGTGGTACAATCCTGGCTCACTGCAGCCTTGACCTCCTGGGCTTAGATGATCCTTCCACCTCAGCCTCCCAAGTAGCTGGAACTAAAGGTGTACAATACCAGGCCTAGATAATTTTTTGACTTTATGTAGCAACGAGATCTTGCTATGTCACCCACACTGGTCTCAAACTCCTGGGGGCTCACGCAAGTCTTCCACCTTGGCCTCCCAAAGTGTTAAGATTATAGACATGAGCCACCGCACCTCGCTCTTTTTAACATTTTTAACTTTTAAAAGCATATGTATATTATTTAATTGTACCATCCTTCTAATAATCTCATGAAAGCTTGAACAGGCCTTATCTCCTTATTGAACAGATAAAGAAACTGAAGGACAGTGGTCAAATGACTGGTTTAGTAAAAGAGTTGGCTGCAGAGCTGAGACTAGAGCAAGTCTCCTTCTAGACTACATCTATTTCTATGACCTTGTATAACGGGGGTCATAAACAATCCACTTTGTAAGGTTGTATGAGAAGCAGTGGAGGTCATACAGGTAAAGGACTTAGACTAGTACCTAGTAGATAGCAAATAATAAATACTGCTGGTATCTCTCAAAAAGGAAGGCATATGGCCGGCCAATCTGGCATGGACATTTTAATGCTATTCCCTCCATCTAAATCAGTGGTTACTTGTACCCCACATCTTTAAAGCAAAAAATAAAAAAAATTTAAAATAATAATCACATAATTTTTTTAAAAATCAGTGGTTACTCTGAGTCTCTTTATGGGGGAGGGAAATCAATGGTTCTCAAACTGCAGAATCACCTGGAGTTGGCAGTGGGGTAGGGGGGCTGAGAACTGACATTTCTAACAAGCTCCCATGGGGCTGGTACTACATTTTGAGAAGCATTGCTCTAAATTCATCCTCTTTGGGAAATGGTTCTGGTATTTCTTTATGGTAAATTTACGCCACCCATTTGCCCTATATTATTTTGTCTGTTTGTAGTCTGCTAATTAAGTAATAAGTTTTACTATAAACATGGTCTTTTTTTTCCAGTTTGGACTGATGGTCCTTTAAAGATAAGGCCCATATCCCCAGCTCCCTGGTGGCCCCTAGTACCTGATTCTGCAGTGGTCAACTCTTAATACTGACTGTAACTATCCATGGTCACATGTCAGTTCAAACTACTACCCCTGTGTGAGAATGCAGCCTACAGCAGAGCAGAAGAACTGGAAAACAGAGCAGCCAGAACATGTTCACTGCTTCTGCAGTTTACTGCTTGAGGAGGAAGAGATAGGTCCACAGAGAAGAGCATCCAGGACAACCGCCCACTCGGCCTGGTCCCTGGCATCTCCAGGACAAAGGAGGTGAGCTCTCTCGGGGATAACTTGAATGTTAGTGCTGTGAGGGAGAGCTGCTCTTGCTCTGGGTCCACCTGAAACAGCACAAGATTAGGATCACAGCCTTCTTGGGCCCAAGAAACAAGATCTCTTGCCTCCCCAGAGCCAGCAGTGTTCAGCCCTGCCCTAGGGGAAGAATCAGCCCCACAAAGAGAAAAATGGTTTTAGGTGGTATTTTCAGTCTGAGTGCAAAAATCTACCCATTGCTGGTCTAGGAGCTGGCCCTGACAGGAAAGCATTTTGAAGCAAAGTGGGCTCTGTCCTAAGATTTCTCCAGCTTGTGAAGGTGGCAATAGTGTGAATAAACCTACAGTGGCAATGCTACCTCCATAAGGATTTGCAAGGTATTCCATGGTTGCAGTCTATGGCTGGTTTCCTGTATAGTTTCACTTTAATCAGTCTTTTATTATCAACAATCCACCTTCTCTTCCAATCACTAAATGGTATCAGCAGTGGGCAGCACTGTGGGTGCTGAGTGATAATCCCCAAAGCTGCTAAATAGAAGATAGCAGTTCCAAACTATGGGGGAAAGGTGAGCAATCCAGTAAATGTGTCTCCCAGTAGAAGTAAGGAAATGCAGGGATAGGGCAGAAACAGTGCCATGGCCAGCCCCAGTGACAAAGACTCCTCTGCTTACTCTGGCTACATGAGCCCTGGTTGATGGTGTTGGCCCCTATGTGGGAGCTGAACCCTTAACCTGGGAACCTGCTGCCTCAGTTCCTAAGTACTAGATTCTGGCCATAGTTCCAGGGCACAGAAGAATGTCCATGATGAACTTTAAGGGGGAAATCAGAGTCCAGAAGAAGATGGGAAGAGAAGGATGGAAAAATACACAAATGTGATCACACAACCCAAAGGCAACATTAGAAATAAAACATAAAAGGCACAAAGAACACTCCAGCTGCCAGCATCATGAAGTCTAGCAATGATGCAGAAGGTTCCTCCTGCCCCAGCAAGGGACTTGGGGCAGAAGAAGTACTTCCCTACATAGCATCATGTTCTCCCTAGTGCCTTTTCTCCTGGACACACATTAATATATGCTGTAACATCAGATGTCATGGAAGAGTGGCCTGTGTATGGTCTGAGTGGGGCTAGACTGGCCTTTTAAAAAAGAATCTATCATTTAGAAGCCATTTGCAATGCTTTCACAAACACTATGGGACAAGAGGCAGACACAGCAGTTCTTTCCTATTTGCCAGAAACTTTGGCTTCCTCTTGCATAAATTAAAACAAAAAGCCAAGACTGTTCTCACAAGAGGAATGAGCCTTAAAGAGACTGTAAACTGCCTCTATTCCATTCCAAAGAAGCAATCACAAGCCATCCCCTAACGCTTCCCAATCTCCAAAGTTCTCAAAGATCAGACATGTCAGGCCAGAAGTAGGAACTGAGTATATTTTTGTTAAGGTAACTACCCTGTCTGACTTCCTTCTCAGTCCAACAGGAGGAAATAACTTCTGTACTCGGGATATTTTCATGGTGAAAATGGTTGAGAAGTGAATTTACCACATTAAAAGGAAACTGAGCCCACTATGTACCAAAGGTCAGACAAGTGACAGATGCTGAGCTTGGCAGCTGGGCCAGGACCATATTTAGTCCAGGCTTCCTGCTGGTCTTGGAAGAAACATAAGTCAGCAAGGGCAAAAAGCCCTCCAGAAACCTCCTCTTCACCTCACTTTCCCAGTCACTGTTTGCTGGCTGGCAACCCAATCAGGATCTGTGCCTGCCACACCCCACCCTCCCATCTCCTGGCCCCTGGGAAACCTGCACCTCTGGGCTGCCCAAACTCAGCTAAGTGCAGAACTGCTCCAAGCCCTGCTAGCAGTGTTTAAAGTAGGCCAGAACCAATCCATTTCATCTTAATGTAATTTTTCCTTAGTATTTCAAGGGTTAATGAAATAAAATACAGAAATTCTCTGGAGTTTTTAAAAGTACAGGCTTGATTAGTACTGATGGTTTTATTAAAAAGTGAAAATAAAAATCCAGACACTCTCTATTGGCTTTGGAGGAGAGGAATGTCCGTGTCAGCCCTCCTCCGCAAATCTAACCTTCTAATTATGTTTGGTTTATTTAACCCCATTAGTCTCCACAGGGGCCCAGGTCTGCCTTACAACCTCCACATGTGTTCCCCAAAGGATTCCAGCTGAACAATGGTATCTTCTTCTCACAAATATAGTTCTTCTCCTTATGGACTACTGTATCTTTCTAAAAACATAGGCCATGAACTGCTAGAGTGACAAGGTCTTAGAACTTTGTATCCCACGGGCCTGACACAGCAGATGCCCTCACCACACATGTGTTAGCATTGTTAGAACACAGACTAAGACACTGGAAATGTATGCTAGGTGCAGGGAGGATCCCAGTGCAGCTCAAAAACTTAGAGGAAAACAGAAAAACACGCACGACTAAGTGAACAAAGACTTTACATTTCCAGGGGACAACGTTCAAACCACTACCTCTGAGCAGCTAGTGCAGAACCAAATGACCACAGGCCTGACAACTCCTATGTTCTTATATACAGGAAGAAATCAGTCTCAACCTGGCAAAGTAGAATGTGATGAGAGAAGGGGCAAAGGCAGGTGACCTGACATAGGTGTCCACGCACGCTTCCTTACCCCAGTTCCCTCGGTGAGAATGCAGCCTCAGTGGGTGAGTGAGTCACTGACTGCCCAGTGGCCCTGATCAAGGGCTGCACCTTGCTCATCAATATTCCCTCCACAACAAGAGCAGGAGGCCCAGCCCTGAACCAGTTAAGCAAATCTGTACTTTTCCTTTCTTTCATTAGAACAACTCTAAGAGGAGAGGAGGAAAAAAATCCTAAGAATAGTTTCTGTAAATTTTTAGATCTGACTAATGTATCCAGCTAATAGATATTTATTAAGTACCTCCTGTGTGCCATCCACTAAGACCAGAGATTAGCCACTACACTTATGATGAACGGAAGGCAGTCCCTGGCTTTCAGGAGCTCAGAATTTAGTAAGGAAGACAGCAAGTTAAAAAAAAAAGTCACAACCTTGTCATATACTGCATGGAAAGAAGTAAAAGTGAGGCCTCTGGAAAAACAGTGGAGAAGGCGGTTAAGTCAGCCTGGGGAACTCAAGGCAGGCTTTCTGATGTTTGCTGGGCTTTTAAGAAGTAAGAGATTGTGTGGGACAGGCAATGCCTTGTAGAAAGACATTCAAATTCTAGAAGAAACAGGACATTCTGAGGAAGCTACAAGTGGAGAGAGTGAAAAGTTAGGGAAAGATAAGGCTAGAAAGAGGAGCAGAGCCAGTTCAGGAAGGATTTGGATGTCAAGGAGAAGAATTTTAAAGAGGGGACTGACAATGCTAGAACTGTCTTTTAGAAAGTTCATCCTCCTAGAAGATAACCTGAAGGGGGAGGAAAACAAAGGCAGGAAGACCAGTTAGGGGGCTGTTACAAATAGAAATAATAAAGATAGTAGCATAGAGAGGAGACATTAATTTAAGATATATCACAGAGTTATTAGAGAGAAGCTAACTGCATGTATGGGAAGGGGAGTGAAGAGTCTAAGATGATCCTAGATTTCTGATGAACCAGGAGACATGGACTAAGATGAGAAAACAGGAGAAACAGCAGGGCTGGGGCTGGGGTTGGGGCAGAAAGAGAAGGGAGGACTTCGGTTTGGATGCACCTCTGAGGTACCAGTGGGGTATCCAGGTGAACATGTCTAGTAGGCAGCTGGAAAGACAGGTATAAAACTCAGAAGAGAGTTCTAGGCTGGGTGCTGTAGCTCACGCCTGCAATCCCAGCACTTTGGGAGGCTGAGGCTAGAGGGATGCCTGAGCCCACGGGTTAGAGACCAGCCTGGGCAACATGGTGAGACCTCGTCTCTATAATAAATGAAACAAATTAGTTGAACGTGGTGGCTCACACCTGTTGTTCCAGCTACTTGGAAGGCTGAAGTGGAAGGATTGCCTAAGCCTAGCAGGTGGAGGTTGCGGTGGCCCTGAGTGTGCCACTGTACTCTAGCCTGGGTGACAAAGTGAGACTCCCACTCAAAAAAAAAAGAGAGAGAGAGAGTTCTGGTCAGGACAATGAAAGTTTGATGATACTGAAGTAATGAGTGCAGATGGCATTGCCAGAGCAAGTTTACAGAGTAAGAAAGGATAGGGACAAACATTATACCTCAGCTGCCTGCCTCCAAATCAAGAGAAAGGGGACAGAGCTCAATGATACCAACTTTCTTACCCCCAAATATCACCCATTCAGCCAGACTTCAAAACCTAACTGAAGTTCCACCCACCCACTTACACAGTCAAAGAATGCAATGAAGGAGAAAACCACATAACCACAACTTCAGCAAACTCACTCAATCGCCTCGCTCTGGTGCCCCGAGGTCAGTTAACAAATACTTCACACCGTGCTTCTTTGGGGAAACCAGGAGAATAAAACAGAAGACATATAAGAGTCTTAGAAAGGCTCACACCTGTAATCCCAGCATTTTGGGAGGCTGAGGTGAGAGGATCGCTTGAGCCCAGGAGTTCAAGACCAGCCTGGGCAACATAGTGAAACCCTGAACCTACAAAAAAAATTTTTATTTTTTAAATTAGCCAGATGTAGTGGCATGTGTCTGCAATCCCAGCCACAAAGGAGGAAGAAGTGGAAGCATCCCTTGAGCACAGTAGTTCAAGGCTGCATGAGCTATGATCATGGCACTGCATTCCAGTTTGGGCAAAAAAGTGAGACCTCCAACTCAAAAAAAAGTCCAAAAGCACTATCTAAATAATAAAAAAAAAAAGGTCTAAGAAAAGTTACTTTGTGCCTCCAAATAGACTGGTACATCTTTATTATCTGTCAATGTGTATATTTTAACAACATAAACTCCCTTTTTACATCAAGTATAACTAGAAAGGTTATTCCAATGCCTTGTTCTTTATCAAGAAACACGTCCCAAAGCCAAATAATGAGAAACATACTACTGTTCATTCTTCTGTATTATTCCATTCCTATGCCCTTGTGTAACCATGGATAACTGAGAGTGAACTATATAATTTAAGCACAGATCTATGATTGGCTCTATCCACAACACCAGGTGTGACTGGCCCATGTGGTTGATACAAGAGATTTAAGGCAAAGGGCTGAAATATGCCTGTAAATACACACTGCAATCTTACTGGGGTAAATGATGTATAAGAGAGAATAGTTAAGCCAGTGACTGATCATTGAATTTGTGAAATGGAAACATCACTACATTAACTACTTTGATTTCATAAAGGAACCCTCTATAAAGAGCATGAAGCATGATCCTGACATGCCAACATTCTCACTAGGTGATTTTATTATTCCTGCTTGGTAGCTGACAAAGCTGAGACCCAGCAAGGAGCCTAACTTTCTCAAAGTCAACTTAGTCTAGAGTGCCCAGGGGCCCAGGAGGAGTTACCAGTGGATGAAACAAAAGTTTCTGAGAAGATTCAGTAGGAATGTATTGTGATTAAAGTTAGACAAGAAATCAGGTGGGGCAGGTACAGCAAAGCAGCCTCCTCAGCTCCTTTTCCTTTAGATCAAGAAGGCCTTGCCGCTCTTCCCCCAGAACAGCTCATTTCATATTGCCTGTGGCATTCTAGGTTATCTTCCACATAAGGGAAAGGTACTATTACCTGAAAGTAATGGTACAGACACAGACTAACCATGTCTGTCTACAGTGATATTATGGAGCCAAAGAAGCAAGGCAATAACTAAAATGACTGCTTAAAAACACTATTTCTCAATAAGCAAGTATTTCTCAGCTATTTCATATATTATGTTTAGCATAAAATGCTTTGAATTCATTCTGTCTATTCTGTGGTTTCTTAGTATATGATTTTACCCTCCAGGGGACATATGGCAATATCTCAAGACATTTTGGGGCCATACATGGAGGATGCTACTGGTATCTGGTTGGTAGAGGCCAGGAATGATGCTAAACATCCTATGATAAAGCATTACCAGGCCCCAAATGTCACAGTGCTGCTAATGAGAAACCTTGCCATCTACCCTGCCATCTAAGCCAGAAGCAGGAAAGTAGAAAGTGTGAAACTTACTCTTCAGCCCCTTTTCTGCGGTCAGTTAGCATTCAAGCAGTTTTTCTACATGAATATATGTATTTTCCCATTGACTACAATGAGGAAAAGGAACATCCCTCTCAACTTTTTCCAAAAGCATGCTAGCAATGTGCATCAAAGTGTTCCTTTTGCTGAAACAAAACAGAATGTGGTTTGACGTTCCATAGGTTAAACTAGGCCAGGCACAATGGCTCATGCCTGCAATCCCAGCACTTTAAAAGGCTGAGGCCAGAGGACTGCCTAAGCCCAAGATTTCAAGACCAGACTGGGCAATTTGGTGAGACCTAGTCTCTACAATGAATCAAAAAATTAGCCAGGCATGATGGTGTGCACCTGTAGTTCCAGCTACTTGGAAGGCTGAGGAAGAAGGATCGCCTGAGCCCAGCAGGTCGAGGCTGCAGTGGCCGTGAGTATGCCACTGCACTCCAGCCTAGGTGACAGAATGAGACTCCAACTGGAAGAAAAAAAATAGTTTAAACTACAAGTGCCCTTCTATAAGTAGAATAATCAACCACCTGTTGACCACAATTATAGAAGAAAACATGCTAACATTAACTTGTTCTCAATGGGAGCTTGATAACTTCTTTCTCAGTAACATGTTTTTCAGATTCTGGCTTTAAAATAACTACAAAAAGCTTCCTGTAAGATCACCCAGTCTTTGGCCTGATTTAATTTTTTTAAATACTAGAGGTAAAATGCTTGAGGCTGAGCAGCAGACCACAGAGCCAGGCCAACACGACTCCTTTTTCTGGGGTTCCTCCTGTGTCTCATTGTTTCCTGCCTATGTAAAAAGGAGACAAATTCTTTGCTGCACTCCTAGGATACAAGAGTTTAATAAGTCTCCCCAAAGACGATTCTAAAAACAGTTATGCGTGCAGTGTGGTATAGGGTGTGGCTTTTCTATCAGAAATGTTTGCAGCCCACAAGGTATTTACTGTGAATCCACTCTTGACATAATGACAAAAAACAATTAATTTTAGAAGTACTTTAACATCTTAATAATACATGTGATTCCAAATAGTCTTAGATAACCCAGTCTTGACTGGCAGCTCCTAAAATCTTCTTTATCATTATTTCTTTTTACTAGCATCTAATGTCTAGTTTTGATGATGAATAATCATTTAAATACTGCTAAGAGCTTTGAGAGATTCTTGTCACTTAATTGTGGTTTCAGAAACGTCACTTCTTTGTCTTTAAGGAGAAAATTAGAAAACTGAAAACTCACATTCCAATACAAAGGTCTAAGAAATGCAGGCTAGGTAGGCAGTCTGACTGAAACTGAAGATTACAGATTTTCTTTCCCAAAACATATACAAGAATAGGTGGTTTAGAGATGAGATGAGATAAGAAAGAACTGGTTAGCTCTCTCTTCCACACCACATCTGAAAAAGGGGGTAGATGGAGACACAGGGGTGTGGGGCTCAAAGGACAAGCTTAACTTTGCGTCTGACAGCTGCAGGTGGCCAGTGGGAAAGCCAGTAGTGGAAGAGACGTCTTCCCCTAACAAACCCACCTGCAGGCTGGCTCGTGCACCTCATTCTGAAATCCTGGGAACAAGAAGCAAAGCTGAGAGTATGTTGAAGAAACAATGAGGGTACCCAGAGGCAGGGTGCCCATCCCACAAGGCACAGCAGAACGCTCTCTCCCGCCCTTGGCTGTCTCCACTTTCCTGGCAGTGCGCTGTCACTTTTGGCAGGGAGGACATAACGCAGGGGGAGTCGCCCACGGGCGGGACTTGTGACTGAACCCCAGGCCTCAGACTGCAATCAAGAGGCTGTGAGGCCTCGCTGGAGCTGAGCCCTCAATCACCCCGCTCCTCGCCCGCCCCCAACACGGCGCCCGGGTCTGGCAGACGACGCTAGGGGAGGGAGGTCCCGGGGGGTTGACTCACCGATCTGCCCGATGAACTCGATCTTGATGCCCTGGTGCTCCAGTCGCTTGTTGGGGTTCTTGAGCGCAAGGCTCACCTTCCCGGAGACAGTCTCCCCGTCGTAGAAGAGGAAATATTTCTCCTTCTTCCCGTCCTCCGTCTTGTGCTCAGCCCGCTTCCTACTCTCTGCATCGTTCAGAAGGATTTCCACCTCCACGCTCTGCCCGAAGCCGAAGAAGCTCATCTCACCGCTGGGCCGGGCTGGTCTCGGTAAGGACGGCTCCCTTCCACCGGGGCGGCTGCCCTAAGGGAAGGAAGGCCAGAGGGCCCGCTGTGGGAGCGCGCTGGGCTGTCGCACCGCAGCCCGCTCCGCTGCTGCCGCCGGGCGGTGGGCGATGACCGACAGCCCTGCTCCACCGGGGAGGGGCACGAGTGGGGGAGGTAGGCGGCTGCGGGTTGCAGCGCCGCGAGCAGCAATGCACCGAGGAGCAGCTCACCGCGCCGAGCCTGTCCCAAGCTAGCCCCAGCAGCCGGTATCAGGGAGCTGGCGAGCGTCGGCCGTGCAATGCTGCGGAGGGCAGCCGCGCAAAGCTGGGTGTGCGTGGCCTGCGCCCACCGGGTGGGGTCCAGCGCGGAACAGCACTGCGAGCCGCACAGCCTCCAGCGGTGCAACGCACCGAGGTGCTTCGGCGGCTCCGGGCGGGGGGAAAGGGGAGGCGAGTTCCAGCCCGGATGCGCTGAAGATGCCGCGCGCATGCGCACCTCTCTTTCTCGCCAGCTTTAGCCTCCCAGCCGCCAGGAGGTGTGCTCACTGCGCATGTGCAGTGGAACGACCGCGGCCTGTCTCCCTCAGTTGGCATGGCTGCCACGGCCTCTTTCCGGCAGAATCTGGGCCCAGATGTCTCGTAAAATCAAAAGAAGTGCAGATGTCTTCTCGGAATGCTTTTGGTTGTTTTTCTCTTATTGCTTTATCTGGATAAGCGTTGAGCTACCTTTCACATTCGGATATGTACAACGTTCGAGTGCTGTCTGACGGGGGAAGGTAGCCTTTGACACGCACGCGAAATGTCGCTTCACAGGGGCAAAGGTGACAGTTATTACAGGAAGTACGCTGTCTCAAATACTCTGTACATTTCCTTCCATTCAAGAAAAACGAGGCGGGAAAGACGCTATTAGGCTTTACTTAGTTCCTGGCTCCTACTCTAAAGGGAAAGCTGAAAAACCACCCGAGGGAACCTTGTGTAGCCCCAATCCTCGGCCAGCCCCATTCTTTGCGCCTGCGGCGGACGACCTAGATGATTGGTAAGAGAATGAAAACGGCTCGGCACGGTGATTGGTCAGTGAGAAATTCTGTACGTTGTGATTGGTCTGCAGAAACGTCTCGGAGCGCGCGCGCGGGAGCGAGCTTTAAAAGTTGAGCACGGCGGAGGCGAGCCGGTGTCTCAGTGATCATGCTGGCGCTGCGGGGCCTGGGGAGCAGCCTGCAACCCTGGTGCCCATTGGATATCAGTCCCGGTAAGAAGACGCCGCCGTGGGGCCCGGGACTGGGGTGTTTTGCTCCCCGACGGTACCTTAGCTCAGGCTGAGATGCGATTGGGAATGGGGTGAGAGGCGCCCGGCTCTCGGCCTTGTCTGGCATCCCCAGGTCGGTGTGCCACGCCAGGACAGTGGCCAGCCGGGTTTATCATAGAGGCTCAACTCGATCAGGTAACCCTTTTTAAAAAAAGCTAATGTTGGCTAGTCTTTCCCAGTGCTTATGCTTTTGTTTTCTTGGCCTTCTTATTCTGCAGATCTTCATGGACATATCTATTATGTTTCGGTGGACATACCTGTTATTTCTGGTGGTTTTAAATCGCAAATCTTATCTGCTTTCTGCTGTTAACTGCCAGCCCATTCCCCACACCCTGCAGGACCACTTTTGAAAACACTGCTTTGAATGTGTCATGTTTTTTAATTTTTTTTTTTAACGCAGCAGTTTAAGATAGCGCAGTGGCTCACTCCTATAATCCCAGCACTTTGGAGGATTGCTGGGAGGTTGGAGATCAGCCTGGGCGACATGGCGAAACCTCGTCTCTACAATAAATCAAAAAATTAACTGGGCGTGATGGCGCACGCCTGTTGTCCCAGCTACTTGGAAGTCTGAGGTGGAAGGATCGCCTGAGCCCAGAAGGTCGAGGCTGCGGTGGCAGGAGTGTGTGTCGCACTCCAACCTGGGCGACAGAGTGAGACCCTAACTCAAAAAAAAAAGACAGCAAAGTCTTTAAACTTTTAATGTTTCCTTTGTTTCCTAAATAAATTTCCGAAATGAATTCTTGACATACCTTATAAGAGCCTTCACTATTTTCTCCGGTTTGCTTTTCCAAGAGCATAAGATTTGCAGTCACAGATATTGGAATGGTCTCTTGGATCTGCCACATAGCACCCATGTATTTACTAGGCAGGTTGCTTAACCTTGTTTAACCTTGCTAAGCCTCAATTTCCTATCCCTCAAATGGGAATTATCACGTCTACCTCCCAGGGGTTTTGTGAAGATGACCTTAGTACCTGAATAAATACTAATTCTCACCCTCCACACTCAAACTCTATGTTGTAACTATTTTGTTTATTTCTAAATACTTTATTTGTGCTTTGTGATGCTCTGCTGTTTGTCTGGGATGCTCTTCTCTGCGTTTCTTTCCCTGGCATCTCCTACATTCAGGTCCGATTAAGAATCAGCTTACCCACTTCTCTCCCTTCTCCTCCTCCCCTAGTAATATTTTCTAATATGTTGTCTAGCATTTTATGTTTTACATATCTATTTTTATTTTAACACTCTCATTGTAAAAATAATAATAATCATTTATTGAGTGTCTTTTATGTGACTAAAACATTCTTAAGCTCTTTATACACATTATCTTTCACAGCAATACTGTTTTCTTGAGACTAACTGTAACCAGCCCAATTTTCCAACAAACCAGATGCCCATAGAACTGAACCTTGAGAAACTTACATTTTTGTACCCTGAGATATGCCTGCTGCCTGTTGACCAAATCATCTTCCTTGCCCCTCCTCTTTTCCTTTTCCGTTATATAAACCCCTCACTTTAGTGGGGACAGGGAAGGACAGATTTGAGGTTTGTCTCCTGTGTCTCCTGCTATGACACCCATAATAAAGCAATACGTGTCTGGCAATACGTGTCTCTGTGATTGGCTTTCCAGGCCACAAGCAATGGGACTTAGGCCAAACCCCTGATGATCGGTAACATAATTAAACTGACATGATCAAGTGGGTATTCACCTTGTTTTGACTTAAAACCCCGTGGTCTTTCTTCTACCATGGCTGCTTTTTTGTTGTTGTTATTGTAAGTGTAAGATGGTGAGATCTTTGTGGACAAGAACCCTCTAGCATTCATCTTTGTATCCCTAGCACTTATAGAGGTATTTCTCAAAATGTTAGTTGAATAAAGAGCAAAAGTTATCTCCATTTGACAATTGAGAAAATAGGTAGTAAGGGATTTGGTTGAACAGTGTAAGAATGTTGGGGAGAAGCCAGGCTCAGTGGCTCAGCCTGTAATCCCACGCTTTGGGAGGCTGAGGTGAGTGGATTGCCTGAGCCTGCAGGTTCGAGACCCTCCTGGGCAACTTGGCGAGACCTCATCTCTACAGTAAATCAAAAAATTAGCTGGGCATGGTAGCGCACATCTGTAGTTCCACCTACTTGGAAGGTTGAGGCGAAAGGATCACTGGAGCCCAGCAGGTCAAGCCTGCAGTGGCCAGGAGCATGCCATTGCACTCCAGTCTGAGCAACAGAGTGAGACTCCAACACAAAAAAAAAGAAAAGAAAGAATGTTGAAGGGGAAAAAACTCAATTTCTCCTATACTCTCAACACAGAAGACTTCTATAACCAAATGGTAGATATCAGGCCCAGCTACTGCCTTCCTAATTAGATTTAATGCTACTGACAGTGGGGAGCTATTGTAAGCAAAGTCAAAATAAGGAATGAGATAACTTATTTGTATGATGAACTTTAAAACATTACTGAAAAAATAGAGATTCAGTTGTATTGTTCAGATCTTCTTTCAGGCAGCATATTGCATATCTTTAGAAAGAATACTATGCAGAGCCACTTGGGGTACAGAGATCCCCTCCTCCAAGGTCAAGTTCAAGTGACAAAAGATGATGGGCAGATTGTATTCTAAGGAGGATGGACCTAATTAACTATAAATGGGCAGATTAATTGTATTCTAAGGAGGATAGATCTAGTTAACTATAAGGCTTTTCATCTGCTGAGTGCAGTGCAATGCTCAGAGCCATGAAAGAAAGGTTGAGGCCTCCCATCTCTATTTTTCTTTATTCTTGTCCTGCCCAATTTCTCTACATCAATGGTAAACCAATATTTACAGAAAATTAATTTAAAAGGAGTACCCAATTAATAATTTGTCTGAGATGTCCACATGTTTTTAGCTAGTCCTAACTTTAGGTTTGGGAGAATAACAATGAAAACACTGAAGAAATATAGTTAGAAAAGCATGAAAAGGTTTAGAGTTAAGAGAGCTTGTCAAGGAATCAAGCGCCAAAGTTGTCTTAATGTCCCCATCTTTCACTGTAAGTTATTTCTACCAGTATATTTTGAAGCCATGAGTATTTCTGTATGAGTCAGGCTTGCCTCCTTTGGCTTAAGCTTCTTGAGGAAATGCTATCTGTTTTACACTATGCTACATTGTTGTTGAAGGTCCCAGTAAAGTGCTATCACTTTATTTGGGTTTATTAACTTGGTTATAAGATTTTTCACAAAGGAGCATCTGAGGCAGTCTGATTAATGTTTTTTTTTCTAGATTGAACATATGGGAAAGCCTGATCATTAAGTGTGCTGACGTGTCATCCACCAAAACTTAGATTTTAAAAAGTGTTTTATTTCTTGATATTTTTAGAAGGTGGTTAACCTAATAGCCAGTTGTCATTTCTGTTTTTTTTTTTAAAGAGTCTCATAACCTTTTATGCTGCCTTGTATTGTTATAACAAGTTAAATGTGAATTGTGACTTTTCTCCTCTTGAATATACCTGAAGTCTAAAGATAATTGGTTTTTTTACTTCCTATAGAGCACTCACTGATTTCTTTGCATTTTTCCCCTAGAATGGGTAGACACAGTGTGGGAACAGGATTTCACAGAGACTGAGCCCATAGATCCCAGCATAGAAGCAGAGATCACAGAGACTGGACTGGATGCATTTACAAACCTCTATCAAAGTGTCTTTCCCTTTGCTACAGAAGAACATGGATCTCTGGAGGTAAAAAGATTAAAAAATCAAGCTAGCCAACTTAAAGTGTTAGCAGTAGATGATGAAAGTCATTATTATAATCCAAAGCTTAGCTTTTTTAGTATGCAATATATAGGGAGTACAATATGAGAAACATAAAGAATGTAGTTCATTTACTGACATATTCTAATAGTTTTTCTCCAAAGGATTCAAGGTTCTAGTCTGATTTTTTTTTTTTTCAAAACATGACCACTTTTTATAACAGCAAATTAAGGGAAAAGTATAAGGCAAAAACAAGAAACCAGACAAGCCAAAAATGAAAAGAAGTCCAAGGAAAATGCAATTAACAATTTAGGTATGCTGTAACCTTAAGAAAATCTGATATTAATAAGCTGTGATGATCAGTTGAATTACAAACATTTATCCAGAGTTTCTTTAAATATTGAGATATACTTAGTGCACCCACTAACATTTAGATCATTAACTATTTTTTAAAAAACATGAAGGGCTAGGAATTAAAAAAAATACTTAGAAAGTAACATCTATGAAACATTTAAATTAACAAGATATATTTGTTATAAATTTCACATCGCTGTTCAAAAATTAAATTATCCAATTAAACTGCCTTAAGCACCTTAGTAGACAGAGTGAGGATTAAGATACAAAGCCTTTTGCTAGGTCGAGGGCTCTCCCAGGGAGGAAATGTGGACACTCAAACACTGGCCAATGTGGATCCAGCAGCCACATGCAGCTGCAGGGAGTGGAACGTGCAATGTTACTGTGAGTCTAGGGAGCCTGGAAATATTCTGTGAATCACATTATGAAAAATGCTCCTAGACAGATGCGTGTGGTGGAAAAGGAAGCACCGCAGATTGGGGAAGGTTCCAGAAAGAAAGTAGCTAGCAGTAAGTCTTCACATATTGGCAGAATGTTGACTAGCAGGAGTTAGGATTAGAGAGTGTTCCTCGCCAAGGAGCTACTCAGTGGGAATATACATGGAACGTTGAGAGAACTGAGAGGTATGGGTTGGATGACTAAAGAATCTTAAAATGCGTGGGCAGGAAGGTAGATTGAGGATAGATCATGGGTAACTTTTAGAGAGGTTCAGTGAGTGATGCAGTTGGAATGTTTTCAATAGGGTGTTTGTGTGTGAGTTTCTGTTCTGAGCATCTTGCATATTAACTCATCTAATCCTCACAGCCAGCCCTGGGAGGAAGAGGTTACCTCGAGCAATTAGATAGGTAACATGAATTAGATAGGTAATCTGTTTTAGGACAGATGTTCTTGACTATAGATAAACTAAAGTAGGAAAAAATTGTATACAAGGAGATCCCTTGGGAGACTGTTATGGTAATCTAGGTGTCATGAATGATAATGGCCTGGTCTGGAGTTTATGCTTATGGGAATTAGAAAGGAAGGCTAAAAACTAGGTCATCACATTAGTGATTAGGTAAAATAAAATAAATAAAAAACTAGGGACTTTTTGGGGGTAGAATTAATAGGGCTTTGTGAACTAGGAAGTCTTTGTTGACTAAGATATGGTGCAAAGTGCTATGAGAAAAAGAAGTCAGTGATCCCCAAGATTTTAAAACTGGAAGATTATATTGTTAATCAGGTTGGGGAATGAGGGGGAAAGAGCAAGGTCAAGTGGAAAAATTAATTTTAGACATGAATGTGAGATTCTGTTAGGAGATCCTTGAGAGGCATTGCAGGTAGTTAGAAATGGAAGATTGGGAGAGAGGGTCAAGTTTTTTTAATCAAGGTGTGAGTCGAAGTGCAGTGATGCATGAGACCAGCTAGGGAGAGAAGAAGACAGGACAGAAACAGAGCTGGTTGAAGGAGCCCAGAGGAGAAGTGATCGAATGCTGCCAGTGCGCGGTCACTGATGCCAAGACTAGACAACTGCAGGATTACATAGGGCCAAGGCAGCCAACAGGTGGAATACTGGTGAGTACCTGGTCCAAGGTGACCTGCAAGGTAAATAAAGTGGAAGTGTAGGTGGCATTAGGAGTGAGGATGTGATATTATAAAGGTAAGAGATTATTTCTTCCAGATATTTCCTATTAAACAAAAGGAGAGTACTGAAAGATTGTAGATGGTCTCTTCTCTAATGTGGCGCATGCTAAGCAGTGTGACTAATCTAAGGCATTACCTACCACTTCCTCTTCCTTTGCCAGGAAGCAGGAAGTACTAGGTCCAATTGCTTCAATTTTGTGAGCCTTTTTTTTGGTCTGTTTTCAAGATACAGTACTCAGCTGGGCTCGATGGCTCAGCCTGTAATCCCAGCACTTTGGGAGGCAGAGGCAAGTGGATTGCCTGAACCCGCAGGTTGGAGACCAGCCCGGGCAACTTGGTGAGACCTCGTCTCTACAATAAAAAAACAGCCGGGCGTGGTAGTGCACATCTGTAGTTCCGGCTACTCCGAAGGCTGCGGCGGAAGGATCGCTGGAACCCAGAAGGTTGACGCTGGGGTGGCCGTGAGCATGCGTGCCACTGCACTCCAGCCTGGGCAAAGGAGTGAGACTCCAACTCAAAAAAAAAGATACAGTACTCAACGATAAACTATTTTTAGTTTTTGCTATGTTTGGCTTATTAAAATAACCCAGTTCCTCCTTATGTTTAAAAGGAGAAAACATGTGACAACAATAAAATTAATAAAATTATGATTTCTATTCCAGGGTTTATCTCTTTTCTCATTTAGGCTACTTCTGAAATCTATTGAGGGAGAAACTTCAGGTGTTTTCTTTCCTGTCCCCATTGCCCACAATCTGCAGAACATTTAAACTGGAATAAATGTTCTGATTTCCTCAGTTATTAGAGATAAATGGATTTGGATATATTTAACATAGGTGAAGTAACTTTTCTGAGCAGTAACTGTTATATGGTGTCCCCAAAATCTTAGTGTAGTTTGAAGCTATAATAATTTCAGAAGTATATGTGCTTCAAACTTAACCAAAATAATGTTTTTGAAAGTTTGTTTAAATTTCTTTATATACCTATTTATCTTTGTTGTTTTTTTTTTGAATAATCGATTTTTTATTTTGAATTTTTGTTTCAGTCTCTTTGAACATGGTAAACATTTATCATTAGGAGCCAGGGTAGTCTATTCTTCTTTTTGTAAGGCACTAAATACTTGAAAAAATGAAGTAATAGGAGATTTTCTGTTTCTCTAATTACTGGCTTTTGTGATTTGCCCTTTCCCTGCAGAGTATCTGGACCTTCTTCATTGAGAACAATATTTCCCACAGTACGCTGGTGGCATTATTCTATCACTTTGTTCAAACAGTTCTTAAGAAAAATGTCAGTGTGCAGTACCGAGAATATGGACTTCATGCTGCTGGGCTTTACTTTTTGCTACTAGAAGTACCAGGTATGAACACTTGATATGATAGGACAAATCTTTTGTCATTTTTATTTTCTATATTATGTTTAATGCTTATACTTTGTTTTTTATAAAATGGGGCAGTGATAATACATCTCATAGAGTTGTTCTGAGAATTAAATGAGAGCAAGTCTGTAAAGTACATGGTATGCAATAGGTGTTTGAAAGTTCCCCCCATTTTTTTTAACGCAAGTTTGTTTTCTGAAATTATGCCATCTATAACCTAATACAAATAATCTAAAGGGATTGCCAGAGTTTCCTCCCACCTTTCCCTAGCCCATTGTAAAATTCTGATATTGCCCTTTTTTCTTCTGACTCCCTGTCTAGACTGGGGAAACTTGCTGTGGGAAGTCACTGTTTTATATTCTCTCCTAAGTGTGCATTGAAGAATAGGTTAAAACCATGCTAATCAAGAAAACCTGAAAGTAGCTAGTAGTACTTGATGAAGGAAAGCACTGAAAAGGGATCTATTTATGAGCATATTTCTACTTCATTGTCACCCCTGTGGGCAGTAGAGTAGTCCATTCTCCTCCCTCCCCCGAAACTAAGGCAAGAGAGAGTGGAGCAAAGACTGAGTTGGAGAATCCAACTTTCATATGAACAGAAAATCACAAGATTTAGCCAGTTTGCTGCTTGTCATTTTTTATATAAATGCATTTGTAATTAATGTTAAGGTTTTATTTGGGTACAGATAAAAAAGGTATTTAAAACCTCTGAACACTGGTTTGTGTTATTGCTAATGCTCCCGTAATGACTTTTGAAGTAGGTTTCTAAAGAACTTTGTTGCTAAGCAATATTTCAGTTGTAACTAGGCTCTCAGAAAAGCAGTGGCTTTAGAAACTCAGTTTCACTTTTCTCTTGTCAATGCAGTACCTTCTGATTAAAGTTGAGATTTGTGACAGAGCAAAGAGGTAACTATTATTTATTGTGTGGGCCACTTGCAGCTTTCCAGCAAGCTGTGTTCTTGCCAATGACCTTCTGTTTTTAAATGTTTCTGGATTATGATTAGGATGCTGATGGTGCTTAATATTCAATCACAGTATGTTCTTTTTCAACATTGCTTTGGCTATTCTAGGTCCTTTGCATTTCTATGTGAATTTCTGCACAAAAAAAGAGCTGCTTGGTGTTTGAACCTAAAGATTCAAAAAATGTGTTGAATCTTTCTATCAATTTGTGGAGTATTACAATCTTAACAACATTAGGTCTTCAAATCCATGACTACAGGATATCTTTCCATTTACTTTAGATCTTCTTTAAGTTGTTTCAATAATGGTTTGTAATTTTCAGTGCATAACTCTTGTACTTTTGTTTTGAATTTATTCTTAAGTATCTTATTATGTTCAATGCTATTACAAATGAAATTGTTTTCTTAATTTCGTTTTCATGGTGTTTATTGGTAGTGATAGATGTGCAATTGATTTTGATTCTTGATCTTGTATTCTAGAACCTTATTGAACTTACGTATTTGTTCTAACAGGATTTTCTTTATAAACCATCATGTCATCTGTGAATAGACAATTTGACTTCTTCCTTTCTAGTCTGGATACCTTTTATTTATTTTTCTTGCCTAATTGCCCTGGCTAGAACCTTCAGTATGATGGAGAGGGCATCCTTGTCTTGATCTTAAGGAAAAAGCATCTGGTCTTTGTATGATGTTACCTGTAGGTTTTTTCAGGATGGTCTTTGTCAAGTTATAATTTCTAGTTTGTTGAGTGTTTTGTTATGAAAGGGTGTGGGATTTTGTCATTGGCTTTTCTACATCTATGAAGTGAAAATATATCTACTTGTGTTTTTTATTCTAATAATATAGCATATTACATTTGTTGATTTTTTTTTTATATGTTAAACCAATTTTACATGACCTTCGTCATAGTGTATAGTTCTTTATATGTTGTCAGGTTTGGTTTACTAATATTTTGTTGAAGGATTTTGTATCTATATTGATAAATGATATTCTGTTTTTGAGATGCCTTTGTCTAGTTTAGGTATCTGGGTAATACCAGTCTCACAGAATGAGGTATGTAGTATTCTCTCCTCTTTTATATTTTGGAAGAGTTTGTGAAGATTTGGTTTTCTTTTTCCTTGAATTTTTGGTAGAATCCACTAGTGAAACCATCTGGGATGGAGTTGTTTTTGTTGTTGTTGTTATTGTTTTTCTGAAAGACATTTATGTTTGTAGAATCAGTAGTGATAGCCCCTCTTTTATGCCTAACATTGGGCATTTCTATTTCTTTGTCTTTTTTTCTTGATCAGTCTAGATTGAAATGTACTTATTTTGTTGGTCATTTTAAAGAACCTACTTTTGGCTGGGCTCGGTGGTTCAGCCTGTAATCCCAGAACTTTGAGAGGCCCAGGCAACTTGATGAGACCTCATCTCTACAAAAAATAAAAAATTAGCCAGGTGCAGTGGCTCACGCCTATAATCCCAGCACTTGGGGAAGCCGAGGTGAGGGAATTGCCTGACCCACGGGTTCAAGGCCAGCCTGGGCACCTTGATGAGACCTCATCTCTACAGTAAATCAAAAAATTAGCTGAGTGTGGTGGCATTTGCCTGTAGTTCCAGCTACTTGGTAGGCTGAGGCGGAAGGATCACCTGAGCCCAGCAGCTTGAGACTGCGGTGGCTTTGAGAATGCCACTGCCCTCCAGCCTGAGTGAAAGAGTGAGACGCCAATTCAAAAAAAGAAAAAAATTAGCCCAGCGTGGTAATGCTTGCCTGTAGTTCTGGCTACTTGGAAGGCTGAGTTGGAAGGATCGCTGAAGCCTAGCAAGTCAACGCTGGGGTGGCCATGAGTGTGCCACTGCACTCCAGCCTAGCCAACGGAGACTACAATTCAATAAATAAATAAATAAACTTTTTTTTAAAAATCAAACATTTTTTATTTTAAAATTGTAGGGTACAGCCGGGCTCGGTGGCTCAGCCTGTAATCCCGCGCCTTTGGGAGGCTGAGGTGAGTGGATTGCCTGAGCCCGCGGGTTCGAGACCCACCTGGGCAACTTGGCGAGACCTCATCTCTACAATAAATCAAAAATCAGCCGGGCGTGGTAGCACGTGCCTGTAGTTCCAGCTATTTGGAAGGCTGAGGCGGAAGGATCGCCGGAGCCCAGCAGGTCAAGGTTGCGGTGGCCAGGAGCAGCCACTGCACTCCAGTCTGGGTGACAGTGAGACTCCAACTCAAAAAAAAAAAAAAAAAAAAAGTTGTAGGGTACAGTTAAGGGTTAGGTATACAAATACTCATCGTTTAGGCACCCTTTTGATACGGGATGTCCCCCATCCCCAGACAGATATTGACTACCGTTAATCCCACCTCCCTCTCCCTCCCAGCCCCCCATAGTTTCCTGCCACTGTCAATCCTTTTCTTATAGTATTACGATAGATGTTCAAGGTCCACTTACGAATCAGAACATGTGATACTCAGATCTTTGTTTCTGTGAGAGATCACTCAGTATTATAAACTCTGGTTCCATTCAGGTTGCTGTGAAATTCATGATTTTGTTCTTTTTTATGGCTGCGTAGTATACCACATTTTTTAAATCCAGTACTCTTTTGATGGACAGCATAGTTGGTTCCAGGTTCTTGCTATTAGGAACAATGCTGCGATAAACATACGTGTGCAGGTGTCTTTTTTTATAGAGTGCTTTGAGTTCTTCAGGGTGTATTCCCAGTAGGGGGAATAAATAAATCAACTTTTTTTTTTAAACCTACTTTTGATGTTACCGATTAAATTCTATTGTTTGTCTACTTCTTATTTCATTGATATCTGGTCTTATTTCCTTCCTTCTTACTTGGGGTTTAATTTGTTCATATTCTGACTTTGTAAGGTAGATGCTTGCACTCACGTATTTTTCTTTGTTTCTAATGTAAGTATTTAATACTGTAAGTTTCCTTCCAAGTACTGCTTTATCTGCATACTCAAAATTCTGATAATAGGTTTTCATTATCATTCAAGTCAAAGTGATTTTCTTTTTTTTTTTTTGATTTGGAGTCTCACTCTGTCGCCCAGACTGGAGTGCAGTGGCTGCTCTCGGCCACCGCAGCCTCGACCCGCAACCTCTATCCTTCTGCCTCAGCCTTCCAAATAGCTGGAACTACAGGCGCGCGCTACCACACCCGGCTAATTTTTTTGACTTATTGTAGAGATGAGGTCTTGCCAAGTTGCCCAGGCGGGTCTCGAACCCGCGGGCTCAGACAATCCACTCACCTCAGCCTCCCAAAGGTGCGGGATTACAGGCTGATCCACCGAGCCCGGCTCAAAGTAATTTTCTAATTTTAAATTTCTTGTGATTTCCTCTTACATCTGAGTTGTTTAGTAGATTAATTTCCAAATATTTGAGGATTTTCCTAAATTTTTATTGTAATTTATTTCTATTTTAATTGTGTTGGACTCAGAGCACATATCTTATATGATTACAATACTTTTAAATTATTGGGGGTTTTTTTTAATACTTCATTTTTATTAAAGACAGGGTTTCTCTCTGACACCTGCTGAGCTGCTGGGTGCAGCTCACTGCAACCTTGAACTCCTGGATCCTCAAGTGATCCTCCAGTCTCACTCAGCTTCCCAAGTAGCTGGGACTAAAGCAGGTACCACCGTGCCTGGCTATTTATTTATTTATTTTTTGCCCCAGCTAGTTTCGAACTCCTGGCCTAAAGCAATCCTCTCACCTTGGCCTTCCTAAGCACTGGCATTACAAGCTTGAGTCACTGCACCCAGCCATTGTTTGTTGGCCTGTTTTTAATTGTCCAGCAGAGGGTCTGATTTGGTAAATCTTCTGCTTACACTTGAACAGAATGTGTGTCCTGCCTTTGTTAGATCTAGTATTCTGTAATATCAGTTAGGTCAAGTTGGTTGCAAATATTGTTAATCTTTTTATATGCTTCCTAATAGTCTGTTTATTTGTTCTATCAATTACTGAGAGGAATGTTGAAATTATAAAATAATTTATCTATTTCTCCTTTGAAAGTCTGACAGGTACAAACGTGTTTATCATGTCTTCCTGATGGATTGATCCTTTTAGTATTATGTTATGTCCTTGTTTGTCTGGTTATATTCTTTGACTTGAAGACTACTTTGATATTAAGATAACCATTATAGTTATCTTATTATTTGTCCTTGGTTGGTACATCATTATTCATGCTTTCATTTTTAATCTATCTGTGTATTCACATTTGAAGAGTTTCTTATAGACTGACAATAAATGGACCCAATTCTAAAAATGTTTGTCTTCAATTACTGGTGAAAGAAAAGTGAAGATTTTCCAATAATATGGTTTTGTTATTTTGTAAAATAGAGACATAGTCTCACTCTGTCACCCAGACTGGAGTGTAGTGACGTGATTATAGCTCACCGTAACCTCAAACTCCTGGGCTCAAGTGATCCTCCCACCTCAGCCTCTTGAGTAGCTAGCTCTATACCAACACACATGGCTAATTTTTTTTTTTTTTTTTTTTGAGTTGGAGTCTCACTCTGTCGCCCAGACTGGAGTGCAGTGGCCGCTCCTGGCTATCGCAGCCTCGACCCACTGGGCTCCGGCGATCCTTCCGCCTCAGCCTTCCGAGTAGCCGGAATTACAGGCAGGCACTACCACGCCCAGCTAATTTTTTGATTTTAGTGTAGAGTTGAGGTCTCGCCTGCCCAGGTGGGTCTTGAACCCGTGTGCTCAGGCAATCCACTCACCTTAGCCTCCCAAAGGCGCGGGATTTCAGGCTGAACCACCGAGCCCGGCTATTTTTATTTTTGTAGAGACAGGATCTTACTGTGTTGCCCAGGCTGGTCGCTAACTCCTAACCTTAAGTGACCCTCCTGCCTTTGCCTCCCAAAGTATTGGAGTTACAGGGATAAGCTACCATGCCTAGCCCATTTGGTCATGCTTTTTATGTATTCTGACAATGTTTGCCTTTTATTGGAATGTTTAAACTGTTTAGATAATTGCACTTAATGTAATTAACAATGTGATCGAGTTTCGGCCATCTTCCTATTTATTTTATATTCTTGCATGTTTTTGCTTGATTTTCTCCTCTTCCTGCTATGTTTTGGATTGATTATTTTTCTACTATCCCACATTGCCTCCTTTTTTGGCTTATTAGCTTATTGTCTTATTTGCATGTATCTGTGTGTTTTAGGTGTTTACTTTGTGTATACAATAAGCACTTTTCACAGTCTACCTTCAGATAGTATTCTATCAATTTATATTTATGTAAGAACCTTTAAACAGTATATTTTCCTTCCTTCTCTCCACTTCTTTGTATATATGTCTAAGCTATACAATTCATTATTAACATTTCTCCTATAACTATCTCTTATAGACACTTTTAAAAAACAAAAACTTTTTTTTTTGGAGTCAGGGTCTTACTCTGTATCCTAGTCTGGAGTGCAGTGGCACATTCATGCATCACCTCGACCTTCTGGGCTCAGGTGATCCTTCCACCTTAGTTTCCATAGTAGCTAGAATTACAGGCACGCGTCACCACATCCAGTTAATTTTCAAATTTTTTTGTAGAGGCAAGGTCTCACTATGTTGCCTAGGCTGTCTTGAACTCCTGGACTAGCAGCAATCCTCCCACCTTGTCCTCCCAAAGTGTTAGGATTACAGACATGCGACACCATGCCCAACCTAAAAAAACCAACTTTTATATTCAAATATTTCATATTGTATAATTTTCCTTCAACCTAAAGAACCTTTTTTTTTTTTTTTTTACATTTTTTGTAATGCAGCTCTCTCAGGTTTTGATTGTATGAAATGTCTTTATTTCACCTTCAAGAATGTTTTTGCTGAAAATAGAATTCTAGGTTTGACAGGTTTTGTTTTTCTTTAGTTAGATTGTCCATGCTTTGTTGTGGTTTCCTTTATATTTATCATGATTGTATTCATTGAGCTAGATCTGTGAATTTATAGTTTTTAACAAATTTGGAAGTTTTTCAGTTATTATTTCTTCAAATATTTTCTACTTTTTTTGGAACTCCAGTTACTTATATGTTAGACTGCATAATATTCTTCTCCAGCTCACTGAGTCTTTATTAAGTTTTTTGTTTCTGTGTTTCTGCTTTATCTTCAAGTTCTTTTATCTTTGTCTCTATAATGACTAATCTACTATTTAGGAAGGTCACTATCAAGGAAGGTCTATTTGCTTCTTTAATTTTTTTTCATTTTTCTTCTTGTTATGATAATGTTTTACTTTTAATTCTTGAGCTTATTTGTAATATCTGCTTTAAAGTTGTTGTTGGCTAGCACCATTATCTTTGTTGTTTCTTGAACTGTTTCTGTTGATTGACTTTTCTTATCATGGGGCATATTTTCCTGCTTTTTTTTTTAGCATTCCCAGTAATTTTTTTTATTGGATGATAGACATTTGGAATGTTAGGTTGTCAAGTGTCTTGATTTTGTTGTTTTCCTTTAAAAAGTATTGAAATACGTTTTGATAGGCAGCTATTGCTGGATTAACTTGATCCTTTTCAGGCTTGTTTTAAAACTGGTGGTAGCCTTTATGCTATTTCTAGTTTAGTCCTACTTTTAAGGGGTATTTCTTCTAAGATCTCTTCTGAATGTTCTAGGTGTTTAACAAGGTCTCCAGCTGGCCAAATGTGTCTCAGCCCTGTGTGAGATGTGAAAATAGTTCATCTTCTAGCTCCTTGGAAATCCTTTTTCCTACTGTGATGGGATTTACTCTGTGTATATAGCTTGCAGGTTTCTGGTGCCCTTTTTCTATGTAGTTTTCTCTACTCTGGTACTCTGTTCCATAAATTCCAGCTACCCTGGAATTTTTCTGGCTCTAATTTTTCAACTTAATAAGACCATCATGATCTGCTTGGATTTACCATTTCTCTGCTGTTCAGAAATTGCCTCTGGATACAAAACTGGGACAATGTTAGAGTTTACCTCTTTGTTTCCCTTGCCTCAGGGATTGCATTTCTTATGGTACCTGGTGCCCAATGTCTTAAAGTGGTTACTTTATAAATTTTTGTCCAGTTATGTAGTTGTTTACAGCAGTAGAACAAGTGTAAAACCAGTTGCTCTTGTCATGGCCCAATGTGGAAATCTCGTCATTTGTTTCCGATTCAGAATCTTGCTCCCTCACTTGAGGCAGAAGTTGAAAATGGTACTCTTTTTCTAAAGATTCATTGTTACTAAAATTAGTGAAAACCCTGCACACTTTTTAACTTTTTATTGGTTGTTACATATTTAAGACAATTAAATCTAAGCTGCTTATTCTTTATTCTTTATGAATAGGTAGTATAGCCAATCAAATATTCCACCCAGTGATGTTTGACAAATGCGTTCAGACTCTAAAGAAGAGCTGGCCTCAGGAATCTAACTTGAATCAAAAGAGAAAGAAGGAACAGCCTAGGAGCTCTCAGGCTAATCGAAGGGAAAATAGAAAAAGAGGAAGACCCCTCAGGAAACAGGATATTGAGGTAAGAAGTAAATGGAATAATAAAATATACCTATACCAACACATGGTTTGGTCTGTTTGAAGATTGTCTTTATAGTAAACATGGTTTCGGACATCGAGATTATAAGCAACAGGTCCTAAACCATTGTCAGCTATCCAAAGTGATTTTAACTTGCCTCTAAGGTGCCTCGTGCTTCTGAGGGCACGTTTCTGCTTTGCATCTTTCCAATGTCCAGTCGTCTCTCCCAGTCTTGTTCCTGGAATGCCTGACAACATATTAACTGATATGTTTGCCATATTATTGTCATTAAAGGGGGTGACTGAAGTATCCTGAGGTCATGTCCTTAAGAGCATAATAGAATAGCATTAGTTCCACATTCTTTTTTTTTTTTTTTTTTTGAGTTGGAGTCTTACTCTGTCACCCAAACTGGAGTGCAGTGGCCGCTCCCGGCCACCACAGCCTCGACCTGCTGGGCTCCGGCAATCCTTCCACCTCAGCCTTCCAAGTAACTGGAACTATAGGTGTGCGCTACCACGCCTGGCTAATTTTTTTGATTTATTGTAGAGAGGAGGTCTTGCCAAGTTGCCCAGGCAGGTCTGGAACCCGCGGGCTCAGGCAATCCACTCACCTCAGCCTCCCAAAAGCGTGGGATTATGGCTGAGCCACTGAGCCCGGCTTAGTTCCACATTCTTGAGTGACAGGGTTGGAAGATGGAGGTTTGCCAAAATTTCTAAAAGAGCACAGGAATTCTCACTGACAAAAAAAGACAGAGCCAGAAATGATCATAACAGTTATCTAGTCCAATGATTTACCGTTTGTAGCCATGGAGTCCAAGAAGAGTCAAGCGAACTGATCAGTCATGTCACCTCAGCATCAGCTACTACCTGAAGTTTAACTGAACTTGGTTTGAGTTAACTGAAAACCATGGGACGTAATGTTAGACATTATTACATAGTCACCTATACATTTCTTTGTAATGTAGATGGATGAAATTATAGAAGAACAAGAAGATGAAGAGAATATCTATTTTTCTGCCCGGGATCTTTCTCAAATTCGAAATGCCATCTTTCACCTTTTAAAGAATTTTTTAAGGCTTCTGCACAAGTTTTCCCTGAAAGAAAAGCCACAGTGTATACAGAATTGTGTAGAGGTAAGTGAAACTTCCAAGAACCTTGGGACAACTTCAAAGGGCATAGACCATGGTTAATACTTAATGAGTAGGAAAAAATCATATCTTTTCTTGATATCTATTTTCCAGGTCTTTGTAGCATTAACTAAGTTTGAGCCAATTCTTCATGAATTTAGTGTTACACAAGCCAGGTAAGCCATTAAATCTTCTAATGCTACTATTTAAGTATAGTATAATAACTTTTCCTACAGCAGAAATAAAAATGTCATTTTATCCTAATTGACATACAGGTAGTATTTATTCATTTAAACATGGTTTGTAGGATTAAGAAATATTCCAAGTAAAATCATATTCATTAACTAATGTTTTACCTTTTTTTTCTAGAGACCTTAACCAAGCAAAATGCATACCAGAACTAGCCTATTGTGGATTGTATTTGCTGTGCTCCCCAATTCATGGAGAAGGAGATAAGGTAAAGGAGATGCGGATCTAATCCAGTTACTAGCCAAGTTGAAAGCAGGCGAACCATACAATAGTAAAAGCATTTGATGTAATGCCATTTTAACTTACTAGCTTATTTTCATGACCGTATATTATTTGTATGATAAAAAATGTCACCATTTCTATTAGCTGTTTTTCATTGCCAAGTTTATATCAAAATGCTTGGTGACTGCAGTAAATTTTTGTTAGATTCCAGACAGAAAAAAAATTGTTCTGGTGTGAATAAAGTAGGAGAAGCAGAGAAGCTGCTGGATAGTCACTTTTACAGAACTATGTACCAAATTGTTTTTAAAAAGAAGAGTTAATCGAATTTTCAAGTTTCCTCTTTGGCAGGTCATGTGTGCTTTCGTATTTCTAGGTTATCATTCCTGGGTTAGCATCAATATCTGGGTTTTGTCTTAATATTATCACTACTTTAAACAGTTTTAGGGTTATTTATGCATCCTGCTGTTACTAAACTTAGATGTCATTAATAAAACAGTAAGACTGCAAAAAATGTGGTGAACCAAGGTCATGTGGCTTTTAGTGGCTATGATACAGTCAGTTTGCAGAGGCAGTAACGAGGTGGTTAAAAGAAGGCTATGGGGGTACTTGGGTTTCTGCACATCTGTGTTCAAATTCTGACTCCACCACTTACTAGCTATGTGTCCTAGTATGTTATTCAACCTTACTAAAGTGTCAGATTTTACATCTGGACAAAAAGGATAAAAGTCTTAGCCTTCCTCATGGATTTGCAAAGGATTAAATGGAATCAAGCATGTCAAATGCCAAGCACAATACCTGTTGTTTAGAAAAAATTCAGTATTTTATAAATTTTATATCTTTATTACTTCCAAGTGCTTGAAATACGTGAATGTGATAGAATTCACAGAAATGCTTTTCATTCCCATGCCCTTTTGAACATTTCAAAAGATAAAATAGATGGGAAAATTCATCATCTTAGGTCTATTGTGTAAAGACACCATGTTTTCTAAATGGTCAAAGTACTGACTTGTTAGGCAGTGCTGGTTTTAGCCAGATCCTTAATTATTTGCCCTTGGACAGCCCACCTTTGGAGTTTTTAAGAATTATCTGTGGCCGGGCTCAGTGGCTCAGCCTGTAATCCCAGCACTTTGGGAGGCCGAGGTGAGTGGATTGCCTGAGCCCGCAGGTTCGAGACCCGCCTGGGCAACTTGGTGAGACCTCATCTCTAAAATAAATTAAAAAATTAGCCGGGCGTGGTAGCGCGCGCCTGTAGTTCCAGCTACTTGCAAGGCTGAGGCAGAAGGATCGCCGAGCCCAGCAGGTTGAGGCTACGGTGGCCATGAGCAGCCATTGCACTCCAGTCTGGGCGACAGAGTGAGACTCCAACTAAAAAAAAAAAAAAAGAATTATCTGTAAAATGAAAATTATACATGTCTTACCTCATGGAGTCGTTGTGAGGTTTAAAATTAAACATAGTACAATCTACACATATATGGAAGTGCCTAATGTATTACCTACCACATATTGGTTTTCAATAAATGTTTTCTTTACTGGATAAATGAATTAATTGGTTGACTAAATTATATGAGATAATATATTGAAAAATGCTTTGTAATAAAATACAGTATAAATGTATCATTCCCCCCCACACACTTTTTTTTTTGAGTTAGAGTCTCACTCTGTCACCCAGGCTGGAGGGCAGTGGCATGTTCATGACCACCACAGCCTTGACCTGCTGGGCTCAGGTAATGCTTCCGCCTCAGCCTTCCAAGTAGCTGGGACTACAGGCATTTGCCATCATCACCTAGCTAATTTTTCTTGATTTATTATAGAGATGTGGTCTCACCAAGTTGCCCAGGCTGGTTTTAAACCCATGGTCTCAGGCAGTCCTCTCATCTCAACTTCCTAAAGTGCTGGGATTATAGGCATGAGCCACTGCACCCAGCCTATTTTTTCCCTTTTTTAAAGAGGAATTTTAGTAGCACTCTTTGTCATTTATAAATGACAATTAGTTTCCTATTTTCCCTATATTCTAGGTTATATTATGCAGGAGATGGGGAGAGAAACTAGTTGATCTTAACATTATCAGCAATTCTTTCACACTGTTTACATTGTGCATTTAATGAACACCTAGTTAATTGTCCAAGAAATACATTCCTAGTGTTCAACCAGTAATGTTAACCTGACTTATCTTCAGATGACTGAAATCGTTTACCACAGTCTGTATCACTACAGTCTGGATTCTCTATCAGCCCTTAAGTTGAATTTTCTTTTATCTTCTAGGTTATCAGTTACATTTTCCGCCAAATGCTCAATGTAATATTAATGTTGGAAGTAGGCGAAGGATCCCATCGTGTCACCCTTACTATGACTTCCCAAGTCATCAACCGTAAAAACCAGGCAATCCAGTTTATCAGGTGAAGCACAGAAATCTTGAATTTTTACTCTCTTTATTACTCTCCCTCAGTCATCTGGGCCCTGCACTCACCAAGGTTTCTGACATCTGTGGAGTTAGAATTTCTGACCTGTTGGTGGTTTGAGGGGCAGTCAGAATAAAGCATTTTATAGCTAATCTGGTTCATGTGGTCCAGGTCACTGATGGTATCCTCTGAATTGGAGCATTCTTAAAGAGATAAGGAATCTACAGCACATGGGCCAGAGCCATCCATCGGCTTGATTGCACCAGCCTTTGAGGTCAACTTCTGAGAGAGGACAGTTACCTCTCCTCTTTTCCATTATCTGCTTCAGTGTTTACCACTCCAGGAAGTCTTCCCCTTCTTTCTCTTTTCTCTTGCTCTCCACTCTGTGTCTCTTTGCTTTTGTCCCCCCTCCCTGCCCCCTTTTTTTGTATTTGGCATCTCACTCTGTCACCCAGGGTGACATGCAGTGGCACGATCATGTATCACCACAGCCTTGACCTTGCTGGTTTCAGATCATCCTTCCACTCAGCCTCCCAAGACCACAGGCGCGTGCCACCACTCCTGGTTCATTTTTTTTTTTTTTTAAATAAATAAGGCCTCCCTATGTTGCCCAAGCTGGTCTCAAACTCCTAGACTAAAGCAATTCTCCCATCTCTGCCTCCCAAAGTGCTGGGATCATAGGCATAAGCCATGATGCCCAGCCTCGTTGCCACTTTTTTTTTGTTTCTTCTTACTTTTCTTTTCCTCTCCCCTGCAGAAAATATTTTCTGAAGGAAAAAATTAAGTTGCTTTTTGCTTCCTTTTTTTTCTTTTTTTTTTTGGAGTTGGAGTTTCACTAGACTATCTTTTTCCTCATGAGTTACTCAGCTTCACTTTAAAAGTCCCATTTCTTAGCTTCATTGAGAAGGACATGTTTGCTGCGTCATTGGTTTTTCTTTCCCTCCTTCACTGAATATTTGGCCTGCAGTGTACAGGTGGTGCCAAGAAGTTGTGTGTACGTTCATGTGAGTGTGTGTGCAGTACACCTTAGGTGTGTACAGTATGTAGTATAGTTGGAGACATGGGGTGTGGATGATGTCATCTTGTCACTGAGCAATGATTTCTCACTGAAGACTGTTTTAAACATTAAATAACTAAGATGTTTTAAGTGGAAATACTGTTGCTTTAGTTTTTCCATGTGAGTTCATTATATTGTCAGTTGCGATAATGTTTATATAACGATACAGATAAACATAGCACAAAAATGAATCAAGCATGAGCATTATAATAATTTCTTCTTGGGTTAAAGTTTGGGTGAGTAATGTTACATATGCATTAAAGTAGCAGCATTTCACTGAGCTTCCATGAGGTGGTACTGTATCTTAGTCAATTTTTGTATTCATCCCCAAAGGACATATTTTACATTTTAATTTGTTAAGTAGTCAAAAGAGTCATATGAAAATCATAGTTTTACTCTTCCTGACAACTCCACTACTCAGCAATAGCTCCCAATACTATGCAAAGGAAGTACTTAACATTTCCTACCTTGGTATATTATAGCTTTACTCTTTATTTTACTGAAACAACTCTTGCAATATGAGGGTAGAGTGATTTAATATTTAGGATTTCTAAACATAGGAGTAGTGATTTCTGAGCGCAGGATTGTGGATTGTATTGTTAATAGTGGATATATTTTTCTTTTATATAGCTCACTTATGGATGAACTAAAGGAAAGTATATTTCCAGTCGTCCTTATCTTACTGCAGCACATCTGTGCCAAGGTACCATACGCATTAGAAATAGTAATAACATAGGATATATAACATATAAAGATAAATGTATATGTATTTGTTCTTGGGAATGAGTCTGCATTGTTAATAAAAGTGGTCTTATTTAATATTCACTAGATGTTCCCCTAGACAAAGTGTTCTGTTTAAAAAAAAAACTTTTTAAAGAAAATGTTGGCCAGGCTCCGTGGCTCAGCCTGTAATCCCGCGCCTTTGGAAGGCTGAGGTGAGTGGATTGCCTGAGCCCGCGGGTTCGAGACCCGCCTGGGCAGCAAGACCTCATCTCTACAATAAATCAAAAAATCAGCCTGGCGTGGTAGCACCTGCCTGTAATTCCGGCTACTCGGAAGTCTGAGGCGGAAGGATCGCCGGAGCCCAGCAGGTCGAGGCTGCAGTGGCCGGGAGCGGCCACTGCCCTCCAGTCTGGGCGACAGAGTGAGACTCCAACTAAAAAAAAAAAAGAAAATGTTGAACACATAGAAACAGGAAGAATAAGGTAATGAACTGCCACACATCCATCACCTATCTTGATCAATTTTGTGTCATTTTAACCCCTACCCACTCCTCCCAACACATGTACACACTGATCCTGGAAAGTGATGATCATGTTTTGAAGACAGATATTTTTTGCATTTTTAAATTTCTATTATCTTTATCAGTGCAGATATTTGCATGAAGATAGAATCACTGGTCCTTGAGGATTCATTAGTTCCTGCTCCTTATTTTCATTCATGTCATCCTCTCAATGCAAGAAGGAAGATTGAGACATTGAGACACCAGATTAGGGTGTCAAGTAAAAGCCAACCGCTAGAGTAGATGAATAATACTTACCTAGCCACAGCTGGTAGATCAGGTTCTATAGGCCTCATACCTTCTTCATCAAATTAGCCATGAAGAGACTCCCCAGTTCTTACAACATGTCTATGTCATCATGTTCTATCTCAGCCATCCATTTGGGTGGAGAGCTAGTAATAGAATTTTTGAAGGAAGCCACAAAATCAGCAACATATAGTAATTTTTCTGGTCAAAGATCTGGTGAGGCATGGTCAAGTTTTTCAAAACTTAACAAAGATGCTTCCAGATCTGTCCCGTTCATGGGAGATGCCATCTTCTAGCCCCAATTTATAGGTTTCTTATAGATTAATTTTCAAAGGAATCTGAAATCTGAAAGTTGTGGTCATTGACCTAACATTTAAAGGTCATTGAACTAGTTACATGCACTGATTTTCAGCTTGTATTACAACATGTGTTTCATTTGTCCTACTGGTGGATTTTGGCCAGACAGCTTCTCCATTTTTGTGTTTCAGGTGATAGATAAATCAGAGTATAGGACCTCTGCAGCCCAGTCTCTGGTCCAGCTGCTCAGTAAACTTCCTTGTGGGGAATACACTACATTCATTGCCTGGCTTTACAAATACTCACGAAGTTCCAAGGTAGGAGATAGATGTGCATAAAATACTGGGTTCTGGCTCTGCAAACTTCTGATAACAGCCAGATCTGAATGAGGAGAAGGGTTTCTTTGGTTCTTATTCCTATCTGATGGTGATTCTTATGATTTTGCTTTACCAGATCCCACACCGTGTTTTTACTCTTGATGTTGCCTTAGCTCTGTTAGAACTGCCTGAAAGAGAGGTGGATAACACTCTCTCCTTGGAGCATCAGAAGTTCCTAAAGCATAAGTTCTTGGTGCAAGAAATTATGTTTGACCGTTGTTTAGACAAAGCACCCACTGTCCGCAGCAAGGCACTGTCCAGCTTTGCACACTGTCTGGAGTTGTCTGTTACCAGTGCATCAGAAAGTATCCTGGAACTCCTGATTAACAGTAAGTATGGTGACTGTTAGGAAAGGAAACTGGGCTCATCAAGAAGTAGACTGCAAGGGAATTGTTCTTTGCTGTTGCAAAAATAATAGGCATGGTATGATTCATTTTTACCATCATAAACCATTTCCAGAATATATATGGGATGTTTGTTTTGAGTCAGGGTCTCACTGTCTGTCAACCTGGAGTACAGTGACACACTTATGGCTCACTGCAGCCTGGGACTACAGGTATGCACCACTATGCTCAGCAATTTTTTTATTATTATTTTTTTGTAGAGCCGAGGTCTCTACAAAAATTTTAAAGATGTGGGGTACAGTTCAGGGTTAGGTATACAAATGTTCATTATGCAGTTACCCTTGTTGGCGAGGTATGTCTCCCCCTCCCCCAGCAACTAATTTCTCACTACCACCAATCGTTTTCTTTCTGGTTTTTTTTTTTAGAATAGAAAAACAGGTGTTTTTTGGCTTTTGGTTTTTTGAGTTGGAGTCTCACTCTGTCACTCAGACCGGAGTGCAGTGCAGTGGCCGCTCCCAGCCACTGTAGCCTCGACCTGCTGGGCTCTGACGATCCTTCCACCTCAGCCTTCCAAGTAGCCGGAACTATAGGCACACGCTACCATGCCTGGCTAATTTTTTATTTATTATAGAGATGAGGTCTTGCCAAGTTGCCCAGGCGAGTCTAGAACCCACGGGCTCAGCCAATCCACTCACCTCGGCCTCCCAAAGCGCTGGGATTATAGGCTGAGCTACTGAGCCTGGCCGAAAAACAGGTTTATTAAGTGTGCTGCAAAGTAGAAATGGGCAGAATGTCAACAATAAGGGAGCTGTCTGTGCCCCAATCCTTTTCTTACAGTATTATGATAATTGTTCAAGGTCTACTTATGAGTGAGAACATATGATGCTCAGTTCTTTGTTTCTGTGATAGAGCACTCAGTATTATAATCTCTAAGTTCATCCAAGTTGCTGTGAAGTTCATAATTCTGTTCTTCTTTATGACTGCATAATATTCCATCGTGTATATGTACCACACTTTTTTTTTAATCCAGTCCTTTTTCGATGGGCAGCATGGTTGGTTCCATGTTTTTGCTACTGTGAACAATGCTGCAATAAAGATATGTGCACAGGTATCTTTTTCATAGAGTGATTTGAATTCCTCTGGGTATACTATATTCCCAGTTAAGGGGATTGTGGGGTCTTATGGGAAGTCGATTTTTAGATCTTTTAGGAATAACCAAACCAAACGGTTTTCCACAGAGGTTGTACCAGTTTACACTCCCACCAACAATGTAGAAGTGTTCCTTTTTCCCTGCATCCTCTCCAGCATCTGTTGTTTTTTTCGTTATTAATAATGGTCATCCTGACTGGAGTTAGGTGGTATATCAGTGTGGTTTTAATTTACATTTCTTTGATGACTAGTGAGTCTGAGCATTTTTCATGTATCTGTTGGCTGCTCGTATGTCTTCTTTTGAGAAGTGTCTATTCTTGTCTTTTGCCCATTTTGTAATGGGGCTGTTTGTTTTTTCTTTTCAGCACGTTTGAGTTCCTTGTAGATCCTAGATCTTATGCCTTTGTCAGATAGGCAGTTGGCAAATATTTTTTCCCAGTCTGTGGGCTGTATCGCTGCGCTCTTGATGGTTTCTTTGACTTTGCGAAAACTTGTCAGTTTGATGAGGTCCCACTTGTCTATCTTATCTCTTATGGCATGGGGACTTGGGGTTTTGATCAGAAGTTAGTTGCCAGTTCCAATTTCCATAAGGGTGTCTTCCACATTTTCCAAGGTTCTTATAGTTTGAGGCTTTACATTTAGGTCTTTGATTCATTTAGAGTTGATTTTTGTGTATGGTGATAGGTAGGGGTCTTGTTTTAATCTTCTAAAGTATTTCACATATTTATTTATTTTATTTATTTATTTTTTTGAGTTGGAGTCTCACTCTGTCACCCAGACTGGAGTGCAGTGGCTGCTTCCGGCCACCGCAACCTCGCCTGCTGGGCTCCGGCGATCCTTCCGCCTCAGCCTTCCGAGTAGCTGGAATTACAGGCATGCGCTACCACGCCCAGCTGATTTTTTGATTTATTGTAGAGTTGAGGTCTCGCTGCTCAGGCGGGTCTCAAACCCGCGGGTTCAGGCAATCCACTCACCTCAGCCTCCCAAAGGCACGGGATTACAGCCTGAGCCACCGAGCCCGGCTTATTTCACATATTTATAATTTAGAGGTGAAATTGTTGGCTACCTCCTCAATTACTTTGCACTGGTAGGCATTGGCTGTGTTGGGCCTAATCTATTTCAAGTGCATACCAAGAAGAATGTTATCAGTTATCAGCAGTTTATAATCTCTGCTTTGTCTTTGGGCCTGATTATTTCAGTTTTGATTTTTTTTGTGGATATTTACCCAGGATTTTTTATACTGTAACTTCCTTCTTATCTATCTTTTTATTTTTAGATCCTGCAGTTTCAGGAACAGAGAGCCACTCTGGTACCTTACCGAGGACCTCATCAGGTAATGATGGATCAATGCATTTAAATATTGTGTAACTGTCTTTTAAAAACTTGCCAGATATTTGAGATGCTTTTTTCTACCTCCATATGTATGTATTTTAATATTAAACTTTTTGTCATCAAGTTGAAATTCATTTCAATAATAATGTAGCTTAAATGAGTAACATACTCTGCTTATATTAGAAGTATAATACGTTTTTACCTTAATGACTATTCTTTTTTTTTTTAAGTTTTTTTATATCAGAGGCTGACATCTAACCCTTCTGAACCCTCAAGTGAGCTCTTCATAGGCAGCAGTGGTGAAACAGTTGGAACTGGTGGTATGTCAGATTTTATCCCTATCAGATAAAGAATACTATTGGATTTCAGACAACCATAAGTGGAGTCTAAAACCTTGAAATTTTTTCCGATTGATTCACTATTAAGAATTGGAAACTCATCTCTTTTTTTTCTTAAAGTGAAGGAATTTCAGTTATATCGTTTTGGTATCCTTGTACTACACTATATTTTGTCTTATAATAAAGAGTAGGCTACTTTTCAGTTGACATGTGCTGAATTCTAGTGTACCTATAACACTTAAGAGAATATTAGCAAATGTTTTACTTTCTTATTAAAGTCAATTGCTGTGAACTGCTAGGATTACTAACCAAAAAATGGCCAGTTACTGGGGAAGGTGCAGCAGAGATTAAACTTGTGTTTGGGGGAAAGGTCATCACGAAAAAGGGAATGATGAACAATTCCCAATCCTATTTTTGATTTTCATTCATTGTGTCATCTTGACTGTGAATGAGTCATCCTAGAACCTACTTTTAATGCAGGGGAGAGGACTGTAGAGTTCAAGCTTCTGCTGAAAAAGATGCTTCAGAATTTAGCTCATAATTTCTCTTTACCAACAACATGAGCCTCTTTCTAACAGATCACCCATGTTGTGTGGCGTGGTTATAAGGACCTTTCCCCCCATGGACTTCAGGACAAGATTCTGGACACAGCTGATGCCAAATCTTTTGTTGAGTTGTTGGGAATGTTTAAGTGTCAACGTGAATCAGGAGGAAAAAGCAAGCCTGGACTAGGTAGCAGATAGACCTGGAGCCCACTCTGATTTGTCTGTCTAGTTGTACGATCTTGAGAAAGTCACTATACTTCTCTGAGCTCCTTTTTCATTTGTGATATAACAGTATAATATTGTAGGACAAACACCATATTAGAAATGCAGAGCAGACCAGGCATGGTGACTCATGCCTGTATTCCCAGTACTTTAGGAGGTGGAGGTGAGAGAATTGCCAGAGCCAAGGAGTTTGAGACCAACCTGGGCAACTTGGCGAGACTTCCTGTCTACAACAAATCAAAAAATTAGCTGGGTGTAGGGGTACCTACCTGTAATCCCAGCTACTTGGAAAGCTGAGGCAGAAGGATCATCTGAGCCCATCAGGCCAAGGTCGTGTTAGCCATGATCATGCCACTGCACTCCAGCCTGGGAGATAGAGTGAGACTCTGACTCAAAAAAAAAAAAAAAAAAATGCATGACAGTCTGCTTTTTTTGCACCAAGCTGATTACTAAGTAACTGCATGATCTTGGGCATAGCCTTCGACAAACTCTCTGTCATTTTCCAATTCTAACACCTTCCTGTCTTTCACAGAGGGCTATTATGAGAGTTTGTAGAAATAACATTTAGGGAAGTGATAGAGAGATAACAAAGAAAGAGAAGGTATGTAGAAGATTAAATATATAATTAGGTGTATCACTTTATTCAGTACGCGTTATCTGGTCCTTCCTAACCTGTTCTCAGAATTGTAAGTATACACCTTAACCAAACAAAGTTCCATCTCTTAAGGAGCAGTGGAAGACAGATGCATGTGTATATAAATGTTTTTATGTGTGTTTGAGCATACATATATACACATATATAAAGTGCTGTGAGATAGACATCAAGGTGTATGAAAAGTGCAGTGAGGAAAGTAACTGCTTATCACTCGGCCTAGAAGATCAGCATAGAGTTAAGTTTGTGAGACTATTAGCATGTATTACTCAAATTCAGAGTAGTAACTGAATTTATAATAAACAGGCTTCTTAAATTTTGTAGAAAAATTTAATCTGGAAAAATGCTGATGTTTATGTGGCCTCCAGTCTTCCCTTAACAGTTTACAGATTTACTGTTGCACGGGCTCTTTTCCAAACAGTATCAAGTTGTGTTGATTTAATGATGCTTTCAAATTATAAAAGTTTGAATATGTAAAGCATTCATGTTCCCATTTTATTGGTCATGAACTAAGAGGACATATACATTTAAAATGTAGTTACTACATGCCATGCACAGTGCCAAGAGCTTTCTTTGTTTTTGTTTTTTTTTTAATTGAGATAGAATTCACATACCATTAAAATTCACCATTTAAAGTGTATAATTCAGTGGTTTTCAGTGTAATCCCAAGATTATACAGAGAGCATTTTCATCTGCCAAAAGAGAAATTCTATGCCTTTTAGTAGTTGCTCTCCATTCCTCCCTCTTCCCACCTCTGACTTGAAAGCACACTGGGCCTAAAGAATGTCTAAAGAATTTTGTAGACATGAGGGTAGATGAAGACACAAAACACCTTATTCAGAAACTCTGGCGACGTAGTGCACTGTAGGTATCTGTAACTTACCTTGTGATAGTGTGACTTACTGGGAGCTGCGGCTCAGTGCTGCTGCCTGGCATCCAGAGAGAGTATCATACTGCATGTTGCAAGCCAGAAAGAGATCAGAATTCAAATTTTGAAGTACAGTGTGAGTGCATATCACTTTGCCCCTGTTGTCAAATCTAAAAATCATAAATCAAACCATCATAAGTCTGGGACTGTCTGTATATGGGGAACTTAACAGAGTAAGGTTTGTTTGTGGATTCCTCTGGTCTTCTATGGGCTGATAAAAGTCTAGAGTCAACTCAAGTAAAGGATCATTTATATCCTGCCTTTTGGCAGAAAAGGAGGAGGATAGAGAGAGCCATTTCTCTGCTGATGCTTCTTAGGTGCCTTCAGCTCAAAAATCATTTTTATGTCAAAAAGTCATATTTTTGGATAAACATGTTCTGGTTCCCTTTGGTAGTAAGTTTTGAAATTAGAAAGTGTAGGTTCTCCATATTTGTTCTTTTTCAAAATTGGTTTGGCTTTTCTGGGTCCCTTATATCTCCATATGAATTTTAGGATTCACTGTGAATTTCTGCAAAAATAGCCTTCTTGAAATTTTTTTTTTTTTTTAATTTTTGCAGTGGCATACTCACAGCCACCACAGCCTTCACCTACTGGGCTCAGGCCACTGGACTCCAGCCTGGGTGATAGAGTGAGACTCTGACTCCAAAAAAAAAAAAAGAATTGAAGCCCTTTTTTTTTTTCTTAAAAGTGGAAAAGTTTCTATTATATCTTAATTGATATCCTTGCACTACATTATATTTCATTTTAGAATAAAATATTGAATTAAGGGTTTTTTTTGCAAGTATTTTGTTGAGAATTTTTGTGTCTGTATTCATAAGGGATATTTGTCTGTTGCTTTCTTTTCTTAAGATGTCTTTGTTCTTGGGAGGCTAAGGTGAGTAGATTGCCTGAGCCTGCAGGTTCAAGACCCGCCTGGGCAACTTGGAGAGACCTCATCTCTACAATAAATCAAAAAATTAGCCGGGCATGGTAGCGTGCACTGGTAGTTCCAGCTACTTGGAAAGCTGAGGCAGAAGGATTGCTGGAGTCCAGCAGGTCGAGGCTGCAGTGGCCAGGAGCGGCCACTGCATTCCAGTCTGGGAACAGAGTGAGACTCCGACTCAAAAAAAAAAAAAAAAGTCTTTGTCTGGTTTTGCTATCAGCGTAATACGGCTTAATTGAGGTGGGAAGTATATTCTTCTGCTTTTTGGAAGAGTTTGTGAAGGATTGGTGTTCATTTCTTTTTTTTTTTATAATCAATATTTTTTATTATGATATTGTTGGGTACAGTTAAGGGTTAGGTATACAAATATGCTTCGTTCAGGCACCCTTGTTGATAAGAGATGTCTCACCATCCCCAGACAGGTATTTACTACCATTAATCCCATCTCCTTCCCCCCCTCCATAGTTTCCCACCACTGTCAGTCATTTTCTTATAGTATTACATTGGATGTTCAGGTCCACTATATGAGTGAGAATATGTGATACTCAGATCTTTGTTTCTGTGAGAGGTCACTCAGTATTATAGACTCTAGTTCCATCCAGGTTGCTGCAAAATTCATGATTTTGTTCTTTTTTATGGCTGTGTAGTATTCCATCGTGTATATGTACCACATTTTTTTAGTCCAGTCCTCTTTTGATGGACAGTATGATTGCTTCCAGGTTCTTGCTATTGTGAACAATGCTGCGATAAACATACGTGTACAGGTATCTTTTTTATAGAGTGATTTGAGTTCTTCAGGGTATATTCCTAGTAGGGGGATTGCAGGGTCATATGGGAGGTCAATATTTAGAGCTTTTAGGAATCGCCGTACTGTTTTCCACAGAGGTTGCACTAGTTTGCACTCCCACCAACAGTGTAGAAATATTCCCTTTTCGCCATACCCTCTCTAGCAACTAGTATTTTTTGAGTTATTGATAATTGTCATTCTGACTGGAGTTAGGTGTGTCTCAGTGTGGTTTTGATTTGCATCTCCCTGATGATTAGTGAGGTTGAACATTTCTTCATGTGCCTATTGACTGCTCGGGTGTCTTCCTTTGAAAAGACGCCTGAGCAGTCAACAGGCACATGAAGAAATGTTCATATCTTTTGCCATTTTATAATGGGGTTGTTTGTTTTTTTCTTTCCAGCACATGAGTTCCTTATAGATCCAAGATGTTAAGCCTTTGTCAGACCTGGAGTTGGCAAATACTTTTTCCCAGTGTGTAGGCTGTCTCCCTGCTCTCTTGATGGTTTCTTTGGCTTTGCAGAAGCTTGTCAGTTTAATGAGGTCCTACTTGTCTATCTTCTCTCTTATAGCTTGTGGGTTTCAGGTTTTGTTCAGGAATTGGATGCCAGTTCCGATTTCCATGAGGGTATGTCCTTCATTTTCTAAGGTTCTTATGGTTTGAGGTTTTACATTTAGGTCTCTGATCCATTTGGAGTTAATTTTTGTGTATAGGGATAGATAGAGGTCCTGTTTCAATCTTCTGCATGTGGTCAGCCAGTTTTCCCAGCACATTTACTGAATAGGTTCTCCTCTCCCCAGTGGTAGGTGGTGGAGGCTTTGTCGAAGATGAGTTGGTTGAGAAATTGAGGTTTTGCTTCTGGAATCTCAATTCTATTCCATTGGTCTATATGCCTGTTCCTGTACCAATACCAAGCTGTTTTGATGATTGTAGCTTTATAGTAAAGTTTGAAGTCTGGTAATGTGATACCACCTGCTTTGTTTTTTTTTGCTGAGGATTGTTCTGGCTATTCTTGGTCGTTTGTGTTTCCATATGAATTCGTGTGTTGTTTTTTCCTAGGTCTGAGAAGAATGTTGCTGGTAATTTGATGGGTATTGCATTAAATCATTTTTGTTTTAACATGTGTTAGACCTCTCCAGCAAAACCATCTGGTCCTTGGTGTGTGTGTGTGAAGTTTTTTGATTACTAGTTTCAGATTTTCTATTTCTTTTTGAGTCAGTTTCTGTCGTTTGTATCTTTCTAGAAATTTGTTCATTTCTACATTACTTGATTTGTTGATATAAAATTCTTCATAATATTCTTTGTAATCTTTTTTCACGTTGTTTTTTTTTTTTTTTTTGAGTTGGAGTCTCACTCGGTCGGAGTGCAGTGGCATGTTCATGGCCACCACAGCCTTGAACTGCTTGCTTAGGTGATCCTTCCACCTCAGCCTTCCAAGTAGCAGAACTACAGGTGCGCACTACCACACCCGGCTTATTTTTTTATTTATTGTAGAGACGAGGTCTCACCAAGTTGCCTGAGCTGGTCTCAAATTCCTGGGCTCAGGCAAACCTCTCATCTTGGCCTCCCAAAGTACTGGGATTACAGGCTGAGCCACCGTGTCCAGCCCATGTCATTTATTATTATTATTATAGATATATGGGGTACAAGTCAGGATAAGTTACACAAGCAGACCTCATGCAGGTTAAGTTTGGACCTCCAACTGGCTTTTCCTCTCCCTAGTTTAGAACTAGGTACCCTTTGTGATGCTGTGTGCCTCCTCCCTCTCTCCCTCCCTCTCCTGGCAGTGTCTATTTGCTGCCGATCCCTCCCTTGTACTAATGTGAATAATGTTCAGGTCCCACTTATGAGTGAGAACATTCAGTATTCAATTATTTAAAGAACCTACTTTTAGTTTCATTGATACTCACTACTTTTTTTTTAGGGTGGCTTATATTTAAGCAGTTTCCTAAGTGTGGTTTGAGAGCCCTCAGAGGTCCTTGAAGTGAATGCTGTGTTTAAAATAATATCAAGAGGCCAGGTTCCGTGGCTCCTGATCCCAACTTTGGGAGGCCGGGGCAAGTGGATTGCCTGAGCCCATAGGTTCGAGACCAACCTGGGAAACTTGGCAAGACCTAGTCTCTGCGATAAATAAGAAATTAGTTGGGCGTGGTAGCATGTGCCTGCTGTTCCAGCTACTTGGAAGACTGAGGCAGAAGGATCGCTGAAGCCCTGCAGGTTGATGCTGGAGTGCCGGTGGGTCTGCCACCGGCACTCCAGCCTGAGTGACAGAGCAAAACTCCAACTCAAAAAAATATTAAGCTGGGCTCGGTGGCTCAGCCTGTAATCCCGCGCCTTTGGTAGGCTGAGGTGAGTGGATTGCCTGAGCCCGCGGGTTCGAGACCCGCCTGGGCAACTTGGCAAGACCTCGTCTCTACAATAAATCAAAAAATTAGGCGGGCGTCGTAGCATGCCCGTGTAGTTCCAGCTACTTGGAAGGCTGAAGCGGAAGGATCGCCGGAGCCCAGCAGGTCAAGACTGCCTGCGGTGGCCGAGAGCAGCAACTGCACTCCAGTCTGGGAGACAGAGTGAGACTCCAACTCAAAAAAAAAAAAAAAATTTTAAATTAAAATATAAATCAGAACATCATTTACCTTGTACACTCTAATTTCCTCACAAGTGTAAACTGCAGTTTTCCAAAGGTCTCTGATATATGAAATTGTGACAGATTGCAGGCAGAACAGAGAAGAGAATCCAACTGACTTTTATTAAACCAGACATTAAAGAGTTTGCACACAGTGCCATTCTTTTATTTTAGCTGTGTGGGGTTTTTTGGTTTTTGTTTTGTTTTGTTTGACAAGGTCTCACTGTGTTGCCCGGGCTGATTGAACTCCTGGGCTCAAGTGGTCCTCTCACCTCAGCCTCCCCTGTAGCTGGGACTACAGACACATATCACCACTCCCAGATTTTTACTGTTTTTTGTTTGTTTAGGAAAATATAGTTATTTTTCATTTAAAAATACTACTTATAATAATATACCTTGCTACTTTAAAATGAATTAGTAAATGGTTTTACAGTTCTCTAATTCATATTAAAAGATGTAATTTATTTTAAAAAGTTTGGGGGAGTCCTCAGTAATTTTTAACAGTAGAAAGAAGCCTTCAGCCGGGTACGGTGGCTCATGCTTGTAATCCCAGCACTCTAGGAGGCTGAGGCGAGAGGATTGCATAAGCCCATGGTTTCAAGACCAGCCTAAGCAACATGGTGAGACCTCGTCTCTACAATAAATAAAAAAATTAGCCGGACATGGTAGCATGCGCCTGTAGTTCCGACTACCTGGAAAGCTGAGGCGGAAGGATTGCTGGAGCCCAGCAGGTCAAGGCTACAGTGGCCATGAGTGTGCCACTGCACTCCAGCCTGGGCGACAGAGTGAGACTCCAACTCAAGAAAGAAAGAAAGAAGCCATCAAGAGAAAAGCTTTTGTTTGTTTGTTTTGAGTTGGAGTCTTACTCTGTTGCCCAGGCTGGAGTGCAGTGGCACACTCACGGCCACCCCAGCGTCAACCTGCTGGGCTCAGGCAATCTTTCTGCCTCAGCCTTCCAAGTAGCCAGAACTACAGACACGCGCCTCCATGCTCGGCTAATTTTTAGATTTATTGTAGAGATGAGGTCTTGCCAAGGTGCCCAGGCTGTTATCGAACCTGTGGGCTCAGGCAATCCCCTCATCTCAGCCTCCCAAAGTGCTGGGATTACAAACTTGAGCCACCATGCCTAGGAAGAAAAAAGTTTTAAAGCTACTGTTATATGTTATCTCATCAAATTTTTAAAACAGCCCTATGAGTTAGATATTTCTATTTGTAACTAAACAGAAGAGCTAAATTATTCACTCAAAATTTTAGAGGTAGAAGCCAGGATTTAAAACCAAGTTTTTAATATTCTAAAATGTATATACTTTATAGTGAATACCTCCTAATTATTTGAATTTTCTTCTAATACGCTGTTTCATACTCTGATTTCTTAGGGTTTAAAACAAGCTAATTAGTAAGTCTTTAAGATGAGTACATCTTCTCAGTATTACAGGTGAAATGTTAAATTTTATGTCATCTTTCTCAGGTTGTAATGACCCTAGTGTTCTCTCTACAGGAAGATGTATTATGGCAATGCTGAGAAAGAGGATCAGGGATGAGAAGACCAATGTGAGGAAGTCTGCACTCCAGGTATGAGTTTTTTCTGCACATTTTAAAATGTACTCTCTTTTTAGGCACTAAACTCTTGGAAGTGCAAGGGAATATTTTTAAAACTCCCAGGCCATATTTATTACTTAATGTGCTTTTCACTGACTTTACCTGATTCCGTTACATATAAATTATATATGAACTGGAAATTATGTTTTTAATCTTTCCTATTGGATTGCTGACTTTTTAAGAACTACAGATTTATATCTTCCATTTAATTTTGTTTAGAGTAGGGATTCTTAACCTGGAGATCATGGGTCGATTTTGATGGGCTTATTAAATTATTTTTAGATATTTGTTTATATAAAATGTATGTCAGTTTTTCTCTGAGAGAGGCCTTAACTTTCATCAGATTTTTAAAGCTGGGATGTTGTAGGGAGGAAGAATGGATCCATGGCCCCAAAATTTTAAGAACCACAAACTTAAAGGAGTTATGTCTTTGTCTGTGGTGTCTTTTTCTGTATTTATGCTATGCAGTCATTACTTCATGTCACATATATGCCTTCTAGGTGTTAGTGAGTATTCTGAAACACTGTAACATCTCGAATATGAAAGAAGACCTGTCGATTCTGCAGGACCAGTGTCGGGACCCTGCAGTATCTGTCCGGAAGCAGGCCCTTCAATCTCTTACTGAACTCCTTATGGTGAGAGGCACATCATTATGTATTTAATACATGAGATTTTACACTAAAAGTAATTCCACATAGTAATTTCCAGTTGTTAAATATTAACTTGACCATTAGAAACTGGCAAGTTAGCTGGGCTCAGTGGCTCAGCCTGTAATCCCGTGCCTTTGGGAGGCTGAGGTGAGTGGATTGCCTGAGCCCTCGGGTTCGAGACCCACCAGGGCAACTTGGCAAGACCTCATCTCTACAATAAATCAAAAATTAGCCGGGTATCGTAGTGCGCGCCTGTAGTTCCAGCTACTTGGAAAGATGAGGCGGAAGGATCGCCGGAGCCCAGCAGGTCAAGGCTGCGGCGGCTGGCAGCGGCCACTGCACTCCAGTCTGGGCGACAGAGTGAGACTCCAACTCAAAAAAAAAAGAAACTGCCAAGTTTGGCCAGGCTCAGTAGCTCAGCCTGTAATCCCAACACTTGGGGAGACTGAAGCAAGTAGATTGCCTGAGCCCACAGGTTCAAGACCAGCCCTGGCAATTTGGCGAGACCTTGTCTCTACAATTAAAAAAAAAAATCAAAAATTAGCCAGGTGTGGTAGTGTGTGCCTGTAGTTCCAGCTACTTGGAAGGCTGAGGTGGAAGGATCGCTGGAGCCCAGCAGGTCAGTGCTGGGATGGCCATGAGCATGCCACTGCACTCCAGCCTGGGTGAGAGCGAGACTCTAACTCAAAAAAAAAAAGAAACTGCCTAGTTCACTGTAGGACTATACAATGTAAGGGAAAAGAAGAGGTATCATTCATTTACATATGATAGACTATGCTTCCTATTATATATAATTAGGGACTAGTGCTAGAGAATACTAGCCATCAGCTTAAATCTTGCATAGAAAAATAAATTTTGGCCAGGTGTGGTTGCCAAAATAATCCCAGCATTTTGGGAGGCCGAGGTGAGAGGATTGCCTGAGCCCACAGGTTCAAGATCAGCCTGGGCAACTTGGTGAGACCTCATCTCTACAATAAATCAATACATAAATTAGCTGGCCATGGTGGCGCACACCTGTAGTTCCAGCTACTTGAAAGACTAACCTGAGCCCGCAGGTTCGAGACCCGCCTGGGCAACTTGGCAAGACCTCATCTCTACAATAAATCAAAAACTAGCCGGGCGTGGTAGCGCACGCCTGTAGTTCCAGCTACTTGGAAGGCTGAGGCGGAAGGATCGCCGGAACCCAGCAGGCGAGGCTGCGGTGACCGGGAGCGGCCACTGCACTCCAGTCTAAGTGACAGAGTGAGGCTCCAACTCAAAAAAAAAAAAAGAAAGACTAAGGCAGAAGGATCACCCGAGCCCAGCACGTCGAGGCTGTGGTGGCTGTGAGCATGCCACTGCACTCCAGCCTGGGCAACAGAGTGAGACTCCAACTGAAAAAAAAAAAAGAAAAGAAAAGAGAAAGAAATTTTGGCCAGGCGCAGTGGCTTATGCCTGTAATCCCAGCACTTCGGGAGATGGAAGTGAGAGTATTGCCTGAGCCCAGGTGTTCGAGACCACCTTGATGAGACCTTACCTCTACAGTAAAAAAAGGTAGCTGGGCATGGTGACATGCATCTTTGGTTCCAGCTACTTGCAAGGCTGAGGCAGGAGGGTCACCTGAACCCAGTAGATCAAGGCTGCAGTGGCCATGAGTGTGCCACTGCACTCCAGCCTGGTTGGCAGAGTGAGATTCTGACTCAAGAAAAAAGAAAGAAAATAAAAATTAATTTTAAAATTAATTTTGTTAAACTAGAGTACTAGATTAAATTTTTTCAGTTAAAACATATATGGATGATATTCCCAAAAGAGCAGATCCACTGATACTATATGTAATTTGCCTCTGCTAACTAATTAGCTGTTAAAGAATTTTAAATGCATGTTTTTTTTCTTTATTTCATGATAAAATGCTTTAAGCAATACATACTTTGCTTTTTATGTCAGCCTGTGTTCTGATTGCTCCTTGGGATAAATATCTACTCTTGATTTTGATTTTGAAGGATAAAAATGTACCGGTTTACTACTACCAGTAAAATGATGACTTTAGTATATAAGTTTAAACTTGCAGCATGCACTGATTTTTAATAAGATGGAGGTTAACATATCTCTCAGAATGTTGATCACAACCTCACTGACTTATATTTAGACCTTCTGATGTCATAATTTTTCAATCCTAAGGCCCAACCCAAATGTGTCCAGATCCAGAAAGCCTGGTTGAGAGGGGTGGTCCCTGTGGTGATGGACTGTGAGAGCACTGTGCAGGAGAAGGCTGTGGAATGCCTTGACCAGCTCTTACTGCAGAACATTGAGCATTACAGTAAATTTCATGCTGAGGACAACAGCCAGGTGCTTGCTTGGGCACTTCTTGCTCTCCTTACCACAGAATGTCAGGACCTGAGGTATGTTAACGGTATGACTTGTGTTCCTTATAGAAGGCCATATGGCCAGGTGTGGTGACTCACGCCTGTAATCCCAGCACTTTGGGAGGCGGAGGCGAGAGGATTGCCTGAGTTCAGGGGTTTGAGACTAGCTTGGGCAACTTGACGAGTGTGGTTCTAGCTACTTGGAAGGCTGAGATAGAAAGATCACTTGAGCCCAGCAGGTTGAAGCTGCAGTAGCCATGAGCATACTACTGTACTCCAACCCAGACAGCAGAGTGAGACTCCTGCTCAAAAAATAAAGTAAGGCCATATGACTTTGTATTAATAAATTTCTCCCATTTATCTTGAAAAATCAGCTTTTGAAATAACTTAGTATATGTGAAGATTCAATCTTGGCTTCTTTTTTTCTTGACCTACTTCAAAGCTCTTAACATTTTGTGTTGACTGTATTTTTGTGACACCTTTTTAGTCACTTCCTTTGCTTTCCTCTGAGGGCTGTCTAGTTATAGATTGGTACCTTAATACAAGGTAGAAAACACTGATGGATATCAGTGTTTCCCAGTACTGGTTACCATGAAAGATGATGTCCTAATTCTTGCAAGTTAAACTATTTCTATCATTTTATTGAGTTAGTTGACTTAATAACACTTCAGTTTTCTTATTCATTTGATATTGAGCATACTTTGCGCACAGTGAACATTGTATTTAGGAATTAGGACCTAGATAAAGGAATTGTCATGCACTAGAAAGAGTAATAGATTTATTTTCAAAAAATGCCATTCTGTGGCCTCGGCAAATCATTTTCTCTCTCTCTGGCCCTTAGTTTCCTCATTTGTAAGAATAGCCATGGTAATACATGATCGGTTCAGGTCCCTTTTGGTATGAAAACTTCATGACTGCGTTTACTCAGTAAATGTTTTCTCAGTTCAGGTGGAGCATCTCCAACCAAAAAATCCAAAATGCTCCAAAATCTGAAACTTTTTAGATGCCACCATGATGCCACACCTGACTTTATATGAGGAATTACAGTCAAAATGCAGGTGTACAACATACAGCCTATTCAGCCTTCCCAAGGGAAAAATAAAATTACCTTCATGCAATGTGTATAAGCTATATACAAAGCATAAATGAATTTTTTTGTTTAGATCTGGATCCCATCCCCAAAATGTCTCATATATATGCAAAAATTTCAAAATCTGAAAAAAAAATGCAAAATTGGAAACACTTCTGGTCCCAAGCATTTTGGTTGAAGGATGCTTAGCCTGTACCCACTCTATGCTTTGCTGAGATTCCTAGAAGGAATGAATTTAGTGGCAATAGATGGACTGCTGTTTTACTTTTCCTAGGAGTACCTTGTTATGCATACTCAGCATATTAATTGGTGGTAAGCCCCCGCAGCCTTCTAGTAGGCTCTCCTTGTTTGAGTCTTTCACGCTGCCCAGTATGACCTTTCTGCATGTGTGATTTCTTTTGTGGCTGCCAGTTACCTTCAGAATGAGCTTCATAAGGAGCTCTTGGCTATGTCACTCCACCGTCTTTCATCTCTGTCTCGTATCCCCCACACCCTCAGGCCCTCTGGCACATCCCTGCCTTGAACATGGTGTTCTCTCTTCGTCTGCTGTCCTGCCCAGCTTTTCTCCTTTGTATGAGCTCACTTACCCTCCTGGATTTCCTTTATTTCTCTCTGGAAGTCTTGCCTGACTCCCCTGGTCTGAGTTAGTTGTTCATCGTTCCATAACACACTTTAACATCTGAAGCTGGGGTGTACCTTACTATTAAGCTGTGTCACAGCATCCATAACAGGTTTTGTTTGCATTTTAAATTAGGGGAGGCTACCTATATATATTGGAGGTCAGAGGGGAAAGGAATAGAAACTATTGAGGACGAGTGAAAGATGGGTGATATTTAATGAAGAAGTTTCTGGAAAAGAGCAATATATGAAGGGATACACTTTAAAAAGTAGGAGGAGGAAACTTCAGAGGTAAAAGGAAACAGGGAAAGAGAAGCAGAAAAGAGGAAATACATGAACACTAGAGCTTACTAGCCTTTGTTTCTTCAGTTAGGTAATAATCAGAATAATCTGCCCAAAGATAGGAAGGGGACAGCACTGGGGCCTGCCATGGGCAGAAGTTCTGGGTAGCCACTTCAAGGCACGGACAGGCAGTGGTTCTCATTGTGACGGGCTCGTGATATCTGACTGTTTTATCATGATGTTAAGGTGTTAATTGTCATTTTTCACTCTCATTCTTTAATAGTAGTTCAGAGTTTTCTAGAAGCCATATGATGATTTTGAAACAGATTGAGTGCAGAAGCAGATTTGAAACTCCACCTGTCTTCTATTTAAGCCAAACCTTAAAGTACAAAACAGTGCCACTCTCTCACTATGTTTTTTTTGAAAAGTTATTTGTAATAAAATAATGTATGCTAATATGTAATGAGTTTATTATTTTTGAATGAATTAATCAAATATTTTTTAATTTCTTGATTTTAATTTCTTATGTGGCAAATATTTATAGATATAACCTATGTACACAAGTTTTTTGGAGGAATCAATAATTTTTTAAAGATTTTAAAGCAGTTCTGAGATGAAAAAATGTGAAAGCCACTGAGATAAAAAATCGATTAAAAAAATTATTGAGAACAGCAGGATCAGTGGAATAAAGAATTCTGTAAACATTACAAACAAAATGTTAAGTTATTTAATGAAGTGTTGCTACAATATCAAGAAATGTTCGCAGAAAGAGAGCTTCACAGAATAAGACCTTTGAGTTGAGTCTTGAAAGCTCATGAGGGGCAGTGGGCCCAGTGGCGGAAACCACTTGGAGCACAGTGCAGTATGCAGTGCTCTGGGCAGGCTGGCTCAGCCAGGACACGGTAGGCTGGATGAATTCTGAAATGAATTAGAGAGTTATACCCAAATGGGAAGGAGGCATTGGTGACTTTAAAGTAGATGAAAAGTACAGAGTGTAGAAAGGTTGGGCCTGGGTGTTGGAGGAAATGCCTAGTTTATTGAGTTGAACAAACATGTTGAGAACCTCATCTTCCAAGTCTTATTCTCAGTGCTGGAGATTCACAGAATAATTCAACACACTTCCTGTACTCAGGTTGTTCTCAGTCTAGTGGAAAGAGATGAAATAAAGTCACAATTTTAGGAGAAGACATATTACAGGAGCACCGAGGAAGGACACATAGCATTATGGTGATTACTTCTTCTTCTTCCTCCTCCTCTTTTCCTCTTCCTCTCCTCCTCTTCCTTCTCTTTTCCTCTTCCTTATGTCTTTCTCCTCCCCCTCCTCTTCTGTCTTTCTCCTCCTTCTTCTCCTCTTTCTCCTCATCCTCCTTTCTCTTTCTCTTCTTTTTCCCCTCTCTCTCTCTCTCCTCCTCCTCCTTTCTTCTTTCTTCTAGCTTAGGATGGCTTCCTGGAAGTGGTGGCCTGATCTGAATATTGGGGAGTGTATGAGCATTAGTCAGGTAGCCAGAATAGTGAGAGTTTCGAGGAAGGAAATAGCATTGTAAAGGCTTAGAGGCCAGAAGATTCCACGAAGTCTAAGGAAAATGACTGGTTCATTTGCCATTGACTGAGTTATGAAGAACAGAGGTTGGGAAGGTAGGGGATGGAGGGAGGGCTGCAATGAGAGTCCAGTTATGACTTGGATGCTTTGTCACATCTGAGTTGGGAGTACTTGGTAATGAATGATATCATCCAGAGTTAGGTTGTAGGAAAAAGGACTAAGAATAGAGTTTTTCAGACTCAGTGATTAAAAGAAAGGGATTAGTGAAGGGAAATGAAAAGAGATGCAATTGATAGACCAGAGTTTCAGGGCAAAGGGAATGGTCAGTGGTCATAAAATGGGCCTGAAGAGTGGTGGTTGGTTTTGATATTATGCTAGACCTTGGTGTATGCTGAGTCACAATCTAACTAGAAATGGCTGTATTCACAGAGGGGCGGATAGAGAGCTAGGAACAGCTCAGTTGATGTGGAAAAGAGTGAGTTATCAAAGAGGAGCCAGATTTGAGGTTTCAAAACTGGAAGTTAAGATAATTTTTTTCTACATTCTGTGTTGGCTTTATATAATCAACATTACTTAATATGTTTCTGATCCCTTTTTAACAATTTAAAAATATTTGTTGATTGCATGTATCTTGTGGTATTTGGACACAAGTAGGACATGAAATCATGTGTGAGCTAACTGCAGTAAAACTCTTGACATGTGGCTGGAATTTTAAATCAATAACTAATACGTTTTATTTATGCATATGTTTATTGTGTTGTGTGGGTGTGTTTATGTTGTTATAGTTGCTTTGTTCTGCATGCTTTGATAATTTCCCTTTTTAAAAAAAATTAGTGAGGAAGTCTTTGTGTGTGTGTGTGTGTGTGTGTGTGTGTGTGTGTGTGTGTGTTCCCAGCAGTCTAAGAAGAATTAATTGGAGAAATAAGTGTATTTTTCTCTTCACTTAAATATATACTGTATATTTGTGTGTTTTTTTATAAACAATATTTTTTATTATGATATTGTGGGGTACAGTTAAGGGTTAGGTATACAAATATGCTTCGTTCAGGCAACCTTGTTGATAAGAGGTGTAGGTGTCTCCCTGTTATATTGTATATTTGTATTATATAATAATAAAATATAATAATATGCATATGATATATAAACGGTATTGTTTGGTGAGTCAGGATCTCATTTAGTGATATAGGAAGAAGTAAAATAAAAGATGGTTTTAAAACAACAGTAGCATTACAAACAATGGGAAGCATTTTTGTTTTATTTTTAAATGATTTGAAATATCTGTTTCTAAGTGGTATTTATTTATTACAAATTTTAGCTCATTTAATATCACCAAATTTAAGTGCTAGGATGTCATTTCTTTCCATTCCTTTCATTGCTAAGGACATGTGTTTCTATTTTTTGTCACTGTTACTATATAAGTTCTAGATGTATCTGTTATTGGTAACTAATCCATACATTATGTAAAACTTTTGGAGAGGATAAAGGTAAGAAGGTTGTCAAATGAATTGTGAAGTTTTATTAGTTGCTTTAAAAAATAAATCTTTTATTAGGGGAAAATAAATATAACTTATTCTATAATAGAAGTTAAAAAAATATCTAGCCTGGTATCAAAATGCCCAGCTAGGAACTTGTGCATGGAAGTTCCCTGTGCCAGAGGAGTCTTGGAGCTGCAGAAGTTGGTACCTTTCAGTAAGGGGCTGATTTGAATATTTTGTATATTTATAGTTGCAGTTCTGCTTTTCCATCTTTTTTTTCCAGCTGCTATTTAAATAAAGCTTTTCGTATCTGCTCCAAGAAAGATAAATTCTCATCTACTTTTATGAACAATATGATCTCTTACACTGGCACAGAACATTCTGCACCAGCCTGGATGCTGCTCTCCAAGATTGCGTGCTCATCACCCAGGCTGGACTACACCAAAATAATAGAGTCCTGGGAGAAAATCAGCAGGTTTGTTTACTTATAATTTAGCCACTGATGGACACTAAAAAGTCTTGGAAACAAAACTCTTAGCTTAAAGAAGTGGACTATTTCATAACTAGGTGTATTCAGAGATCTTCTCTTGAAAACCTGGCATAAAAACGAACATGAAAAATAAGAATCAGCCGGCCTCGGTGGCTCAGCCTGTAATCCCGTGCCTTGGGAGGCTGAGGTGAGTGGATTGCCTGAGCCCACGGGTTCGAGACCAGCCTGGGCAACTTGGTGAGACCTCATCTCTACAATAAATAAAAAATTAGCCGGGCGTGGAAGGGCGTGCCTGTAATTCCAGCTACTCGGAAGGCTGAGGCGGAAGGATTGCCGGAGCCCAGCAGGTTGAGGCTGCAGTGGCTGGGAGCAGCACTGCACTCCAGTCTGGGCAACAGAGTGAGACTCCAACTCAAAAATAAATAAATAAATAAGAGTCACCTTTAAACTGTCAGTTTACCCTTTGTCCAAGCACATAAAGTGCCTTGATGTTCCCATAGCTTGACTGCTAAACCGTGCTACCTACCCTACTTCCTCCCGTGTTAATAGTCCAAAAGAAATGGCATTTTGTAGGCAACATTGTTTAATTGGTTCTCTCTTGATATTTCTCCTACCCTTTCTCTAGTCAGCAGAATCCTGATCCAAACATCTTAGGACATATTCTGTGTGTTATTGGGCACATTGCAAAGCATATTTCTAAGACCACCCGGGACAGAGTGATTGGTAAGTGTCTGTTGAATAATCTTTCTTGAAAAGGCTTTACCATTTCAGTTTTTTATATTTATATATATATACATATTTTAAGCAATTAAACTTCAGGGGTACCCGGGCTTGGTGACTCAGCCTGTAATCCCAGCGCTTTGGGAAGCTGAGGTGAGTGGATCGCCTGAGTCCGCGGGTTCGAGACCCGCCTGGACAACTTGGCGAGATCTCATCTCTACAGTAAGTCAAAAATTAGCCGGGCGTGATAGCGCATGCCTGTAGTTACAGCTAATTGGAAGGCTGAGGCGAAAGGATTGCCAGAGCCCAGCAGGTCGAGGCTGCAGTGGCCGGGAGCGGCTACTCCACTCCAGTCTGGGTGACAGAGTGAGACTCCAACTCAAAATAAATAAATAAATATACTTAAGGGGTTTTGACTTCCTTCTTAGATGGTGTCAAGCATAAGCTGAATGGATTTCAGTGGTCTCTAGAGTTGATCAGTTCAGCTGTTGATGCCTTGCAAAGGCTTTGTAGAGCGTCTGCAGAGACACCAGTGGAAGAACAGGTATGGCCACAGATTCTCCTTGATGTATTTCTAACTTATTTGTATTTAGACATGTTTCTCTGTTTGCTTTGAAGTTTGAGGAGTGCTCTCTATAAATAGAGACCCTATAAAGATTTGTATCCCCAGCAGCTATTGCTGCAACAAGGCAACATTTGCATGACTGTAAGTTGACATTCCCCAAGATTTGGCTGTTGAGAATAAGTGGTTTCCCCTTAGGTGATCATCACCTGGGTTCCAGGTATGACTGTCTTTTAATAAGGCATGCCTGTTGACTGACAGCCATTTTCTGGTGAGAATTCTGCAAGGTTATCTTTTATAAGTTGTAGCCTAGATTCCGGTGATAACTTCAGGTATTTCTTCTTGACTTCCACCCTCATTCCAAGAAAATTAAACAGACACCTAACGGGGAGTTCCCTCCAGACCAGGTTTCTGATCTTTTGATACCCTCCAGACCAGGTTTCTGATCTTTTGATAAGTCATAATCCTGAAAAATGTCTGTCCTGTTACTATGTGGATACATTACTCAAATATCTCTTGCTGATATCTTGTCCCCAAAGTTGCCCAGAGCCTATAGCTAATGTTCTTATATATGTAGAAACAAATCCAAATGTGAGGCAGAGAGTTACTTTGACCTGCTAAAAGGTGTCCATATTAATGTCTCTAAGAAATCATTTTATTCCTACTCTGTTTTTATCATGAGATTTGCTCATAGACAGTGCTAATTACAATTTAAAACTTAAGAGCTAGTGGTTATTAATAATGAATATAGAAGTCAAAAATTAATTTAAATAATAGCTAGAATGTATTTATTTTCCAGGATTAAAAAATCATTGCTTTATCTGAGTTATCTAGCTACTTCTCCATGCTTCTTTTTCTTATGCAAGTTCATTAGAGAAAGTCCTTTCTTAACATGTTACATTTTCTACTTATAATAACAGATCTAATAAAACAACGTATTGTGACTTTTTTGCTTAGGACTTAAGACAGGTTGGAACTCACTTACCTAATTAAAAAAAAACCTGAACTTTTGTTTTTAATGTAGAGAGATCTACCTTTAAGCTTAAAGGTCTTAAGTCCCAAGCAAAAAAGGAAAAGAAATACTTTCATTATTTGACTTTTCTAACCCTTTATCTCAAGACCTAAGAAGTTATGTGAATAAACTTTAAACAAAAAAAATTACCCCCTGAGTAGGAACCACAACAATAAACAAACAAGCAAAAAAGTTGGCTAAATATAGTGAGTCTAGTAAGAAAGAGGAAAGACTGAACTATATTAATAGAAATAGTATCTAGAATTAGAGGAGTGGTGTACCTGCTCATTGTTGGGTAAATCTAAGTTGACACATTCTGTAATTCAATATCAGTGACAACTTTTCAGAGAAATGTTGATAAAATTTAATGTAACTAGAGGACAGCAATTAGATGAGAGGATTAAGAGCAAGTTATATAAGGAACAGCTTATTACAAAGCAAGTTATGTAAGGAACAACAGAAGGTCCTTGAGTGTTTAGCATGGAGAAGGGAAGGATTATGAGGGATAGGGTGCCTAACTACATTCAAATATATGAAGGGCTTTCAAATAAAAGAATTGGGTTTATTTTGAGGACTGATTTGGACCACTGGATAGAAATCACAAAGAGGCAAATTTTGGCTAATTGAAAAAAAACTTGCTACGGTCTGCCTAAAATGGTAGGGCTTACTTCAGAACACATCCCTAGCCATTGGAGGTATTCATAACAAGCTGGACAAGAACTGGACATGAGCTACAACATGAAGAGAGTCCTAGGATAGTGTGGCTTTAACAGCTTTACCAGATCCTGTGATTTTAAAAGTGATTAGTCATACTACCCAAGTTCTAGTCTTGAGGTCTCACCCAGCTTAGCCTTTGTCTCATCAGGATAAGGCATCTGGATTTCAGAAGCTCTCTTGGCCAACATTGTAGTTCAGGTTTCACAGTAAATTAAAAACTTAAGAACAATAGTTCTTTTAAAAGTAATAAAGGCAATAGTTTTGAAATATGTTGGGCCAAGTTAAGACTAAAAGCGTTTTGCTCATAGTGATTGTTTGTCAGCAGTTTGGCAGATATTGGTTGGGTACCATGTTGTGGTACTGCTAGGCACTGGATAATGGATAACGCAGACCCCTTCCTAAGGTACCTACAGCATAGTTGAGGAGATGGACACATCAACAGATAATTTTAGCAAAATGTAATCATTCCTAAAACAAAAGTAGACGCAGAGTAACATGGAAGTAATGGGTTGGAGGTGCTTAGCTCAACCTAGGTTTTAGAACGACTTCCTACAGAAAATGAAATCCAAGAATTCTAGAATGTGATTGGGAGCTTTCTCCCTTGGCATAGAGGTATGGTTAGATGTTGTACACTAGAAATTATTATAACTGGTAAAAGACTGGAAACTTTTCCCTAATAATAAATTTCAGAAGAAAAACAATTGTTCTTTTAATTTTTTAGTCTTTATAAAATCAAGTCTTTATCACAGTAGTTAATTTACCATCTGCATGTGCCAGAACTACAGCTTTTTCTCTATTGTGGAGAACCACTGTTATTGTAGGGGTCTTACAAATTAAGGTACTAGATCTTACTAAATATTTGCCTTTTGCTCTTCTAGGGCAAATATAGAAAGAAAGATGATATATATACACGGTACTTTATAAATTCCACTTAGCCTTTTCTCATGACCATATTGCTAAAAGTGTGCCATTGTGATTTTGGACAAATTGTGGGAAAGAAGAAATATACAAAAACATGCCTTATGGCCTATCCATTTGAAGATCATAGTTTCTTTTGGGAATGTGGTATTTCATGGGCAGTCTGAGTGTTGTGGGACCCTTTGAAAATGATCTTTGACTTTCCATAGGAATTACTGAAGCAGGTGTGTGGGGATGTGCTCTCCTCCTGTGAACACCACCTTTCCAACATCGTTCTGAAAGAGGATGGCACAGGGAATATGGATGAAGACCTGTTGGTAAGCAACTACTTTTCCTTTTCTCTTCCTTTTTATATTCAAGGATTTTTTTTTAAGTGGACCTTGAACACCTATCATAATACTACAAAATAGAGATTGACAGTAGCAGGACACTGCCAGTGGGGGGTGTGGAGCACATAACAGCAATAAGGGTGCCTGATCCTAATCCAGGCAAAGTGAGGCCAACAGGAGGTCCAAAACTTCACCTGTACCTAAACCACTTAAGTACGCAATCCTGGCTTGTACCACACAACTTTAAAATAAAATAAAATAAAGTAAAAATGTAAAAGGTATTTTTTGTGTTGTGTACCTTAAATGCTATTAATAAGAAAAGGACTCTTGTAGCCTAGAGCTTACTCTCTTCCTTTTTTTTTTTTTTAATTTTAAAGACATGGGGTACAATTCAGGATTAGGTATACAAATGTTTATTATGCAGGTACCCTTGTTGATGAAGTGTGCCCTCCCTTTTCTATTTTTAGAAGAATTTTTTTTTATTGATAACTTATTCATTTTTTTATGTACTTATCATTTGGGGGAAGGCTTGATAGTATAAGATTCATCTGTTTAGATTTTAGGAGGACTTGATTCCAGTACAGAAAACACAATGTGTTATAAGCTTGACAGAGTCAAACTTAGAAATAATAAACTCTTATATTAATAACATGAGTCTACTCTTAGCTGGACATGGTGACTCATACATGTAATCCCAGCACTTTGAGAGGTGGAGGTGAGAGGATTGCCTGAACCCAGGGGTTCAAGACCAACCTGGGCAACTTGGTGGGACCTCGTATCAAAAAAAAAAAATTAGCTGGGCGTGATGGCACACGCCTGTAGATCCAGCTACTTGGAAGGATCACCTGAGCCCAGTTCCATTGCACTCCAGCCTGGGCAACAGAGTAAGACTCTGACTTTAAAAAAAAAAAAGTGAGTCTATTTTTTTGGTTGGTTTGATTTTTTTTTAAAAATTATAACATGTCTTTTGAGATGTTAGAACATCAGCCAGTAGAAATGGGGAAGAGTGCTGAGCAGTTGCAAAGTAATGTTTAAACTAAAATGATATATTTGGCAATTCAAAACACAGATGACTGTGGAGCATTGAGATTGTGTTGCATGGCACCCTACTTTTGAAACTAGTTATAAGCAATGCAAGGGATTCCTATGAGCCAAGACATGTTGAGCAGTTGGTTGATTTCAGTGGCTATCAATGTCCTTCAGTATAAGCCATTATTTAACCAAAACTGGCCATTTTTTTCATATATTTAAATTGGTAGAACACCTCTTTTCTATGTTCCCTTCCTGTTTAACCAGCCTCCGCCTCCCTAAGTGCTGTGATTACAGGCATGAGCCACCATGTCCAGCTGAGAGTAGACTAACTTTATTAATACAGTAGTTTATTATTTTTCAGTTTGACTCTATCAAGCTTATAACACATTGGTTTTCTGTATTGGAATCAGGTTCTCCTAAGAGCTAAACAGATGAATCATATACCATCAAGTCTTCCCCCAAATGATAAGTACATAAGGAAAAAAATGAATAGGTTATCAATAAAAAAATCTTCTAAAAATAGAAAAGAGGGGGGACACACATTATAAACAAGGGTACCTGCATAGTGAACATTTGTATACCTAATTTGCAGTTCTTTTTTTTTGAGTCAGAGTCTCACCCCATTGCCCAGGCTGGAGTGCAGTGTCACACTGATGGCCACTCCAGCATCCACTTGCTGGGATCCGACAATCCTTCCGCCTCAGCCTTCCAAGTGGCCAGAACTACAAGCGCGGGCTACCACACCCGGCTAATTTTGATTTATGGTAGAGTCAGAGTCTCGCCAAGTTCCCCGGGCTGGTCTCGAATCTGCGGGCTCAGGCAGTCCACTCGTCTTGGCCTCCCAAAGTGCTGGGATTACAGGCTGAGCCATTGAGCCCAGCCGACTTGCAGTTCTTTTTTTGTTTGTTTGTTTTTTTTTTTTTTTTTTTGAGTTGGAGTCTCACTCTGTTACCCAGACTGGAGTGCAGTGGCCGCTCCCGGCCACCGCAGCCTCGCCTGCTGGGCTCCGGCGATCCTTCCGCCTCAGCCTTCCGAGTAGCTGGAATTACAGGCGCGCGCTACCACGACCGGCTAATTTTTTGATTTATTGTAGAGATGAGGTCTCGCCAAGTTGCCCAGGCAGGCAGACCAAGTTTAGATTTGTTACAAGAGAAGGCTGTTGTGCCAAAGTCACTACTGTGCATGTATTCAGTGATGAAAAAGTCTTCTTGTGGGAATCCAGATGCTTTAGGTAAGACAGCCATGATTTGTGGTGCCAACTGGCCCCAGGATTTCTAGAGGGTCTTGTTCTTTTAATTTCTTTGGGTAGAGTCGTTGCCCACACTAGAAAAATATTTAATATTGTCAGTGATTTTTTTTCCCCTAATAGCTTTTTTCAACTATCAAATATGTCACCAAAATCTACTCTTCAGTCAAAATATACAGATAAAGTTTGCCCTATAGTATATATTGTTTAATCCGTACTTTCTTTTTTTAATTAATTAGTTATCATTATTATTATTTTGGAGATGAGGTTTTATTCTGTCACCCAGGCTGGAGTGCAATGGCACAATCATGGCTCACCGCAACCTCGTGCTTCCGGGCTCCAGTGATCATCCAGCCACAGCCTCCAAAGTAGCTGGGACTACAGACTATACACCACCATGCCTGGCTAATTTTTCTCTTTTTGGTAGAGATGAAGTCTCATTTTGTTGCCCAAACTGGTCTCAAACTCCTGAGCTCAAGTGATCCTCATGCCTCAGCCTCCCAAAGCACGGGATTATAGGAGTATCTCACCATGCCCAGCCTAATTCATACTTCTTTTTTTTTGTTTTTGTTTTTTTGTGTTTTTTTTTGAATTGGAGTCTCACTCTGTCACCCAGACTGGCGTGCAGTGGCCGCTCCCAACCACCGCAGCCTCAACCTGCTGGGCTCCGGCGATCCTTCCACCTCAGCCTTCCAAGTAGCAGGAATTACAGGCATGCACTACCACGCCCGGCTGATATTTTGATTTATTGTAGAAATGAGGTCTTGCTGCCCAGGCAGGTCTCGAACCCGCGGGCTCAGGCACTCCACTCACCTCAGCCTCCCAAAGGCGCAGGATTACAGGCTGAGCCACCGAGCCCGGCTAATTCATACTTCTTAACATTGAATTTTAAATTTTTTTTTTTTTTTTTGAGTTGGAGTCTCACTCTGTCGCCCACACCGGAGTGCAGTGGCCGCTCCTGGCCACCGCAGCCTCGACCTGCTGGACTCCAGCAATCCTTCCGCCTCAGCCTTCCAAGTAGCTGAAACTACAGGTGCGCGCTACCACGCCCGGCTCATTTTTTGGTTTATTGTAGAGATGAGGTCTTGCCAAGTTGCCCAGGTGGGTCTTGAACCCGTGGGCTCAGGCAATCCACTCACCTCAGACTCCCAAAGGCGCGGGATTACAGGCTGAGCCACCGAACCTGACTGAATTTAATTTTTTTTTTTTTTTTGAGTTGGAGTCTCACTCTGTCACCCAGACTGTAGTGCAGTAGCCGCTCCCAGCCACTGTAGCCTCGACCTGCTGGGCTCCGGCAATCCTTCTGCCTCAGCCTTCCAAGTAGCTGGAACTACAGGCGTGCGCTACCACACCCGGCTAATTTTTGATTTATTGTAGAGATGAGGTCTTGTCAAGTTGCCCAGGCGGGTCTCGAACCCGCAGGCTCAGGCAATCCACTAACCTTGGCCTCCCAAAGTGCTGGGATTGCAGGCTGAGCCACCGAGCCCGGCCAAATATTTCTTTAACCTATTAAAAAGGTGTAGTATGTTCAAGATTTATTAAATTCACATGCATTTATTTTTGGCTTTCTTAGCATAGAATAAAGCTTTTATGTGACATTTTCCTATTCCGTATCACTCCTCCATTTTGGAGGCAAAATTACTTAATTGTTAAACTGAATGCCATTAATAAACACACAAAGTGGCAGCCATGAGGGTCAGGTACTTGTATGTGTTTTGGGTAAGAGTCTAACCTGGAGGACAAGTGGGAAATAAGTTTGAAAATGTAACATAAACTGGGTTCAGTGGTTCACACCTATAATCCCAGCACTTTGGGGGACCGAGGTGAGAGGATTGCTTGAGCCCACAGGTTTGAGACCAACTGGGCAACTTGGCAAGACCTTATCTCTAAAATAAATCAAAAAATTGGCCAGGCTTGGTGGCACGTGCCTGTAGTTCCAGCTACTTGGAGAGCTAAGGTGGAAGGATCACCTGAGTCCAGTAGGTCAAGGCTGCATGTCACTGCACTCCAGCCTGGGCTACAGAGTGAGACTCCAACTCAAAAAAAAGAAAAGAAAAAAAAAGTAACACAAGTTGATGTACTCTTTCACACTGGGTTTCACATTTAAGGAAATAGAACAGTGTCCAAGTCTACACAGGTATTCACCAGAGTTAACATAAGCATTAGCAAAGGGCTAGAAACTATGTGTTTGTTAATAGCAGAATAGTGAAGTACATTATGATGACATTTATGGTTTTTAAATGGCATGTTTGTGTAATCATTAAACATTTATTATATATATTGTCATGAAAGGATGCCCAACATTCAAAGTAATAATTGCAAACATCAAAATGACATGATTGGTAAGGATATAAGAAAAACAAACATAAAGCCTATAGAAATTGTTTTTTAAAACTTACAATAACAATAATTATATTTTGTAGATGATTCTGTATCTGTTACCCGGGATAATTGGTATACATTTGTTATCACAGCATAATTATTAATAGCACCTGTGTCTAGGCTTAGATGATAAGATTATATGTTTACCCTAATTTTGGATGAGTTTCATTAAGTAGTGACAATTTTTACAATGGCCGTGTATTTTTATGAAACAAAAAATAGTAAAGTTTTTTTTAAATTTGGGGTATAAAGTATCCCATTGATATGTCCTTAATCTAGATAGAACTAACTTTCTTTTGCCTTATTTTTATTTTTACTGCAAAATCAATTCTCTTTGTAGGTGAAGTACATTTTTACCTTAGGAGATATAGCCCAGTTGTGTCCAGCCAGAGTGGAGAAGCGAGTCTTCCTTATGATTCAGTCCATCCTGGCTGCTTCTGCTGCTGCAGACCATTGTAAGGCACTTAAGATCTTACTCTGCACCATGCTGTTTTATGGCCGAGTTAACTGCTGAGGTTCTGTAAATAAACCTTTCTCCCTTCCCTATAGTACCATCCTTTCCATGTGGCAGTGATGCTCCAGCCTCTCAACCACCCTCCCAGGTCAGAGGCTCTGTCATGCCTTCTGTGATCAGAGCACACGCCATCATTACCTTAGGTAAGAAAGACTTGGAAGTGGGGCTTGTGCAGTCAAGTTCTATGTGTCACTTTGATCTTAAATGAGCCCAACTGTGGTAAGATGTTGTGTCCTGCTGAGCCTATGTTTACTCTAGTCTTGGATTTTTACAGGCAATTCTGCAGACATAATGAAGTGCTAATCATGAGAGCCCAAAGGTTGATAATTGCCCAAGACTATAAGACTTGGAACACTATAGGGAGCCTTTTTTTTCTTTTAGTAGGATTATGATATTTATTACCATTATACCTGGTCTTGTAATTTCTCCCAGTAAAGGGGATAGTTTATTTAATAGTATTCAGAGCTGGTAGATGAACTATCAACATGTTTCTCCATGTACTCAAATTACTGTTAATCATGAAAACACTGACCTTTGTGCTATAGTTTCTTTTTCTTTAGTGTGATTGTATATTTTATGCTTGATAAGAGTTAGGAATGTTTTTTATAATACTGGTTATTTTTCAAATACCTAAGAATTGCAAATAAGAGCAAAACATTCCCTGGCCACAGAAGAACATACAAACAAGTGAAACTCAGTAGCCCTCCTGACTATTAGCAAGAAGTAAGATAAATGAGATGAGCATTCTTCCCTACCCAGTTCAGATTTCAGATTCGACACAAGGCATTTAGTTTCTGTAAAGTACGTGTCCAATCAAGAGTAAAATATATCATCTGCTAGGTTTTGTTGATCATTTTTCCAGGTAAGTAAAATCAAATGTTGACTTTAAAAAGAAGATAATTTTATTAGTGTAAAGAAACATCCCATAATATACAGGGGGTGCCAAAAAAAAATGTATACACATATTAAGTATGTCATTTGCAGCCAGGCTTGGTGGCTCACTCCTGTAATCCCAGCACTTTGGGAGGTAGAGGCAAGAGAAATCCCCGAGTCCAGGGGCCAGCCTGGGCAACTCAGTGAGACCTCATCTCTACAATAAATAAAAAAAATTAGCTGGGCGAAGTGGCGCGTGCCTGTGGTTCCAGCTACTTGGAAGGCTGAGGCAGAAGGATCACCTGAACCCAGCAGGTCGAGGCTGTGGTGGCTGTGAGCATGCTACTATACTCCACCCTGGGTGACAGAGTGAGACTGCTACTCAGAAAAAATTAAGGGTACCTGCATAATGAACATTTGTATACCTAACCCTGAATTGTACCCCACATCTTTAAAATTAAAAAAAAAAAAGCTACAGTGCTCAGCACTACCACTGCAACAATAAATTATCTGACACCAACTGTCAGACACCCTTCTTTAGACACACCTGAATCAGGGAGCCAGCCTAGGGGACAATGTAAACAAGAGAAATAAAACTCACCACCAACAACAACAAAAAGTATGACATTTGTTCAAATGATGTCATTAATCAAATGAATGCCAGCAGCACCATGCAATAGGCAGAACAATCAAAGAAAATGGTGGAAGTACAGTTGAGTGAATGTCATACTACACATTGCTACCATAATGTACTTCAACTTTGAAAAGTAATATATAGATAACATCACTTAAAATGTGTCTATGTGTTTTTGACAACCCCTGTGTATATATCATATAAAACCCCTGGAGGAGTTTATTTTTCCTTATGGTATTTTGGACTTTCTAATATTTAGGATAGATCTGTCTGCCTTTAGTTTTTTGTTGTTTGTGATTGTGGGCATGATGTTTTAACTTTGATTCATTCATTTTAACTTTGAAATCCACAGCAAAATATGTCTAGAGAAAATTTAGGCATGGAATTAGGATAGAGTAGAATCAAGACATCTTTCTCTCTTCTGTGCCAGGTAAGCTGTGCTTACAGCATGAGGATCTTGCAAAGAAGAGCATCCCAGCCCTGGTGCAAGAGCTTGAGGTGTGTGAGGATGTAGCTGTCCGAAACAACGTCATCATTGTGATGTGTGATCTTTGCATTCGCTATACCATCATGGTGGACAAGTACATTCCCAACATCTCCATGTGTCTGAAGGATTCAGATCCGTTCATCCGAAGGCAGACACTCATCTTGCTTACCAATCTCTTGCAGGTACATATGAAGATTAGACCTGTCCTTCCTGCCCCATCGCCACCATTGCTCTGGTTTAAGGGAGTATTTGAATAACATAGGAAATGTGCTTGCTTTGTAGTAGGATCCAAAAATAATTGCCTCATCTCCAGAATATCACTCTACTTACATTCAGCACAGCCTTTGAAATAGATCGTTACTTGCAAATGTTCGTTTGGGGTATTTGTTCAGACATCCTGTCAGGCAGTGTGAAGTTTCATTTTTGCAAATAAATGCCATATAGAAAAAAACCCAGTCAGTAGACAAGTAGTTTTAGTTCCAGTTACATTTTTCTTCTTGACCTTGAAAAAGTCCATGTTTCTCTGACCTGACTTCTTCATGAATACAATGAGGATCATAGTGTTTGCACTGAGCTCTGCCATAGCATTGCTCTGAGAGTTCAGTAAGATGTTTCAGTGTGTGAAAGGACTTAGTGAGCTATAAAGCTCCACAGATCATTAGATGTTATCATATACATTGAGTGCCTATGCTTGATGCTTCATGAGAAGAAAATAATATTTAATTTTTAAGAAGAAACTTAACCTGTATGTTTAGCCTGTGTTTCATGTACTCATCTTTTCATATATTATGAGCTCTGTAAACAGAGCATGGCTCTCTCCCTCTAACACCATATGCCTAGAGTCATTTTCCTCATCTGGTAGAAGGCTCCATGCTGTTCTCCATGCATTCTCTTCCACATGGTGTTCCAATGGCTGGGAAGTGAGTGCCAACACTGAGCCGTGTGCCGGGAACAGACTGAGTGGTGCACACATAATGATGTCACAGAGAACGTCATTGGGTTGTGTGACTGCTAAGTACAGTAAGACTTCTCCATGACAATGCATCCTGAAACATGCCAGTTTCTCTTTGTACAGGAAGAATTTGTGAAATGGAAGGGCTCTCTGTTCTTTCGATTTGTCAGCACTGTGATAGATTCACACCCAGACGTTGCCAGGTAAATCTTTTCCTCACATGTCACAATTTACCTTGTTTCTAGTATAAACTGACTTCTCTTCTTTCAAATTGGTTTAGAGTGAATTATTTAGAATTGAATGAGCCTTTACTAGTTGCGAGGAAAAATAGCAGATTTTTAAAGTACTAAGCTATATAGCAAAGCTTTGTTTTGCATAAAAGTTTTTTTTAAAAAAACCTTGTTCGGGTGCCTGAATGAAACGTATTGTACACCTAACCCTTAACTGTACCCCACAAAATCATAATAAAAAATATTGATAAAAAAAAAAACTTGTTCAAATCCATCACTAAATAATCTCAGCATCGACTGTATTTGCTAACATTGTTTGCTCTTCCTAAAGGAGTCATGAAGAACAGTGTTTGTCAGTCATTTTAAACTGTATAGAAGGCCAGACACCTGTGGCTCAGTCTTGTAATCCCAACACTTTGGGAGGCCAAGGTAAGAGGATCACTTGAACCTAGAAGTTCAAGACCAGCTTGGGCAACATAGCAAGATCTTGTCTTTACAAAAAAATCAAAAAATTAACCAGATATGGTGGTACACACCTACCATAGCTACTCGGGAAGCTGATGTGGATCACCCGAGCCCAAGGAGTTCGAGGCTGCAGTGAGCCATGATCGTGACACTGCCCTCTAGCCTGGTTGACAGAGTGAGATCTTGACTTAAAAAAAAAAAAAAAGGCTATATAAGATACGAACACTAACTATTGACTTAACTATGTTTATTTCTAGACTCCCAAAATGTTAATTTTGATAAAGATTTCAGACTTTCTTTTAAGTACAGAAATTATAAGGAAAAAAGTCTAGGAATTAAGAAAGAATTGCACAGTATGAAATTGAGTATACAAATTAGAAGACTCTTTGGAAATGGTTTTTTCTTGAGATTTGGACGGGAGGAAAGTTACTTTCACAGTTGTTAATTCCTAGTCTTGTATCATTTTTTTTTTTTAGATTTCTTTACAGAGGATTGAAAAATGGTCTGATAGAATTTGCTGCCCTAGATTATGTTATATAATTTTTTAAAAGCAAGTCTGTAATTGGAAAATAGAATGTTGAAATCCATGGCAAAAGCCACTACAATCCGGAAAAGGTCTTTATAGAGTTTATTAACTATAAATAGCTTATAATAATGGGTTCCTCTTGTTCTAAATATAGCCACCAATAATTTAGTCAAGTTCTGTGGAAGAATCTGTGCTCAGTTTTCTTTGGATGTACTTTTCCAAGGAGGAGCATTCACATTAACAAATGAGTAGAGGGTTAACGTTCTAATTAATGCTGTCTGGTGCCAGTGGCAGAAAGTTAAGGCTATCACTCTTTCTTTCTTGTATAATTGGGGAAGGAACCAAAATAACTACAAACTTTCTTACCTTTACAATCAGCCCATGATACTGACTTTCAGGGTTCTCTTTACACAGTGCATGGCCCAGGAGCAGGCATAATTAGATGGCCTGAGAATGTGTTCAGATGATGAGCCTGGGAGATGGGATTGGTTATTTAACCTCCATTTTCTCATTTTTTCCCCACTTTGTTTGCTCCTATACGTGTATATTAAAAAGAGCATTGATTAGTGCATAAAATATATGCAGGACCTGCATATATGGATAGAGCACCAATCAGAAAGAAATTAGGATAGATGGAGATTTTTGTGACAGGGTCTCCCTCTGTCGCCTAGACTCGAATGCAGTGGTGTGATCATAGCACACTGCAGCTTAGGCTCAAGTGATTCTCCTCCCTCAGTCTCCCAAGTAGATAAGACTATAGGCACGTACCACCTAGCTAATTTTTTTAATTTTTTGTAGAGACAGGGTCTTGCTCTGTTGCCCAGGCTGATCTCAAATTCCTGACCTCTGTTGATCCTCCCACCTTGGCCTCTGAAAGTACTGGTATTCCAGGCATGAGCCACCATGCCTGGTCGAGTGATACTTTATATTATAGTCAGATTATCAGTGCCTCTTCCAGTATTTTAATACTTCTTCCTTAAATCTTTCCATTTTATCTCTACATTCTGGGTTTGTTTAAACCATGGTTCAACATGGACCATGATTTTCAGCTTCAAAAAGCTGATTAATACTTCTGCTAACTGTAATTTAAGTTACTCTGTTCTCTAATTTTTCCTTTTTTTTAATTGACATGTAATAATTGTATGTGTTTATGGGGTACATAGTGATATTTCAATACATGTATATAATGTGTGATGAGCAAATCAGATAATTCGCATATTTATCACTTCATTTATCTTTTGTGTTGTGAGTATTCAAAATCTTCCCTTCTAGCTTTTTGAAATTATACACTAAATTATTGTTGACTGTATTCACTCTATAGTGCTACAGAGCATTGGAACTTTATTTCCTCCTCTCTAGCTGTAATTTTCTATTTGCGAATCCACCTTTCCCTATCCTACCCCCAGCCTCTAATAACCACAATTCTACTCATTTTCTGTGACTCCCCAACTTTTTTTTAGCTCCTTTATATGAGGAGAACATGTGATATTTATTTTTCTGTGTTTGGCTTGGTCTCCAATTTTTAGCCCAAATGCTAGGTCTAGTTAAAATTAAGTACATGAGTTTTTTCATACATATCTGCTAATGCAGATCTCATGAAGAGACCATTGGGTTTTTCTGATCTAACTGGATTTTTCTGAAGTCAGCCTTGAGCAAATTTGTATGACATTTTGCATTGGTCATATAAACCCAAAATTTGGATGCTACAAAATTATGTGGTCTATTTTCCCCTCTGCCCACTAGGTGGTGGCCTTGTAATATGGTAGGCACAGGGTGGCAGCCAAGTAACAAGCAGGATGTTTTAGTTTAACTGGGCAATGCTGCAGAAGTGCAAGGAGGCAGGGCAGGGAGACTCCAGGCAAGAGAGTAACTAAAATAATGAACCACTGAGATAGAAAAGAGGGGAAGACAGAGATGACTCAGTGTGGGAGAAAAGGAGGTACTCAGCAGTCCAAAGGAGTTGGTGAAGTGCAGCAGATGGAATGAAGTGAGGGAGTGGTGGTGATAAGTAGACTGCCTGATGTCCAGTGTAGTGGCAGTGTCCAGAATGTGGCTGCCAGTGGGGAAATAGAGTGCAGACGTACAAGTCACCAAGGCAGTGAAGCTGGGAAGGTAGAAAGTGAGGGTGTTTAACAGGGCATCTATATGGACACTGAAGAAATTCTGAGTCCTCCTGGGATTTGGAAGGGAGAGGAAACCCGGAAACCAGATCCCAGGAAGGAGAGAGCAGGAGATACAGATGTTAGGAGTCCTCAGCTCAGCTGGTCAGGAGTGTGTATGTGTGCGTGCTCCCTGGTAGCCAACCCACACTCTCCTTTTCCCGAACCCTTCCCCAGCTCTTGTTCTTCAGAGCACTTTGTCTCGTCTACACACTACATACAGGCTTCCTGAGGGGTCGAGGTTTGGTTTTGTTACTGTTGTGTCCCTAGCACCTGAACATTTGGTAAATGAGTGAGTAAAGATACTAGGGGGCTGGGAAATGGGATCCTCATCCACTGACTAAAGGATGAGAGAGATGACACATCCTCATTTAAGAGGGTTTTAAGAAAAGTACTGTTCCTGAAGGAGATCCAGCTCTAACTTATGAAGAGGAAATGTAGAGTACTCCAAGAATCAGTTGTAGAAGGTGGAGCCTGACTCCTCATGGAACCAGGAGTACAGAGTACAGTGGAAAGATGCAAGGCAAGAGAAGGAGTCTTGGTTGTTAGGTCAGGAGAAAAGAAACAACAACACAGGGATGAGATAGATCGAGAGAGCCTAGGTAAATAACAGGTAGATAACAGGTAGGGTATGGATGTGGGGTGATAGCCAAGGAAGAAAAGGAGTTATGAGATACTGCTTCAAGTCTCAACTAAAATCCTGGTACAAATGGATATCACCTGAGGTGGACACTTGTTGTAGACCATATCAGGAATATGAGCTTATTAATGGCAGCCTTTATTAAGCAGATACCTGCTTCAGAATGGTGTTTAGCTTGGGAAGAAATCTGAAAGAAGTTAGATTTTTTTTTTTTTTTGAGTCGGAGTCTCACTCTGTCACCCAGACTGGAGTGCAGTGGCACACTCATGGCCACGGCAGCCTTGACCTGCTAGGCTCAAGTGATCCTTCTGCCTCAGCCTTCCAAGTATCTGGAACCACAGGTATGCACCACCGCATCTGACTAATTTTTTGATATATCATAGAGACAAGGTCTCGCCAAGTTGCCCAGGCTAGTCTCGAACCCCTGAGCTCAGGCAGTCCTCTTGCCTCGGCCTCCCAAAGTGCTGGGATTACAGGTGTGAGCCACTACACCTGGCTAAGAAGTTAAATTTTTATGTTTCCTGCTAAAGCTGAAAATGGAAGTAACCAGACTGCTCTTCTTGTGACCTTGTTTTGCTGCTTGAATCCTGCATTTTAATTCTTAGTAAGGGAGTGCTATTTCCTTTTACAAGGCTATAACAAGATAATAACTCGGATTTATCTGGTTTTCCCTTTGTTTTCCATATAACGTATTTCATGCTGTATAAAATTTGTAGACAGTGTCCCTGAATTGGTGGTGTGGTCATGTGCTTCCTAGCAGTTGTCTTGAGGGAGGAGGAGGGACTGGGAGAGAATGCTGACTGAGCTTTCAACTTAGTGAGATTTCTAGAAAGCCACTGAGGTTTTCTAATCCAAGTACCTAGAAAGTGCCTTCTTCTGTCACTCCAAGAAATATTCTAGGAAGTGTTACTTGGAAAGTTAATTTCTTTTAACTTTTCAGCTGACAAGAAACACAATAGTCTCTCTTATCCGGTTTATCAAGCTTGGAGGATCTGTGAGTCTTAATCCAGACAAGGCTAAAACTTGCCCTTTTAATAAAGTTCCAGTGAATGCAGCAGTTGAGCTTAGTCTTTAATATTACACATCGACTGTGGATTCTAGTTTATCAGGATGGAAAGCTTTGTGATTTTCCTTCACCCCTGAGTACAGGATTCCTGGCATGGTTTTATATTACCATTGAATTTATATGTATCGTTGGTTATGCCAGTTTTTCATCAGGTCACAGACTCTGCAGTATCTTGCTCATTGGTCACCTCTACCTGTGTAGATTCTTATTCTAAACTCTGACGAGATTGGAATTTGACATGAAATCAATGATCAAAGCAGCCCCTCTTCTTGTAGAAGAATGGCTGATTCTGTCTGGTTTTACACTCTCACATACATGACTTCAGATCTGAGGAGCACGTTCAGGTAGATGTGGAAATGGCTGTGCCTGGGTGGATTAACTAGAATAAAATATCACAGAATGTAAATATCTGTTGTTCACTTCATTTGGCTTTTGTTTGTTTATTTAATGGCTTTTACCCATTCTTGTCACAGATCATTTACCAAAGTAACCCTTGTTTAGAAAGAATTTCATCTGATGCTATGACATCCTTCGCCTTTCAAAGTTGTGTTACCAAACAACATAGTTTGTGTAAAATATATTGCCTACTCAGATCAAACAGATGCTTCTCGCTGACCTGAATTGAATTTTTCCTCAGGGAATTCCCTTAAATAAATACAGTTTTATGTGTTTAGTTTTCATATTTTGTTGTTGTTTTTAATTTTTTTAATTTTCATATTTGTAAGTCAGACTGCTTGCTTATTTCCTAAGTGGATAGTCAGAGTGTGATTATCTGCGGTGGAATTTTTTGTTGCTTTTTTTTTTTTTTTGAGTTGGAATCTCACTCTGTCACCAAAACTGGAGTGTTGTGGTGGCACGATCATGGCCACCGCAGCCTCAACCTGCTGGGCTCAGGCGATCCTTCCGCCTCAGCCTTCCAAATAGCTGGAACCACAGATGCATGCCACCACGCCCGGCTAATTTTTTGATTTATTGTAGAGACGAGATCTCACCAAGTTTTCCAGGCTGGTCTCAAACCCCTGAGCTCAAGTAATCCTCTTGCCTCAGCCTCCCAAACTGCTGGAATTACAGGCTTGAGTCACCACACCCAGCCTGCAGTGGAATTTTTTTATAGACCTACTTACAATCATGATTTCTCAACTGCCTTCTCTGATCCTGTGCTATGAATACAAACTGGTTTAAATCTTGGCCTAAGGAACCACCATTAGGGAAAGGGGAAGGTCAGTCTCCTATGCAGTCCTAATGTGTCCCAAGGCCAATTGTAAGCCATTTGGATTGTCCTTGACCCTGCTTTCTTCCAGTGGAGAGTTGACCAAGTGCTCCTGTATAGGTGGAAATTGTATTTGAACTCTGAAATGAAATTAAAACATTGGCCTCGACAGTGTGAAGAATGGATCACAGTGAGCCCTGCACAGCTTTAGGTTGAGCCCTAAACAAAAAGCTCTGCTTTCACATTCTCTCACCTACTATCATAATAAAACAGAAACTATTTCATAGCCTATATGGAACAGTTTGGCTTTTGCCCGCTTGCAACTGCCTTTCAAAACCTTCATTTTGGTCCAGTCCTGGTGGCATTTGTGTCCCATCTGCAACACTGCATAGATGTGTTGGGGGCATGGGTGGAAGGAGGCTTCCCAGGGCTTACTGGAGATTCCAGAGCTCGTTGAGTCCGTCATTTTGTGAGGGGTATTGTCCTTCTGACCCAAATTATGACAACTTGTCATTAATCCCTATTCTTTTTTTTTTTTTTTTTTTTGAGTCAGAGTCTCACTCTGTCTCACAGGCTGGGAGTTCAGTGGCATAATCACAGCTCACCACAGCCTTGAATTCCTAGGGTCAAGCAATACCTCCAGCCTCAGCCTCCTGGATAGCTAGGACTATATGCATGTGCCACCACACTCAGCTTTTTTTTTTGTAGAGATGAGGTCTTGCTATGTTGCCTAGACTGGTCTCAAACTCCTGGGCTCAAGTAATCCTCCTGCCTTGACCTCCCAGAGTGCTGGAATTATGGGCATGAGCCACTGAATCTGGCCAATCCCTTTTCTTGAAAAAAAAGTTCCTGTTACTAAAATTGGCTTTTGTTTGTTATTATGAGTGACAAACTTGAAATCGGTGGGGGGTGAAACCCAGGTGTCCCTTTGCAGGTGACTTTTGTTGTTGCATCAGACCTAAGGACACTTGCTGCTGCTTGAAGAAGCAGTTTTGGAGATGTCGGTTGGTTGCTTTTCCCACTGGAAATGCAGCTGGATAATGATACCTTGTGTGAATATTGAAAGGAAACCTGGTGGAGAAACCTTCACCCTGACCTTGGATTCCAAAGGAAACTGGAGCAAGGAGACCAAATGAGCTTACTTTCTCTTTTGCTTGCAGAGTTCAGAGTCTGGTAGAGAGTGGTAGATGGTATTTCTTTTGTTTCTCTCCTTTGCAGCCTCGGGGAATTTTGCCTAACTCATCTGCTGCTGAGGAGGAACCCTGCCATGTTCCTTCAGCACTTCATCGAGTGTATTTTCCACTTCAATAACTATGAGAAGCATGAGAAGTATAACAGGTTCCCCCAGTCAGAGAGGTCAGTGAGGCACCTGAGGTGGTCTCTGTCTCAGTGAAAGATGGAGAGCCTCAGGCGAGGCTGCGCTGTTGTACTTGATGGTTGGACACAAATCTGACGTGGATTTTTATTGTGGTGGTCATTACCTTGCTAAGGGAAGAGCTTGCAGTGAACACTGGGGTCCCAGCAGTGTGCTGAGTCTTTGTCATGCAGCTTGTAGGATGCTGCTGTGTTAAGTCCCATCACCCATGCTCATATGACATGGTAACATTGTCCTGTTCTGCCACAGAGAGAAGCGGCTGTTTTCACTGAAGGGAAAGTCAAACAAAGAGAGACGAATGAAAATCTACAAATTTCTTCTAGAGCACTTCACAGATGAACAGCGATTCAATATCACTTCCAAAATTTGCCTTAGTATTCTGGGTAGGCCTGGTGTGTTTGTATAAAATGTGTGTTTAAAAATGAAATGCTGTGTTGCTAATGGTCCAGCAGGTCTATAGAAAGGGGACCCTGGTACTGCAGGAAGACACCCCTGTTGTCTAGTCCTTCACAGATCCCTCTCAAAGATCCACCTCGTAGCCCAAGACACCTTGCCCACCCTCCAAACCTCCCTACCCCGTTCTGTGAATTAGGTTTGACCCTGGGCTGTGGTGTTTCTCAGAGCTGATCTTATGCACTCTCCCTCAGCATCCTTCGCCGATGGCATCCTGCCCCTGGACCTGGAAGCCAGTGAGTTACTCTCAGATACATTTGAGGTCCTCAGCTCAAAGGAGATCAAGCTTTTGGCAATGAGGTCCAAGCCAGACAAGGACCTCCTTATGGAAGAAGATGATGTGGTCTTGGCAAACGTAGTCATGCAGGAAGCGCAGAAGAAGCTCATCTCACAAGTGAGTGTGCTGTTCTTTCCTAAGTAGGCCTATCACACCCCTGCACTGTCCCACCTGCCCCCGAAATCTTGGTGGTGTACCTGAGATTTTGATCTCCTTCTTACTGGTGGCATTAACACTTGCCCCAGCAGTGATAATTCTCAAGTCTATGTTTCCAGCACCACCTACTCTCATGAGCCTCACCCACCCCTTCCATCTTCTCAAAGAAGCCTTCTCTGATGCACATTCCTCCCCAGACATCCTGCCTCCATACTGAAATTCCTTAACACCCTGCCACCTGTCACCTCATGGGCCTTACTGAAACAGACACACAGTGGACTAGAAGCAGCTGGAAGCCAGGGATTCTTGGTTACATTTGTGCGTCCCCGGAAATGACTCTATTCCTGGGACAGAGAAGGTGCTTGACAGTACTTGTTGAGTGAATGAATTTAAGCCACTTTTTAAGACTATCCCTAAACTTACCATCTGCTCAGATTCAGATTTATTAAATTTCATATTTCTCCACCCATTGTCCTCCTGTTGCAGGAACTTCTTAAAAATGAGTGGTTTACAAGTAAGAGACATATACATACTAGTGACTTTAAATGAGAAGAAAAAGCGTACTTTCATATATGTGGGCTACTATACTGAATTGTTTTTAATTCCAAGAGATTTATTGCAAAATATTTGTGGTTAGTGATCATTCAAGGTAAAGATTATGAGCCAGGTTTGGTAGCTCACGCCTGTAATCCCAGCACTTTGGGAGGCAGAGGTGAGAGGATTGCCTGAGGCCAGGGGTTTGAGACCAGCCTCAGCAACTTGGCGAGACTTCATCTCTACAATAAATCAAAAAAACTAGCTGGGCGTGGTGGTGCATATTTTTTAATTTCAGCTAATTGGAAGGTTAAGGAGGAAGGATTACCCGAGCTCTGCAGGTTGACACTGTGGTGACTGTAAGCATGCCACAGCACCCCAGCCTGGGCAACAGAGTGAGACTCTGACTCAAATAAATAAATAAATAAAAGGTAAAGATTATGAAAATTTGGCTGGGCATGGTGGCTCATGTCTGTAATCCCAGCACTTTAGGAGGTAGAGGTGAGAGGTTTGCTTGAGCCCAGGGGTTTGAGATCAGCCTGGGCAACTTGGTGAGACCTTTTCTCTAAAAAAAAAAAAAGGAAGAGAAAGTATGAATATTTGGTCAAATCAGGTACTATGTAAATGCATAGCATTTTCTTTTTTTTTTTTAATTTTTATTTATGTATTTATTTTTTATTTTTTATTTTTTTTTTGGAGTTGGAGTCTCACTCTGTCGCCCAGACTAGAGTGCAGACTAGAGTCCCGGCCACCGCAGCCTTGACCTGCTGGGCTCCAGCGATCCTTCCGCCTCACCCTTCCAAGTAG